CATTGGCATAGCCTGGTATGGGTAGAAAGTTTCGGCGGGGTCGGACATCAAATTAGTCGGAGAGGAAGCAATCGGTGTGGTGTTTGAGCGCTCGGTTGAGGGTGTCTCCAATCTCGAGCTTGGTCGTGATTTCTTTTCAACCGGTGGTTGCTGGTCCACTGGGAAAAACTGACAGTCCTTTCGCAGTCGAATGCAGTTTTCACATCGTCCTTCTGTATCATCTGGCGCCACAAGACATCGGATCTTTCGTCGTCGACAGTGCACTGTAAAAGTATAAGTAACATGGTCACATGTGAATATCCCATTCTCAAAAGCAGGGTTCGTTTATTTTCTCTGGATCACATTTTCGCGTTGCGAAGAAAGACGACAAGCATAAGGGTGGTGGTTTCTTGGGATTTGTTACTGACCACATGCGACAGAGGTCCGATGATATCCTAACTTATTGCGCTTCTTATCATTTGCGTCCATGGCGCTTTGTGAGTTTGCTGTTGATGCCATCTGGTCGACAGCTGCTGGCATAGCTCCCACGAGCACGGTTCTTTCGTTGTATCGATCGAATGCGCATCAAAACCTCGGGCGAAGCGAAAGGTGTGCTTTGCGAAGAAGATGGCTGAGAGTACCTCGAGGCGTGATCAGAGGTGAATGCGACAAGGACCCGCGCAAGACCATACAGACACTGCCGAGAGAATTTGACCGAGGAGTGCCTCCAGAGGACGACGCTGCTTCAATTCTCAGGCTCTGATCCACATACGCCACACTGGACAAGGTATGATATTGCGCGCGTTTCAGATCGAGGATATTGGGGGGGTACGTTAGGGCCCGCCGTGTGTCTCAAAGTATAGAGGTAATGGTGCAATAGAATGGTCGAGGATAGATTGGATTTCTGGAAGCCCCAAATTTCCCAAGTCGAGTAACTGCGAATTAATCAATGACAATTATAGTGATTAAAGTGTTGGAATGCCGGGGATTTGAACGGGGTTAGGGCCTAGAAGTTTATTGTGGCCCTTGAGATCGAGGAAGAAACCACACTAGGACAAGTTGAACGATAATAACCAAAAGATATTAGTAAGAGGGGAAAGGGAAAAAGAATAGAAAAATAGAGTATCCAAAGGAGCGAATATGAAGTGAACGGTGTGAAGAGAAGAAGAGCAGATCGAAGATGGTAGGTATAGTCCAACAGGTAGAAGCTAATCGCGGGGTGAAACGCCCAAAGGTCTTTTATTTTTATTTTTCTAGGAATTTCTTTTTTTCCCCTTGAGATTTTTTATTTAATTTAATTTTCACAGGTATGTATATCAGTACGTGGAACAAGGTGGCTCTCATACCAACTAAGACTAACACGGATGTATCGACTTAGCCCAAATCAACTGTAGGTCATTGTCAACGGATGATCAGTTCAGGGGTCCACGGACAACTTCCAACAATGCTCTAGAATTACTCCGTACGGAGTACTACGAAGTGTATTGTAGATTTACTGGCGCTTGAATGGTTGAATGGGAGAGTATTTCTTGTTTTCTGCAAGGTTTTTCCTTTTTTTATCCTTTTTCGTAATCTCTCTTTTTTTTCCTATGTAGTTCCTGTTTCCAAATCCTGGCACCTTCAGATTGGTCCTTGGTTGATTAGGTAACTGGCCAATCCCCCTGATTGCGTACTATAGACCCCGTTCTCCAAATGAAGCAGAGACGAGGAACCATGGTCTGGGAGCCCTGACAACAGTGGGGATGTGTGGATGTTGGACGGTGGCCTCTCAAAATGTACAATACCAGTTAGGCTTAGGGCCAACAAGAATACCTGTCAATCATTGATGAACTGGGGAATACTTCCTTCATGTCCCGACTAGGTGATTGGTGACGCGAGCTTAGGCCGGTACCCAGAACCAATAGGCTTGTTGGTTTGAGGGTCCATCCAAAAGAACCTTCTGTGTCCGGTCATTTCGGAGGCTGATCACTAGAAACCTAGAGGGCTTCTCGAAGGGGAAGCAGTACACTTCGATCTAAGGGATAATGACCACATGGGCTTCTGGAAGGCTAGAAATTCCGGTATCCCATCTTTCTACTCCGTACTCCGTACTCCGTAACATTATATGAACTGAAACGAACCATCAGTTAATTTGTGCTAAAAACAGATTCAGGGTCCACGACCGAAATTGTATCAGGTTATTGGTTATTGTTTTAAATCCGGTTTTCTTTCTTTTTTTTTTTGTAGTTCGTTTAATCACTACCGTTAATTTTTTTTTTCTAAAACGGAAAAGAAAAGTAGGTGATTTTGGTATTTGCCCCTTTTCAGTAGCCTTTTTATCCTTATTTGGCTGCCTTTAGCCAAAAAAAGAAGAAAACCGTCAAAAGATCCATGGAAATAGTGGACCAATCAGTGACCACAGACCTTTCTTCATGGAACCACAATGTACCTTGGATGAAAAGTCTCTCCTCCGTACCTAATTGTATATCCAATGCTAATAGGGCAGTCTCACTGTTTCAGTGTTTAGGATGGCGTGTCTGGGGACAATCTCTAGAGACACGTACGTGGCCCTTTAAGATTTGATTCTACTACAATCAAATATAACATTGTACTTTGAAGACCAATAGACATAAATCTGTATCTACACAGCCCTGGACTACACCCAAGTAGGATAACCGCCCGAAAGCCTTATAAGATTACTACAGATAATATAATATATATATAATGTAATATACAGCATAGGTAACATAATGCGAATTGCAAGCGATCTCACAAACCCTGCGTGGGGCAGTCAAGGTTTAATTAAGGATCGTCTCGACTTTGGTAGCGTGTTACAGGTTAGGTCTTGGCATTCGCATGGGGCTCATCTCGGGGCTTTTTCCTTCTGTCTCAGCTTCCATGGAGAATCATGGAAGGGAAGGTTCTTAATGGAGAAATCACGGGGAATCAGTGCTTATTTTACTCGGTATACTCCGTACAGTATAATGTACCTGTTCGAAACGATGAAACAGGGACAAAAAAAAGGGGGCTATTATCAACTCCCACCGGTTAAACCGAAGGGGAAATCGTGTCAAATCCGGCGTGGGCTTAGGGAATATTGTTCTCGTAAGTGGACTCGAGTGCCCAGGTGGACAATGATCTTCATACAGTGTTGTATGGTGTATCACGTCAACAAAACCCCTCAAGGCCAATAAACGCCACCGATTACCGTACTCTCCCTGTGCTTTCCAGAACATGCACTAGGAGTGTCTAATGTGTAATGTACAATATATTGATGCTGCATCTTCGAAGTTTTTCGAGGGATGCTTCCACCGCCCTTTTGCGAAGGGAAGACTACATACAACATTATGCTGCCCACGCTCTGGCCCCGCAATTCAGCACACATTGGTCGAAGATCGACGAGCACGGGTCTCAAGAAATGCACTTGAGCCGATATTATTGGGTCTCTCATAGAGAATCATTGGAGTTGGGGTGTGTCCGCAACTAAACTATCAGCATATGTATCGTGACGCGGCGAATGTACCTAGGTAAATGCGATAGATCTCGCAGTACAACATAGGTGCGAGGCAACTCCGCAACCATAAAACCAATGTATGTACGAGTGGATGTTGTATGTTGTATACAATATACAACACATTGCGGAAAGGTCCGCAATCGGGCTCGCTTGGACAATTAGGCAAAGCCCCAACGGGCGTCGCGTCGTTGTCGATCGGTCAATTGTTTAACCTGAAACAAGGGACAAGGGTCCAGTAGCCAGATCTCGGTTGTTAATCTTAGCCAAGAATACACTTGGTGGATATATGTTGTAGAAGAATCTTTGCGTTCTTAGATGTCGCTTAAGCAGGTCTATACTAGTTTACCTAGGTACATAGTTAATACTGTGAGATTTTATTGTTCAACATCCAATTCAAGAAATGCCCCTAACTATTCCTTTCTGGGATTAGTGGGAAAACCCCTGCCAAATCCCAACTGCCGAGCTCCGCAGTGGCGTGCAGGTATACCCTATGTTGTATGGGCTAGTTATTAGACGTGCTATGATGACAGTTGTTTAAGGGAATTGGATAGCCGACGGGGAATTTCTTTCACTTTGGTCTCTCGCGTAGCATGCTTTCGGGGTTGGTGACAGGATATTTTAGAATGCCTACTCCGTGAGCCCTACATCCCTGAACCAGGAACTCTACAACAAGGTGACAAGGCTTAATTATTTTCCCAAGAGACTATATATGCACAAGTATGCATAAATATGCAGATGACAAGATGATATGATCTAATATGTATAAGATCCATAGATGAATTTTGCAGATGTGATATGATCAAGGCAATATAGTACAATTAGGTTCGCCTACAACATACGGAGTACACCTTAAATATATAATGGATAGTAACATAACTCCGAACTCCGTACGAAGTACGAAGTACGGAGTATCATATATTGTAAGAGATCGGAGATCTCCCTGTGGGCCAACAATGCAGAGACCTCACTGGTCTCTCAGGTTGGGTCCGGCTGTTTCACCATCTTTGGGGCCCTTGACTCGATTCGGTCATCGGTTCCCTCAAAGGGGAGGGTCACCCTTTTTAACCTGCAACCTGCCTTACGCGTCCTCCCAAGAAAAAACCCATTCCTCTCTCTATTTTGCCCCTATCAAGATTTTGCGGCGTTTTTATTTTTATTTTTATTTATTATTTTTATTTGATTTCAGCTGAAGGAGAAGAGGAAGGTGGTATTCACTGATTGCTATCTGGAGTTCTCCGATGGCGCAGAGGGCGTTTTCCCTCCTTCTCGACAGGCTTGGATTTCTCTCTACGGCATCTCCGCAGAGAAAACCCGTTGAAGCCACCAAAGGCTTTTCCGGTCCCAAAAAGGGGCCAATGTCCGTGAACTTATTACTACATTGTACAACATGATCATAGAGACAATGCCCCGGTTTGCGCGATTATGGCCTCTCGTGTTTCGGACTCTATTGAGCCGGACAGTCCCCGAACTAGGCACCCAGAAGTAGCAGCATCCGCGATCAATTTCTATTCATTTCAAAAATGCCACCTCATTCGCCCACACGCACCACAACCATTGTGTCAATGGCTCTCGCTTGCCTGATTGAACACGCGACACAACATGTCACACGAGTTCCCCCGGACCGACTTATGATCGCATGACATCCAACAGCAGCACACCACGCCCGAGCAAACGTTTCCCTGTCTCGGCTGCCCCGCGCGTCGATGACAATAATCTCCGGGCCTTGAGCTGTCTCCGAGCCTTGCGACGATGTCGATTGCGGCGCCGGGGTAGAGGAAAGGGAGTCCAACGAAACATACTTGTATCGATAAGAGATGTGCAGAGGATGGCCTGGTAGACGTGTGCACTTGGACACGGGTCTCGTAGGCTGTTGGGTTTCACTTTTCACGCGGTCGGATGACTTATGAGACGCGACCCCCAATGGTGGACAGCACTCATGGGCGGAGATGAAGCGCACATTATATTTGAGGGGGAAACAAACTGTAGTCGAAACTCTACCAGTATCTGCGTCTCCGATCGAGAACGACATGGATGCCTCAGCAGGTGTAATGCCGTTCCCGTTGGGAGGCCTGTAATCATCGACCGATAGAGTCAGCCCTTCGATGTGCACCTTGGTTGTCGCACTCGGCTCTGGGTTCTCCATTGGGAGTGTAAAGGCCTCTGCTGTGATATCTCCCATGCCTAGCGGTGTCGATTCCATCGCAAGCCTAGCTCCGTGCTTGATTCGAGGCTTGCTCGAGATCTGCGGAACCTCTTCAACTGGGACTTCGAGCCATCCACATTTAAATATTTCGCGTGTAATCGCATCGCGCGGCATGAGGTCGCTGCTGATCCACCCCATGCATGTCTTAGCTCCCGTTGAACTAGACAAGACACGCCCGACAACGCATGCTTTGCTCCACCAACTCCGTCCGCCATAAACGAATCCTCCATAGAGGTTGGCAATCGAGCCCAGTTGATCCAGTGCATCGGCGTCATTCTCAAGGAGTGTCGCCATGAGAAGGTGGCTGATCCCCTCTCCGGGTATCACGAACCCGGAGAGCCAGGAGCGCGAGATCCAGCCTAAAGTTTTAGACTGTGGATCGCCAGAGCTACAAAGCTTGACGCATCGGCGACAGGGGTTTCGTGTGTACATATCCTCCTTGGCCAGTAACATCTCCTTGGATATTTTCTCCCGTCCCCACCTGTCATCGACGACTAAAACTGGCAGAACCGGATTGTTAGGATCTCCAAGTTTGAGCTCCATGGAAGCTTTCAGTGCAGCCAATTTTGGCCATCCAATATTTTCTGCGAAGACATACAGACCCTCCAGCTGCTGTCGAACATGCGAAGAGCTCAGTTCACAGTCCCAAGCAGACTGTAGATCCGCGACAGGGGGCGAGCTACGCCGAGTGATGGTCTCACGCAGTGAAAAACGATGGCTTTTCTCATGCGACTTGGTGGCTAAGGGTTTTGACGAGCCACCTGGAGATGGGCCTGATTGTGGCGCCGGGCAAGTGATATTGAGACTGTTGAGGAACCGGCGCACAACAACCAGATCCCAGTTCAGCTTCCCTTCTCGCAATTGCTCGAATTGTGCAAGCTCATGTACCGTGATATGACCACCGTGCGGATCATACAACATGCCAACTCGGACGAACGCATCCAAGCGAAGAAGCAATTCAGCAGAGAGGAGCAGCTGGATCAGCAACCACTTTCGCTCCATCCCGGACTTGGTCAAAGTATCCCCCGGCTCTTTCTCGTTACCTGAACTGGGGTCCAGACAGTCTCCATCGCCATGCAACGAAGCCTCCCATAGGACCTGCCCTACCCGAAAGCGCCATTCGGGCAGACTGAAATTAATCCATGCTCCTGGTGTGGCCAGCACGATTGCCAAAGTTTTGATCTGGGATTTGACGCTTTGCGGATGACCCCCTATAATGTCGGTAGGTGGAGGGCGAGGGTGAAGGAATTGTGTGTGTAAGATTTCGTGCAACTCGCGCGAACTTTCAATATCCAAAATTGTTTTCGTCGATCCATCTGTGAGCATTTCATGTCGGAACTTGCGCAGATGCTCTAAACGTTGGACGAGCGATCGAAGATTGATATCTCTTACTCCGATGCGCTTCCAGGCATCAGGGCCTTCACAGATGAGCCTATGTCGATCGTACACGGCACCGCTTTGGCATTGTGAGTACGGTTTGCTATATCCCTCCATTAAATCGAACGCCACGGTTGCCGCCATGGTTGGGACTTGATGTAAATATGGAGGGTTCCTTGGCTTTTCGGGACCAGTGTATCGGATCGCGTCAGCCACCGGTAATTCAAGAAAGTGACGGAAACCGACGGTGCCGGGTTCTTTGCCATTGTTGGACAGCATGTTGGGTACTTCAAAGATGCTAACATCAAACGTTGCCCTGTTGACAGCGCCCGTTCGGCGCCAGTCAAGGACTTGAATCGGAACGCCGCCTTTGACAGTCCAGTCGTCTGGGAGCGGCAAATGAGCGTGAAGTGTGCTCAGAGTAAAGGATGCATGGGGCAATGGCTTGCGATCCCACATGTGTTGGATTACCGGGTTCTGCTCATCCCACGGGAAGATCACCTGGGGATACCATCGACGATGCTTGCCCTTCTCCAGAAAAAAGTGAGGCGCCCCAGACAACATTGCCTTGATATCTTTCGTTGTGAGTCTTGATTCCTCTGATGGGCTGGGGCTGACACCGGGTGAGTTGTCTTTTGGTTTGGCCGCCATGTCTAGTCTATATTCAAGAAAATCATAAATATTTCCAGGTGGCGTTGGCTCACAGCGTTCTGGCGAGTCGCGCATAGGGGAGCCACGGGCATCTTTGCTGTCATCTCGTCGAGCACTACTCCCTCGTCGTGATTTGGGCGTGCTCTCATCGATTGAATTTGGCTTTTCTTTTTCCTTTTTCGCCATGAGCTAGCTGTTCTAACGACAAAACAGACATTCTTACTTGTGTTGCAGTTGGAGAAGGTATGTCCGAACTGCCGCTGTGCGTTCGAAATAAACCTCGGAACCCCTCGTTGTTGGTATGGTCATATTGGCGAGAGTCGGGTATACGGCGATGCGATGATGATCGCTTTAGTGTCTCGGACTCATTGTGAGCGGTAGAAGCTGAGTCTGAGGAACGACGTCGGCCAAATAGGAAAGACATCAGAACCAGTGATGCAATTATTGCATCAAATAAATAAATACAATGTGCTGATAAAACAAATAATAAGGAATGGAAATAAGAAATAAGTAGTATATGCAGAGTGCTGATCTCGGACCCTCGGCTCGTGTCGTGACCCTGGAAGCGGAAGCGCGGCAAGTGGGTGGGAGTGATACCGAGTTTTTCCCGTAAATGCACGGCTGTTGTTGATATGAATCGATCCAAGATCAAATTGTAAAAGTTAAAAGAAAGCAGGAGGTCAAGGAGGCTACCTACATAAGGTAAGGTGATATTCGGAAAGTAATGACGTCTTGCGGACAAAAGTGGCGAGCATCATATATATCATCCGGCATCCATCGTCCTACCTAGGTATATGTCTTTAAAGGATAATACAAACTGAAAACCAACAAGCTTGTTTATGTATCTCTTAATATCTGTTCCCAACAAAGGAGAGACAAAAATGAAGAGCACCCTTCAAAAATAGACCAACTATAGGGCTTATCCTTAAGACATACAATATAAGGACTCAATGTGTACGCACAGGACAGATTACCATTCTCTCATTTAAAACTAGTTCTCATATTACCATCAAACCTCCGCGATAAGACATCCAGCGTCAATTGTGCCCTTTTTGTTTTGTTTACGAGTGCTGGTGGAAGAATTCGAGAACAGTCTTGTATCCGCGCTCGTACTCCTTGCGCACCTCGGGGTTCTCCAGATCCGATCGTGCAGCCATCCAGCCGTGGATCTGAGTTGGGAAAGTCTCGACATACTTAGGAACCTTCAAGTTGGCCTCAAAGTCCTTGACGTCTTTGGGGGTCTCGTCTTTCGAGGCGAGGAACACCATGGGGATATTCACGACCTTTGCATCATTGGGGTCGACCATAGCCGGGTGGCACTGTGCAACCGCCTTGAATAGCTTGTTATCAGCACCGGAGGCGAGGGTAGCGATCTTGCCGCCCCAGCAGTAGCCTAGAATCGACCAGGACTGGAAGTTGCCGCCAGGAGCTAGCTTGTTGCCTTCAGCGACGACATTGGGAATCTTGGACAGGGTTTGTGGTGGGGCAGCCTTGGTCGAGAAGAAGTTGCCCAGCTTTTCCTTGTGCTCCTGGGTGGTGGGGGGATACCACGAGATGTCGGCGGGGCTACCCTCGAAGAAGTCGGGGATGAACACGCGATATTTTTGGTCGGTCGAGGTGGCTAGGATGTCGGCACCCTGGATGGTCTGGTCGAAGAAGCCGAAGATGTCTGCATATTACGAAATTGTATCAGTTAATGGTCGGATTATATCTCTCATGGGGAAGTGAGTGACTGACCATATATGACTAGGATAGCCTTCGTGGCCGACTCTGGGCCGGTGACATCTAGAAGTAATCCCATTAGCTCAATTAATAAGAGTTCGGGCGGTGGTAAGAACCCACAGGTCTTCAGGCCATTGATGGTCTTGTATTCTCCCTTGGCCTGGTAACCCTTGGATACAACAGGGGGGATTCTGTGCACAGTGATGGTCAGCGACTCGTAATTGGGGCATCACAGAATTCAATTGATCTGGGGATCACGAACGAGCAGCAGGCTTTGCTGATTCCAGACATGGTTCTAGGGAAGCAATGGAAGGGAGGTGTGTTAGAGTGGAGTTTGGTTGCAAGCAACGGTCTTTGGAAGGTCAGAAATGGCCGGTATTGCATTGGGCGGGGGGGGGGAGAGATAAGAACATACAAGCTCGACTGAAAGCGAAGTTGAAGAAAGTATAGCCTTGGAGGTAGAAAAGAAAGTCGAAAGGCAAAGAGGAAACATTAAAGTTGTACCCCGCCGTTCGACGTCATCGGAGCCACATTCGGCAATTCAAGGAGATGCAACCCGGTGCAACTAGGAAATCCCAGGCTATTGAGATATTCTTCTATTTTATTGTCGGTTTCGACTATCTCCCAAAGATCCGTCTGGTCTGGTCAGCTTGTAATGCGACCGGGTAATCGATCTATGTGAATATATATGGCCGAGCCAATAGCCGTGGCTTTTGTCATTTATATATCAACACCAACGGACAATCTTGGAAGCAGCACGCACCATTTACAATTAAATCTGGGTTACATGTACTATTTAGGTGATATATTCGAAAAGCTGGGGTACTGATCCTGTGCAGCGAAAGACTCTCCGGACTTGATAATGTTATTTTCCTGCAGTAAACCAAAGAGAAGTATCACAAAACATCATCGGGTCTTGGTGAGACCGCCTTATTGATACACCCAAGGGTTTCACCGCAGAGACTGTCATACCGGACACCTAGCTTTATGAGCTTGACGACCTCGGGAGAGCCCAAGTGTGATAAGGACAGTAAATCCAAATCAATTGAGTTTTCATGATAAATAGATCAACACGACGCGAGAGGAAGTTGATGTCTCTTCTTGATTCTGCACTCAAGGCAATACAATGCAAGCAGATCCACTGGCGGAGTCTTGCCGCAAGGGAGTCAGTCTTGCAGCGACAGATGCTCGTGGGGCTGATGTCGAGAGGCAAAAAAAGCAAGAAATAAATAAGAAAGGGAAAATCAAAAAAATCAAACGCCGAGACAGAAAAAAAGAGGCTCCAGCTTGGCCCCTGATTATACCTTGGAACAGAGAGATCTCCGTGCTCTATTACCTTTGTTGAGTTTGAGACCTACTTAGCTATATATTAGCACATTTATATTATACAGACTATTAATAGTCCACGTAAAGATCGCAGGCAAAGTGTGGGCTCTGAAATCGAGGAGCCGGGAATCACACTTGCAGGAAAACTCATGGCCGCAGATCTCCCGGTTAAGAAAAATTGTCAACCTTCCAAACGCCATTCCCGAGGACGATCGTGAACGCCAACCGTGAGCTTCTCCGAAGCCACGCCGGCAAGAGCCGATGCAGGCGACACTAAGGCGTCCACGATCAGCCAGGTGGATCCTTGCGCGCTGTCACATCTGGATTTGGAGGAGCCGCCTTGCATGAGATGCATGAGAGGAACCACTGATCGGCTGCGAACCGTAGCATAGTGTGGTCCGGGGATTGCACCTGCGAATCGAGAAAAGGCTGTGCCAGGCCGATCGACCGGGAACCAGCATAGGATGGGGCCACAGATTGTTGATGATCAACCGATCGTCGTTGAGATGGACCTTTTCGGGCAGAGCGATGTGCGGCTACAGACGCGGTGGAGTGATGAGCTCTATCAAATTGACGACTTTATTTCGGGAGGCCAAGGTCTAGTGAATAGTCAGTCTACTGCATAGAATGTATATAGAATGTACAATATTGAAATGCTGTGTCATTCACGAGACACAGCTAAAGGGCAGAGGTATGCAGTCCTCAAGAATGTGACTCGGCTATGTTGAACCTCTCGTTTCTAAGACTTGCCCCCCTTCCCCCTTCCCCCCCCCCTCCTTTTTTTTCCAGCTTCTCCCCCCTCTTCTTCTAGTTCCTTACTCCTATTCCTATCCCTATTCTTAATCTACTTATTTATATATATATATATATATATATATATTTGGAGAGCACTGCATGTCTACTCCGTTTAAACGAACTTGCTACCAAATACGGGGGAAATGCAGACCGGATCGTAATATTAAATTCCATGCGCCAGTGGACATGTCTAAGCTGTGCCAAGGAGGTCCAGGGATCCGAGCATCGTATGCATAGATGGAACCTCTACGGAGTACTCGGGGCATATCTTTAAACCATGTTATTATTAGTTTGCGGCAGATCAGCTCTGTCAAGTTTTATATTTATATAGTTATGTACGGGGTACGGAAATACTATGTTCTATGCCCAGGTGGTGACAGACATCGATCGACAGGGCATGTCGTCCCTTCTCTTCCCCCTACATAAGCAATCTGCCACGTCCGTGCAGAAGGCAACGAAAGAGATGCCTCCATTGGATGATTGAATGAGACATCTGGACCGAAGCGAGAAACTTCGCGTGGAGTCGAGACCCATTTGGCATTTCGCCACCCAATGAAGTACCTTAGGAACGAGGGAAACCCGAAGGAGTGGATGCTGGAGGCGATTGGCTTTCGGGGGAGAGAATAACGGGGATCCATGGGAATTGTTGGAGTGTTGAGTTGACCTTTTAAGGTCCGAGCCAAAAGTAAGAAAAAAAATATAAGACAAAATAAAAGACAAAACGAACGGAGCTACCATGGCCGGTGAACTCCGGGGACCAATCAAATCGATCTTTTACTTTGACTATTGGGGGCCGAAAAGAAAGGGAAAAAAAAGGAAAGAGCAGATGACCATACTCCGCAGACCAGAGACATACCTAGACCATAGTCTCTACGAAGTACTTCATACGGACTATATCGTCTACAATATACGGTCTGATATTGTATTCCGTATGTTGTCTATGAAATGGGAATATGCTAAAAAGGACAGATAAAATAATGAAAAAGAAGACTAACTGAATTGGATGATTTCAACGAATGACCAGCCAGACAGCTCGCTTGCCTCTGCCTTTTCGATGGTCTCGTATTCTGGCCATTCCGGTCTTGTCCGTGCGTTGACATCTTGGTCTTCTTATTGGATTATCCTATGATAGTAGGAAAGTATGGATCCATCTTATATTTCTTTTTCCTTCTTTTTCCATTTCCCTTTTTCTCTTTAATAAAATTAAAAGGGAATTTGTCTCAATAGCCGGGTCCATTCCTGCTAGCACAGATTCTCTCCGGAGTGCACTAGCGCCCTTTATTTCACGCGACCAGTATGGACGCAAGGGATTCCCCTCGAGGAAGAAGGGTCTTCTCTAATTTTTATTTTTTTTCCCTTTCGTTTTTGTTGTAGGTAGCTATAACATACCTGGGTAGGGACTCCATACACTTTTGTGTTATTTTGATAGAATTAATGTTAGAAAGTAAGAAATCTTAACCAAACATGGGTTTTATATCCATACCGAAACAAATAAAACATAAACTCAACAATTCGGAACAGCCAACCGGGAGACTATCATGTTTTTAGCTGTCAACCACGTTCTGCTTACACCCCTCTTGTTTTTCGCTCCTTTCGCTCCTTTCGCTCTTTTTTTTTTGAAATCTTTCTATTCGGTTCTTTAATATCTGTTTATTATACCATTCCCAAGGCCTGGCTAGACCCGCGTCGACTCCATTCCCGAAAGAGAAAAAAAGAAAATCAATCTTATTTACCTTTTTTTTTTTTTGTTGCTCGACTTGTCTGTTCGCTGGAACTCCTTAACTCTCTTATTATAACACCTCCCCCGCGCTTGCTGTCGCCTCCTACGCCACGGTCCTTTGCCCACCCCCCCACATCTCTTCTCTTCACTTCTTAGTGTCTCAACTTTCAACTCCCAATTCTCCCCGAGACCATGTACTACACGCGCCTTCGTCGACCGTGACAAACTCACTCTATCCTTTTGCTGGTGCTTTTTCCGCTTCGAGAGTACTCTAGTCCTTCCAGAAATTTCCCTGTTTCTCGGGAGAACCTGAGTCCCTCGACTCTCTTCATATACCGATCGCGAGCCCCAGCGATCGACGATCGCCCCTCCTGGATTCTACCAGCCCTCCCGGGGCCGTACCTGGCGATCGAGATTGGGCGTTGAGCGGATCATCTTTCGGCCAGCTCACTAACATCAACGACCCCGAGTTCTACGTGGGAGTGAGGGATCCATCCGCAAATCTGGCGACCCTAGCATTGCCATCGGGAATGGGCCCAGCGTTAGACGCGCTGTCCGCCCCGCCGTTGAACATTCGTCGTCCAGCGGCCCCGACGTTACCCAGCTTTGAGCTCCCACCACCACCGTTCACGTTGGGTGCTGCACCCGCACCTGCAGCACCCAAGTACGGAAATCCCACCCATCCCCCAGTCTCCCACGCGCCAGTGAACGTGAGCGTGGGGAACCTGCTAACGCCACCCGCCACGATCCAGACAGGGGAGCAAGCCACACCCCAGCCATTGGCTCCATCAACAGGCGCGTCCTCCGAGCTGGCACCGGCATATTGGTCAGGGGCCAATCCATACGGACAGTCCTGGGCATCCGGGGTCAACCCATACCCAGCCCGAAATTCCTTCTCACCATCATCCGGCATGCAGCGCTCATCGGTAATACCACCGCCGACGACGGATGGGTTGCCGCATCCATATGAAGCCCCGACATTGTCTTACCAACCTTTACCCGCCCCGTCAACCATGCCTCCCTCCGCTTCACAACCTGCCATGGCCATGTATCCTGGAGGACCCGCTACATCCCCCGCCCCCCTGCCATCCAACGATCCATATGCCCCCAAACATCAGCATATGTATGCCACTTCTCCTCCCTTGCACAGTCCCCACCAGGCCGGCTTCTCTCCCATGTATGGTGCCGGCGGGCTTGGCATCCACCCTCCAGGGCGAATGCCTGCTCACAGTCCGTCAGCCGGACAGCCACCGTTGGGATATCCCCGCCAGCCGTGGCCCTCGTACTCTCTCCCGGCAATGAACGGTCCGGTCATGACCAATGTGCACAGCCCCGGTGGGCCCATGTCGATGATGGGTGGAATGCAACCCGGGCTTCTACCGGGATTCAACAGTGGACATGTCGCCAGTTCTCAACATCTATATGGGGGCCATCAACCCCCGCATGGCATGCCCGCCCCTGCGGCCGACCGACCTTTCAAATGCGACCAGTGTCCCCAGAGTTTCAACCGCAATCACGACCTCAAGCGCCATAAACGTATCCATTTGGCCGTTAAGCCTTTCCCTTGCTCGCACTGTGACAAGAGCTTCTCACGCAAGGATGCTCTCAAGGTATGTTATCTGCGGTTCTCGTGTAACAATTGCCGCATTACTGACTTTCGACAATAGCGACATATCCTTGTGAAGGGCTGCGGGAAGGATGGCGACTCGGACGCGAACAGCAACCAAACTGGGGCCGATATCAAGGGGGAAGGGCGGAGCGAAGACGGCAGCCCCCTTCTCAATGGACGCGTTTGAACGTGTTCCGGTCTTCCCGCCTGTGACACTTTCGTCCTTGCTGCGACGTAACTTCCCAACGTTCACCCTCATATTTATGGGCGAACTTTGGAGACATGTATGTATCTACTGAGGCATTGGGAGTCGGGGGGTTCTTACCGGATTTTACTATTGATTTACGTTATTTTTTGAGCTTCGGCGAAGGGTTTGTGATTTGGGCATCATGGGAAGGTCTGATCTCTGCTTTTTATCTCTTTTTTCTATCCGGATCTATGTTTACTATATGTGCTTATCGGACTCATGTGTGACGTGTGTATCTATCCTGTTTCTCTGTGATTTACAAGCGATTAAGCGAACTGTTAATGGGATGGGCAACCCCGGTATATAAACACCCCTGCATCAATTATGATACATATGGAAGATATCCCGAGGAACTCCAACCGAAGTACATTAATCGTCTTAATTTGTGTAATTGAACAGCTTCCAAGCCATGCTTTTAACTCAAATATTATCGGCTACTCATCTGCTCATTGGCGCTTGAAATGGGAGTCCGTGAGACCTGTGGCTGTCTCATTCTAATTTAACAACAGGTGTGAATCTAGGTATCTGCATATACTGAAATGGATGATATGGTCTCCTATTTTATGTTTTTGGGGAACAAGGATATAGATCCCCATTGTAGTCTGAAATAGGTATCATTGTGTTGGCCCACCACAAAACCAAGGAACGATTCTCCGTACAAGTAAAGGATCGCCATCTCTCTTTGAGCTTGGAAATTATACTTCGAGTCAATCTCCGTAGGGTCCCGCAATATTCCCCCCTTTTGCTATATATCTCTTGAGTGGCCGAAGCATGGGGCCAGCTCGGCTGCATCCTGGCACCTTACACAAGTCCAATATATCCCACGTCGTTCCTCCCTACTTTTCCTGTTCCCCTCACCGCTGACCCAATTGATAGTGGATAGACCACATTCTTTCTTCGTCGAGATCTATCATTGAGTAGCATTCTCTATATGTATTCGACCGTGCTTCCACTACTCTTGCTATGTGCTCCATTAGCACAACAGACCCGAGCATTACCTAGCCAACATAAGGCCAGCGAGAAAGCCTTGCCATATCTCCTCCGTGCTGGCAGAGACTATCGCAGTGGGAGCTACCAGATCCCTAGCGCTGTCCAAAATGGAACTAGCAAGGCTCGGTTTGACATCCCAACACCAGAAACCACTCTTGACATAGAAACCCTCTTCAGGTTGGATGCACCTCAGATAGATTCTATCAATGACTCCGTGTACGACTGGTGGTATTTCGATGCCGTCTCGGAGACCAACCCCGATGATTCCCTAGTCGTCACATTCTTCTCCTCATCCGCGGAAGCATTTCCATTCCTCGACGCGAATGAGACCTCCGTGCTCAACGTTTGGTTATGGGCTTCGTTCGCCAATGGAACTGTCTTTGCCGATTCTGTCCCGGCGACTGAGGCGACCGTGACTGGCGCAGATGCCGCTGGCACTAATAGCTCTGGCGAGTGGTCCTCCACAGGCTTTAGCTGGGCTGCTCTCACAGAGAATCTATCGCAGTATGAGATTATCATCTCGTCCGAGAAGCTTCAGGTCGAAGGGCGACTCACCTTGACTTCGGTAAGCAGTGATTCAAATCCCAAGAACAGACAGATTGCTAACATCGCCCAACAGCGAGTACCGCATCATCTGCCCTGTGGAGTTCAAGCGGAACGGACGACACTTGAGATTGCGCCTCATATCGGATGGGTTAATCTCATACCCGATGCCGTGGGTGAGGTCGACATGAAGATCCATGGGTCGACGCTGAAGTTCCGAGGGCCTGGTTACCATGACAAAGTAAGCGACTTGACCGCCTGCTGGGCATGAACCTTGAGAAACATCAGCTGACCAAGTCATAGAATTGGTCTGATCAGCCTTTTACGGACTCTGTCCAAAGCTGGTACTGGGGCCACGGCCGTCTAGGTCCATACTCGATTGTCTGGTTCAGTTACCTCGCCATTGATGACCCAACCAACGCCACATATGTGAGCAGCTACGTTGCCAAAGATGGCGAGCTGCTCATATCGGCCTGTGACCCCTCTATTCTCACCGTGAGGCCGGTCGGTAGTCCGGGGACTACTGGTGGGCGATATCCGCCACGCATGGGTGATATACCGGATGGATTCCGATTGGAATATGATTTGGGAGAAGCTAGTGGTCAGTTGAAAGTGAATGTCTCCGTGAGAACTTTGGTCGCTGGGAATGGAAACGATTATATGCGATGGACAGGAGACATAGTTGGGGAGGTAATCGAGTCTGAGAGCCAGCGAACAGAAGAGGCCGGTGGTGGTGGCCCAGGAAGAGAAAATTCACCTCTTGTTGGTGTTGCGGTTTTGGAGCAATTCGTTATGGTGGAATAGATGATGTCGAAGGCGAGCATTATCAAAGAAAGTCATAATATGTTCATATAATATACTCACTTATAGTATATAGGAAAACACCATTCTAGTGGCTTGAATAATTGCCAGCTCATGAAAGAAAGAAATGGGAGTATCACGAAGATACTCGAGCGACGCGAAAAGGGAAACGGGAAGACAACACAATACACACCAAACAGGATGAGATAAAAGAAAACGAATGACAGTACTCAAAACATTACTGGGTAGTTTGCTTAGATTTCCACTCTTCGACCAGACCCCGGTAATCCTCAACACCATATGGCTGGAAGCATCGGGCCAGCAAGCCGTTCTTACGCTGTGGTGACAGACCTAGTTCTCCCAGCATCAAATCAACATATGGGATCGCGTCAAACACGAAGTCGGGGTTTCGCCGCCCGAATCCTCCAGGGTAGCGATATTTGCCAAATTCAGTAAACAGAGCTGTCTCCCAGGCAAGGTCGATTTCTGAAACGTCTTCTGTCTTGAAGTCACACGCACCACGTACAGCGAGTGGGCATCTTTCGCGTGTAGCTGGGGTCAAATCGCCTTTGAAATAAGCTGAGATCCACAGTGCCTGGGTCTGAGCAATTAGGGTTGTGTTGATGGTCATGGTGATACCCATGAATGCCAGCGAGCGTTCCTTCACCAGCGAAAGTGGGACCATAAACTTCGCCATCCGGAAGGGGTGTGGCACAGCCGCTTCGGACTGCGCGTTTAACGGGGTGTAGTTGGGGTTCGGTTTTGGTTGATCACGCAGACGGGGGAACCGACGCAAAATCTCTTCATCCGCCGCTTTCACCAGGTTGTCGTTCAGTGGATCCGCACTCCAAGGGAATCCCAAGTCGCGGTCAATTCCTTCCGGCAGGAACTTGAGGTTTGGAGTGCAGCGCCAGCCTGTCGAGCAAATTAGCGCCGAAGATCGCAGCGCATCACCCGATGACAGATGAACAGTGTGGTCGAGAGACGGTCAAGATCAGCGACGTGTACCTTGATGGTGCCATCCTTGATCAGATCAAAGAAATTGGTCGGATAGTTCAGAATGCTGAGAGAGGAAGCGATCCAGAATGGGCCCACCCAAGGCTTCAGCTTCTTCATCTCCGGGTGCTTGTCGTAGCCGTTCAACTGCACGACATCATCGGCCAGAATAGCCCAGAACGCGTCCACGATCTTACGACCCAGCCAAGTACCATGCAGGAAACTGCGAACACCAGTATACCCGTCGGCTTCTCCCCAGATACATGGACTGAACCAGGTCAGCAGGCGCGTAGTGACCAGCTTTTCCAGCCATTTTTTCAAGGGCGTGACGTAAGGAGGCGCCATCCAAATAGGTCCATGACCGGACTCGCGAATGATCCAGTCTACTTTCATACCTGCCGTTGCGCAGGCATAAGCCGCATCCCAGGCCGACTTGGTCCCGCCAAAAACGGTTGCGCGCTCTCCGGGTTGCAGTACTGCATCTTGATACTGCAGCAGATCGCGGCAGTGGAAAAGCGGCGCACTGAAAGACTCCTGGCCTTGGAATGTAGGCAAGTATGCCTGTGATGTGATGCCGGTGGCCACGATCATCTTCTTGGTATTGATTGTTGTCGTATCCGCTCCGTGCAACACGCTCAACTGCCATGTTCCGTCCGAATTGTGTCGCGCGCTTTCCACATGGTGTTCCAGTCGAATGCAATCGGCAAAGTTGAAGTGTTGTACATATGCTTCCATGTATTTTTGAATTACATGACCTGGAATGTGTTGTCCAGGCTTGATTCCAAAAGTCGCCTCGTCCATTGGGAAGTCGCTATACTCATAGGTGCCCAGCATATTGTTCGACTTGAGGCCTTTGTACAAACGGTGTTTAGCCCATACTCCGCCAATAGAGCTAGCAGCTTCCAGCAAGAGCACATTATGGCCGGGATTAACCTCGCGGTATGTCTTGACGGCGGAGAGCCCGCTCCAACCTATTGGTAGGTAATGCTTGTTAGCGAAATAGCTTGCGACGGTGAAATCTCAACTTACCTGCGCCTACCACCACAAGATCCACGGATTCCATTTTCAAAGAGTCCCTTGCTTTCGTCTTCTTCTTTTCCTTGGGAGGGGTAGAAAATAACCGATTGCGCGACTAGGGACTAATGCACGAATTTATGTACAAGCAAACAAACACAAGCGACACCAGATTACTGGAACCGAAGGAATGATAACTAAAAGTCTTAGCGCAAAGCACTTGTTTCTTTTTGGGCTTTTAATTTCAGCCCTTGCTGTCGCAAGCCGGGAGGATGGAATGGTGGGACTATTAAATTAGCACACCTAGGGAAAACCTTGTACTTTGACAGTTCTTCCCGTACTAGTAAACTTTAGCATCTGTATTTTTATAGAAAAGAACCCGAGACATTTAAATAGACCAGAGACAGTAAGGTGGTGATTCTATAATGGTATTATGGCTCACCAACTACCCGACCTTGATCCTAGACCCCTTGACCCATCTTGGTAACAGACTACTACTTGGCACTTATTTTGTACTCCGTACGGAGTACCTACAACATAGACTCTTTCGGTGTTACCAGGGGCTCTTCTGGAGAATTCGAATCAGCACTGAATATTTTAGCTTTGTCCCGTTGTTTGACCATTTTAGCCTTGTTATCAAAGCGTGGCCAGACCGTGGGGATCGACAGTTCTTCTATGGAGTACTCCATAATTCTTTAGGTACAACATAAGTCAGGTCATCTTAGCGTCTATGTTGTATAAGGGTTCCGAGATGACAGAAAAGCCAGAAATACCCCACTGTTATTTTAGACAGATTTTACTGTGGGAACAGCGTGTCATTTGGATTTGTCAATTTTTTTTTAAAAAAAGAAAAAAGAGAAAAAACAAAAGTCGGGACTAACAATATGCAGGTTGCCATTCCTCGGTTGGTATCTCAATCCGACTATTGTCGTCCAATTAAATAGATTGATCTCATGCAAAATTATTGTGGGAATCCAACATTGTACGGAGTACAAAACTCACATTTGCCGCGGCATGAATCCTATGGGAAAAAATGAACCGTTAGTCGTATAAAATGACCCGCTTTTGGATCCACCAAAGTCGTTGGCAACGGGAATTTCCCGCTGTCGTTGACGTGAAACAGCCCTTTTGAGGGGATGTTGTATGCACGAGGTTAAAGTTAAAGAAGTAGGAGCTGTCAACCAGACCAGACACCATAGTCGAATTCAGTACTTATGATATCCCCTAGGAAAGACGGCCTTGATCAATTAATAATAATACTAGTAGGAGAGCCCCTGGCCGCGAATTTTCTGTTACCTACATACATATCGGAGTAATTTCCGGTTTGATCAACAATCAAACCAAAAAGAGAATGTGGATCAGAGAAATCGATACATACATACTCCATACCTGCCTCTGCGACAACATTGTATGACCTGTCCCGAATGACGTATAATTGGCCAAAGTACGCAAGCTTCATGCAACTGCGCTACTCCGCTACTCCGTATGTTGGTCTGTGAGTCCGTTTGCACCCCATATCACAGGGAACCCTAAAGAGATATCCCCGACATTGCGGTTCATTGCTGCTTCTCAAGATTGGCCCAATTGATATTGTGCCTGAGTGTTGTATGTTGTACCTTTGTGTAACCGGGGAAAGAAAAGACTTCTCAGGTTAAACAATGTGAGTTCTATCAAGGTACTTTGTACTTTGATCGAAAAGTCGCCTTTTACTCCGATCGTTCCCACAATGGGAAATGTCATGTCAACTCAGGGGAGGTGTGGACCTTTTGACTGCCCGTTTACACTTCCGGGAACCAGTAAGCTGGGAGTGGAACAAACGGCGCTCTCGACCTTAAAACTCCTCCCCGGCAAGTTGAAGGACCCATAACCCGCTTTCCAGCACCCAAAGATAGCCCGTCGCTATCCAATGAGAGATGTGGATGCTGCCACTCTAGCATGAAGAATCCGGACCTGTCAGAAATTCTCTATCGTGCGAGCATCTCCATAATAGCCATCGCTTGCAGTTTAGTTTAATGGCCGCCACCATAAGTATGGAGGCCCGCCATCGGACATTTCAGATCGATCTTGTCCTTGCTTTTTCCTTTTCTCTGTTGGTATTGATAAGTCGACTGAGGTGCGGGCTTGGTTCTTTATCCGGGCTGATTCCAATAGCAACGAGCAAGAGGGTAATCATTGAGATACTGTCTTCTGCCACTCGTCTCCCCCTCAGCGCAATTGACTTCCTCTTCCTTTATCTGAATGTACACCCTGGGTTGAATGGTATTTCCCTTTCATTTTGATGGCTTATCGTACAAAGATATCACCACAACTCGGCAACTATGGATGGGTTTAATACAGAAGCGTTCACTCTTCTGGGAGTAGCCATTGCCGTCATTGGCCTACGAACGACCGCAAGATGGATTATGGTTGGCCCAAAAGGGTTCCAAGCTGATGATTATCTAATGCTGGTGGCGTGTGTGAGTAGGACTGGAGCCTGTGGTCTCTTTGCTTTCGTGCTAATCGATATGGTGTGTAGGTGGTGTATGGACTAGAAACCGGTGCTGCGTACATGGTCGGTGCATGGTTCATGGGCCTTGCCAATAACGCGATGACGGATGAACAGCGAAAGAACCTGTCGCCTGATTCGGAAGAATATCGTCTGCGTGTGGGTGGCTCCAAGGTCCAGGTGGCCGGCTGGTCATTATACACACTGTTATTATGGTTGCTGAAAACATGCATGGCCATTTTCTACTCTCGATTGACGTGAGATCTCATATCGTACCTACTATTGGGTCCATTGTTACTAACGTATATCCTACTATCTAGTGCAGGCTTGGTGAATATGCGAGTCCGAATCCATGTCGCCTACGTTCTGATTGCCATAACTTATATCGCTACGATCTGTTCGATCCTCTTTGGATGTCATCCAATGGAGAAAAATTGGCAAATACATCCAAACCCCGGGAGTATGTCATATCCTATCAACAGCTTGTCACCTTGAGACCGTGCATCTGACTATTTACAAGATTACTGTCAGCCCGCTGTGTCCAAGATTGATATCTACGTGACCGTGGTACTTAACGTCGCGACCGACCTCTATCTCATTAGTATTCCAGCACCGGTAAGCCTCTCTCCAAACATTTGTGTGTAATTTCGCTAACCGTACACCTACCTGTCAAGATGCTTGTCAAAGCCCGACTAAAATGGCGGGAAAAGCTCGAGCTCCTGATTCTGTTCAGTGGTGGCCTGTTTGTTATGATGGCCGGTATTTTACGCTGTGTGCTCATCTTAACAGTAAGTTGTATTGAGAGATATTGCCTGGATAACAAAAACTAATAGTTCATTAGGCTGGCGCAAATGGGGCTCAACAAGCTGGCAGCTGGGCCTGCCGCGAGACCTTCGTCGCCGTCATCATCGGTAATGTTCCCATGATATACCCGTTGGTAAGACGCTTCACAAGGCGTGCTGGTCTATACATTTCATCAAGAGGTGGCTCACAGAGCTATCCTGGCTACCCTGCCTACCCTCTATCAGATGCAGATGCCGACACCGGGGGCGGCGGCGGGTATGCCAAACGCAAGAAGTTCCGCCACCCGCTATCGATTCCAGACACTCAATGGAATACAATCAGCGACGAGCAAATGATCTTACCTACCTCACGACAGCAACCGCCCACGTGCACCGCTGGCGACGGCGACTGGGACTCCCGCAGCCAGGGTAGCCAAGGGGGAATAAAGGTTGTTCATGAAACGATTATTCAGAGCACCGAGAAGTCTCACCTGTAGTACGAAGATTTTCAATATGAAAAAACTCGCATACACTTTTCACTTCCCTCATTTTTGTTGACCCTATTTGAGCGCTGGCATGTCTTATCATTTTAATTTATTTCTCTTGTACATATTTTTATACCCACTGTCGGCTCGGCTTTGTTCTTTTTTGTTTTATTATGAATCTAAGATCCATCACGGAGGGCTACATCCTGTTTCATCCAATAAATGCGTAATTCGGCACTCTAATACCCGAACCTGTTTCCAGCTCAACAGGTTGCGAGATAGTGTGATTTGAATACATTTTAATCCATGAACATCGTTACACAAAATTTAGTTTCAACTGAGCGGATGCAAATTTCCATTGACTTGCTGTAGCAAATTTGTCAAGTCTCGCATCAAGGGGCGGGAATTCGGAACCGATTGAAGTAAGTATGCAAGGAGGATTTACTGAGGGTGAAGCAAAAGGGAGAAACAACCATGGATGTTGACTACCCGGGAAGAAGGAAACTCCGGAGTAGGTCTATAGCGAATTAATAGGAGGCCTTGGCAGCCAGGTGGTCATGCAAGTGATGCGATAGGCTGCCATATACACATACTATGCAGGTGGATGGGTACATACATATGTAGACTAGGCGGTCCTCTAATTGTACTTTCTTCACTGCAAGTCTTAAATGTTTCAAGGGTATGGAGTACTTGTGTTTTGTTTGTCTCTCTTGTCTCTCTTCTCCTTCATTCCCTATCTCCTTCCATAACGGGATGTAGTCTATCTCCGACCTGCAATTTTAACCTCCGGAAATTCGGTCTCACCACGTACATAGTGTCACCTGCAAAGGGGCTAGTGGAACGATGTGAGCCGAATTCAATACGCCGGAAATGCAAGTGTGCAACTGAACCTGCATTGAGAGATTCTAAGGTCCCTGTCATGCATAGTACAATAGGGAACACTACAATGATCAAAAGCAAGCGACATAAGAGATAAATACTTCATTTCGTAGGTTGCTACTATGTGGTTTTGCAAGGACTTGCATGTCATCACATCGCACATTTGCCGCAGAAGATACAAGGATTAAGCTTTATTCGAAGAGCGCGTACCCTCCCTTAAATCCGACCGGAGACATACTTTCCGCCGAGGCGAGTATTGATATCGGAATCACCGATCTTTGTTGAAGAGAGAGTTAGAAAGACTTAAAAAGATCTCCCGCATCCGGAGATCAGCTTACATACAACGTGAGATGAATGATCGCCCAGATCTAGCCAAAATGGGTATAGCATAGATAGGTTGCATAAATAAGCCGCACCTCATGCACACTACGCGAAGTAATTATCACCAAGCAGACAGTAGTTGCTACTCCGGAAGCTAGTAGAAGAAGGAATATGCCGTGGACCATCCATGAGCTGCGCTGCCACGTGACGATAGACCGGCACTTGAGCGTATGATGTCATCAACTCTCGGCTCCAGGGCTCTGCCAAAAGGTTCGAAATCTTCTGTTGATAAGCTCCTGGCAAGGCCATGTGGCAATCAGTTCCGAAAATATAAGATCTTTGCTTCAACAACTCTTCGCATCGAGCGTTTAGCTCAATTTTTGGAATTCTAGGAAAAGGCCGAGGTTTGGCCTGCCTATCTCATCAAACAGGATGGATTGTGGACATGTGGATCTCCCACGGTTGTAGCTGCCCAGTGGGAAAACATGGGTAGTGACGTACTAGAGGGGAGTAGCCTATAAATCTGACCGTGTTAGCATCTGAATCCTTCTCAATACATTCCAAATTTCACAAGCCCAAACCGTATTGTGCATCAATATTTCCCACAATGACTATCAAATTCACCGTATACAAAGGCTCCAAGGATGGAATCAAACAGGCGGAGACTGAGAGGGAGGACCTCAAACGGGACGACGTCCTAGTACGAATCACGCATTCGGGAGTGTGCGGCACGGACATCCACTACAAGTCAGCTGAGATGGCCCTTGGTCATGAGGGAACGGGCGTGGTAGAAGCAACTGGTCCAGACGTGAAGATTATGAAGAAAGGCGATCGTGTGGGTTGGGGCTATGAGCATGACTGCTGTGGCTTTTGCAAGCAATGCCTCACGGGCTGGGAGACATTGTGCAGTGAGCGAAAAATGTACGGCTTGAACAATCTCGATCAGGGATCTTTCGGCACCCATGCCGTGTGGCGCGAAGCCTTTTTGTTCAAAATCCCGGACAACATGACCAACGAGGATGCGGGACCATTGATGTGTGGCGGATCGACTGTTTTCAACGCCCTCCATGTTGCGGAGGTCCGTCCGACCTCTCGTGTTGGTATCGTCGGAGTAGGAGGTCTGGGACATCTGGCTATTCAGTTCGCCGCAAAGATGGGATGTCAGGTCGTGGTCTTCTCCGGCACAGACAGCAAGAAGGAGGAGGCGATGAAGCTCGGAGCCGGCGAGTTCTATGCGACCAAGGGTGCGAAGGAGTTGAAGATCAAAGCTCCCATCGACAATCTCATTGTGACGACCAGCAGTCAGCCAGACTGGTCAATCTACCTGAGTATCATGGCTCCCAGTGGCGTCATTTCGCCTCTGTCTGTCGATTCGAACGATCTCAAGATCCCATATATGCCGCTGCTCGCGAATGGTCTTCGCATTCAAGGAGGAATCGTGGGTTCGAGACAGGTCCACAAGGATATGCTTGAATTTGCCTCATACCACAGCATCAAGCCTGTCAAGATGACTTTCCCGTTGACGTTGGATGGCATCAAACAAAGCTTGACGACCCTGGAAGAAGGAAAAATGCGTTACCGTGGCGTTTTGGTGGCATCCTAGAGCATCTATATGTGGACAAAAGAGGCGCATTGGGTGTTACTGATCCAAGCGAGAAATTTGGGAGGCCAAGGCTGTATATAAAAACACAAGTCAGACTGGATGCAAATCTGCACATGTGAAGTCGTTCGTTCTTGTTCGTACTTACTTACCATATGTGTGGGGAAAGGTAGAAAGGCGGCGAAAGAGCAAGGCGTTTGGAAACAGCGTAGAGATTACCGAGAGAAGTAGGACTGCTGGGAGGAAAGAAAAAGGGGAGAGGGAGTAAGGGAGATAACACAGAGATCTGTAGGTATCTACTGAGAGAATTCTGTGACTTATTGATGCCTCAGACACCAATGGTGGGCTGATGGTTTACCTTGAGGGAAATGGAGACGGAAACTGAGAATGGGAGAGAGGCGGTTTATATTCATCAACTGAAAGGCGAGGACCTTGATAGAGGGTGGATTGAGCCATCCAAGTCAACCACTTGGAGACGAACACGACGTCACAACTTTTAGTGCAAAATTTCACAAAAATACTATCTTAGGCAAAACCCATCCGGCCGAGGCCAGTTTCTACACGCAAGTTGCAGCAGAACCAACTCAAAGGCGCCCTCGAATTGGTCTATCCTCCCCATCCCGAACATCCGGAAGGGGTAGGCGAGGCTCAGGCAACCCCAAGTCGCGTGCAACCTCCCGGGCCGCCCAAAGACCTGTCACGAACGCAAGAGCAAGACCACCGGCGTATCCGAGATTACTGAAACCGCCAGCGTCAACGCCCGCGACCAGCAAACCTGGAACTTTGGATTTATCAGGTGTCAAAGCGTGTCCTTTCGCATCAATCGCGATACCGCCGTAGGTGAATGTGATTCTATCGAACGTTAGGTATGGGGAATTGGAATGCGCAAGAGATAACCTACGACGGCTGGACCTCCATGGCATAGAAGGGACCTTCCCCATCGACCAAGGGTGTAGGGGGTGAACCAGCACGACCGATAGGTGCGTCAAGGGAAATGCTCTTATCCCCTAAACGCACCACTCGATCATACTTCTCGATAGTCCGTCTTGCCTGTACATCGTTCACACCCCATCCTTGAAGGATATCTACCAGACCGCTCAAAGTTGAAGCACTTCCAACATTACAGCCATGTTCGCGGGCTTTCTGCAGACGATCGATGTCCCCTGCATTAGGGAACAAGGCAGTGACGCAATGTTGGAGACGTGTTTCCTCGCTAATAAGGGGACACAGGTCAGAATATTGCCTCAATCCCCTATCTCTGGGGACTAACATACTTGAACAATATAAACCCGCGGCGCTTTTCCTGTTTGGCGAGATATTGATTGATGATCTCGTCACCTGTGGTCTCATCGGCAAATCGCCGACCTGCTTCGTTCAGTAGTAGGCAGTACTTGCTTTCTGTTGCCAGATTAGCCAGAAACGCTGTCTCGACAAGGACTTGCTCTTACGGTATTGTGCTAGTGGAAGATACTCCTTTGGATCCACGTCTTCAGCGCGAATTGGAGCTGCCAGAAGATGACCATAGTAGGTGTTCATTCCTCTACTGGTTCCCGCACCAGACTCAATCGCCAGTTTGAGTCCATCACCCACCGATCCACGATTGGAGCGCACAAAGATGTTGTCTCCGCCTTGTCCCAAGTATTTGGATGTCATCGCTGGAGAGCCTTGGAAGCCCCCAGTAGCCAATACCACCATTTTGGCCCGGACTTCGTAATATGCAGCTGGAGAGTTGGAGGAGTTCCTGCAAATGACAGCGCCAGTTATTCTCGATCCTGAAACCCCGGGCTCGCTCTGGATCAACTTGACCACCGACGTGTTGGTGAAGATATCGGAACGTGTCTCACTAGACTGAATGCGCTTTCGGTGGAGCTCATGAAGGCGTGGGATCTTAATTGGGAACCCGATACCTATGACATGTCAGTGTAACGGTTCACTAGATTCCTTTTGTAATCCTACCGATTGTCATGATACCGTCGAATCGGTTTGCCGTTGGAACGCCATTTTCACGCATCCACTGAACAGCGGGCAGATAATCGTTTAACCAGGCCTTCTGCAATGTTGGGTCTCCTTCCGGGACCCAGTTTCTCAGCTTGTTATAGGTTTGCGGGGCCCAGCTGTCCGTTGATGGAATTAGCAAACTCGCCTGTCCTGAAGATTGACTCAATTACTTACAACATTCCTGCAGAATAATTTGATGAGCCACCAACTTCCGCTTGCTTCTCGACGACAAGTACTTTGGCTCCTGCTTGTGCTGCGAAAGCAGCGCATGCCATTCCAGACATGCCTCCCCCGCAGACGAGAACATCGACTTGAATATTCTCCATTGTGGGTAGGGCTGATGTCAGGCCAGAGACGTAGAGGCTAGACGATTATCTGTCCAAAGACTTCTCAGAGCAAGTAATTAATATTTAACATAATGACTATGCTGTCGAATGTTGATACTCCGGGACCTATAGATGCCTTGGCACCGGCGACTAAATTAAGTGACCGGTGGACCCGCGCAGCGATGCAGCCATACAAATATTTTCTGATAACGGCTGAATGTAATCCCATAGACCATCATCCCGTGTGAGTGACGCCCACAAAGGGAGTTTGGGTCTTCGATTCGCCTTGTTTATCCTCTCGCATTAATGTAGTATTTGGAGGCCCGTAATAAGTCGCGCAATCAGATTCTGGTATGAGGTTATTGACCAGCGTAGCACTGGATATACACGCCTCGGCCGGGATTTGCCATTTACAACGCTTCCAAAGCAGCCGTAGAAGTAAGTGCAAGACTAAAAGGTCCTGGATGTGCCAAATAGTGACGCGTTTCTAGGGTGGCGACGAAGACGATGGCTTTAGAGTATGCCCCAGCTGTTCGATTCAACTGCGTTTCCCCTGCTGTGGGAAATACTACTATGTATGTTGGTCTAAAAATCACCTCCAGGCCATCATTAACAAAAGAATCAGGCTTCAAGCTAGCATTGGAAATGGCGAATATTCCCGCCAGCGACTACGCCAAGTGGAAGACTCCTTGCCAATGAAACGATTATGCCAGCCGGTAGATATTGCCAATGCAGCATGGTATTTGGGATTGGAACAAAGTAGTTTTGTAACCGGAACGACATTGGAGGTGGATGGAGGTCGAGGCGTGTAGAGTCGTAAATCTCATAGCCGAAAATTGCCCCCGCAGTTTTTGAAATTCCGGGGAGGTGATTTCTCCACTCTCTCGCTCCTTGAATCAAGAAATATTTCCCTTCATTACCTATATTATTATTTACTAATTCTTAGAGCCCCCATGTCATCATATTCTGGGGATGATAATCCCTCTGGCCAAACTCGCCCCGCCAGCTCGGCCGCGTGTGAGGCATGTCGGAAAATGAAGGTAGAACCTCCAATCCTTAACTCCAAGCTATACCTAGGTACGGTACCTGCTGATAAAGACTTCTAGATGAGATGCATCCGCCCGCAAAGGGAGCAGCAGGGCAACAAATTGACAGAACCATGCCAACGATGTAAGCGTACCAACCGCGAGTGCAATATCCCAGAGCCGAGAAAACTTGGGAGAAAGCGTGGTGCTACAGGCCGCTATCAAGGATTTGAAAAGGCCTATCGGAAAATGCAGTCGGAATTGAAAAAAGTGAAAACGTCTCGTGTGAACGAGAACGATGAAATGCATAGCTTCGTCGCAAATGAAGAACCGTTTCTAGGGCTTTTATCCCCGAACCACCCAGCTGAGACAACCAACCCCGCCCAAACGTCACCAGGGTTAGGGACTGAAGGCTCTTACCGTTCATGTTCCGATTCAAATTTGCCAACTGTACAAGGTGATGAGCCGTTAGCAAACGTTGTCTGTCCTGCATTCCGCAGTGGCGAACTCTCTCAGTCCACCCATGAACCAATCAGTAATCCTCTGGCCTTGCTGGCAGACGCATCCGATGCCGCCCAGGCTTTGGAGCTGCACTCAATATCTGCCAACCCTTCACCGGAAACAAAAAACGCATCTTCCGTGAACCAGTCGTCGGCCGGTCAGTCAACTGGAGTAAGCCTGGGTCGTCAACTGCTACATCGGCCAGGTTACGTGTCACTTGGCCTACAACTGGGCAGAGATACTCTCGAAGCAGGAATAGATACCCTGGTCGGCCCTTATGAACACCCATACCGCTACTCGAACTATTTCAAATCGACTCCACAGGTTCGTCCCCGGGATGTTGGCCCCGATGTTGACCCAGTGGACCTTGGTTTGGTGACCATGGATGAGGCCTGTTATTTGTTTCCAGTGTAAGCCAAAATATTTGCTGCGCTGTCGACGACATCCACTGATTGGCTTTAGATATTTTACACGTTTGCATCCAGTCAACGGAATTCTAGACCCGATGCTCCACACTCCGGATTTTGTGCGTTCACGATCGGCTCTTTTGTTCACCTGGATACTGGCTTTAACGGCACAATTCGATCATGGATCGGCATCAGTCGCCAAACGATTACGTCTCCATGGCGAAAAGCTCTCGAAGCACGTTCATACCAGTGGATATAAGTCGGTTGAAATCGTTCAAGGCTACTATATCTCATTACTATCAGCCACCCCCGCAGAGTCACTAGCGCAGGAGCGCTCTTGGCTCTACACAATGTATGCCTTCGGTGTAGCAGCTGAGCTAGGTCTGGACCAAGATTCCCGCGCCAAAGACGCAGCCCCTCTGAACTCGAGCAATGCTTCCTATACCCGAACACAGGATGCAGCCCCAACACCACTCCGGGGAAATGGCTCGTCATCTTTATTACTGGAGTACCCTTCAAAAGACCCCACCGAAAATCAACGCATGGCGCGAAATCGCGAGAGAACGTGGCTAAGGATTCTACTATGGGAACGGGCGAACAGTGCAGCCTGTGGTAGGATACATACTTTCCCGGAAACGGATTTGACACAAAGCGTCGATAGCTGGTGGCTCCACTACCTGGCGGACCCAACAGACAAGCACACATGTGCGTTTATCACTCTGCGACGCATTCTAGCATCGCTACAAAACGAACTCAGGCATCAAGCTCATTTGACACATGCGGATCCCCATTGGGTACGAGAAATGGTTGATACAAATCTGAGACCCTGGTGTGACCTTTGGCTATCACATCCAATGCCCAATTTAGTCACATCCCCGTCTGAAACGCTGTCCAATATTTTCCTCCACTATGTTTATCTCCACGGAAGGCTTTGGACATTGTCATTCGCTCTTCATAGTTCCATAAACGGGGACCAAAATATGGATGCAATCCGAGCCGATTGCTTCGAGGCTGCAGTCAATTCTTGCGAGCTCGCCGTGCGCGATCTGCATAATATCGGGGAGCCATTATATTGCATGTTAGCCCCGACTTGGGCTATGATATCCTATGCTGCCGTTTTGGCTTTGAAGCTATTCCCCGCCTTGTACGGATCCCGTGTCGGAAATGATGTGGAACTTCTGGCTCTACTCAGCCAAGTTGCCATTCAATTAGAGCGTGCAGGCACAACGCCATCGCATCGATTTGGGATCGCTGCGTTGCTTGGGCAACACCTGATGATGATCCTGAGAGCCAGAGCAGCGGGGCTGAAAGACTCAAATCAACCTGGACAAGCAAGAACAGATGTGTTTTACACCAGCACGGGTTCTAATGAAAGAGTGAGACAGTTTATGCCACAGAATTTCCCCCATTCGAAACCATACGAGGCTCTCATTTCAGATTACGATCCGTTCTTGACTACAACTTCAATGTCTACACAGGGAGGTCTAACTGGCGACGGATTTGCTGACTTCTTCCGGGAAATGTTCGGGCCTGGATTTGGGAGTGTCTTTTGACAAATTCAGTCAAAGGAAACTCGAGAAACACAGCGATTGTTTACGCTGTTTTAGTGTTTAAAAGCGACCATGAATCTATTGCCTTCATGCAGTCTATATTGCCCAGCCATGTTAAAATTGGACAGAAGATAGAAGCCGGTGGAAGCTAAGAAGAGAAAACATATAATACTTCCCAATATTCCCATTACCTCGGCGAATACACTGTATGGGCTACAGTATCAACCTACAAGTTACTCCTGCGAATCTCCCCACGAAGCACCTTGTTCACAAAGTCTGGATCTTCTCGGAGAGGTAGACCCAAACCACACATGTCGATGTCTCCGGTTTCCACAGTCTCCGACATACGATGGCTATCCCGCCAACCACCAGTAGTTCCAATCACAGCCCGAGACTAGCGGTTTCCCAATCAGATCATTTGATTACAAGTGAAAGAACAAGGGGTGATGTACTCACCAGGACCTTCTTCAGCTCCTGCGCCCACTCAATGAAGTAGCTTCGCCTAGTCAGCATATGGATACAGTGAAGCAATTGAACCCAACTTACCTTCCACACTCTTTCTGGGATGGACGCTCTGCCAGCTCAGTCATGATGTTGCCACGCCATGCAGGAGAGGAATAGGTTCCCCCCAAAATGTCGAAGAAGTCCACGCCAGCATCCTCTAGCCATTTTATCACAGCACATTGCTCAGCAAAACTTTGGCCTCCCTCGATGACTACATGTACCTTCCAGTTAGCTCTTCTTTTTAAACTGTGTGATGGGGTAAACTGACAATCTTGGCAGTTTAGCTTCGCTGCTATCACGAACTTGTCCGAGGGAAGTTTAGCCTTGATCGCATTGACAATCTCCAAGATGAACCGTGCCCGATTTTCCAGGCTTCCTGCATACTGCAACGGCCAAAAAATGTTAGCGTTGAGTGCAAGAGGAAGAAGAGATCTAATATTCATACCTCGGCTGTTCGCTTGTTGATCTTGGGCGACAGAAATTGGTTGATGATATATCCGTGGCTGGGCATGCAGCTACCAACACCGGTCACTTAGCTTCTTATAATAGGTTGATGCAGACGATCAACCCCACTCGGTGCATTAAAGAACGCACCGGTTTGTGGAGGTGGCGTGAAGTGGCGTCAACTAGTGGAGGCAAGCCACATGGGTAAAGGCTACCCGGGTAGCATTTACCCGGGTCCAGGGTATTCGATCATCCTTCAGTTATATCAATAGACGGGACTAATGACCAAAACGGATCAACCACCATATCTGGAGTTATGACAGTCTCCTGGGCCCCATCTAAAGTCAACTCATTCGGTATCGCCACGTTGTCTCTCGGCAACTGGAGAGAGCATCGTTTGGAGCCACGCCTGGAAGCTGCGGCGAAATCGGGATATCAATGGATCGACTTGTTCGACGAGTGTTGGGCTGCGTACCTGGAAGAGCATGGACTGCCGGGGGACCAACTTTGGGAACCGACTTCGGAAAATCTGCAGGTTGCTCGAAAATTGGCGGGTTTTGTCAAGTCCTTGGGAATGCGGATTGCTTGCACCCAGCCTCTTCGGTCAATAGAGGGAGTCAAAGACCCAGCTGAACGCCAGGCTATCTTTGAGTTGGTCGCTAAGTGAGATATACCTTACCTCGGTAATCCGATCATAAAGTCGATGCTAACTTGGTATCACAGACGATTCCCATTCATGCGCGCCTTTGACACCGATCTTGTTTTCATGTGTGCGAGTATACGCACGGACAAGGGGGTTACTTCTGATCTAAAGACGGTGGCGCGAGATCTCGCGGAACTGGGCGACATGGCGGCAGCATACGCAAAAGCCGATGGTGGGCGTATGCTAAAAATTGGATACGAGGGCCTATCTTGGGCAACTCGAAATACATGGTCAGCCTCATGGGAAGCTGTGCGATTTGCCAATCGTCCTAACGTTGGGCTGATCGTGGATGCCTTCAATATCCTCGCCGTCGAATTTGCTGATCCGTACAATGTTGCTGGCCACGGGCGGGTCTACCCAACCTTGGAGGAATCTCTGGATGTCCTTACCGGATCACTTGCATCATTGGTCTCGACGGTACCAGGTGACCGGATATTCTTCTTCCAATGCGGCGATGCAGAGCTGATGGATCCAACAACTTTCCTCCCTCCAACTGACCCGGAAACACCAGTACTCCTCCCATGGTCGCGGAGTCATCGGCTATATCCCCTTGAACAGTCCAGAGGTGCATATATGCCGGTTGAGCTTGTCGCGGCTGCTGTGCTTGCTACCGGGTACCGAGGCCCAATTTCGCTTGAGGTGTTTAATACATCACTGAACCAACCAGGACAAAATGTTCCTGCAGAGCATGCTTCCAGGGGACTAAATGGCCTTCGCCTCTTGTGCGAAACAGCATGGTCCGTTCCAGCGTTTTGGCAAAGTCATGATGAACGTAAGAATGCTGTCGCACAAGTGGTGCGACGGCTACAGCCAGATGAGCACAAACATAAGCTATGAACGGAGAATATATAGCTCGACCAGTCCGAAATCTGAAGTCATCAATTGTATTTACTGAGGATGACAGCCTCTTTCCCCTTCCCCACTGGTATTAGTCTAGTGTCTAATATATCCACTAGTCAAGTGTGAAGCAGCACTCGCCTTTTCTATTCAATCTTCCGTTTTTAATGTTTGAATAGAGTAAACCGTAACGCGAGTGTGGTGTTGCAAAAGATATGGGCCCAAAATAGTACGCTGGTTGCAAGCTGTACTCGAGAGGTAAGCCAGACCATCCCACAGTTCAAACTTAACGTATCGTTTTGTAAAAGGGTGTTCTGCGACTTGAGGAGCGCCCGAGTACCGTTCAAATGTCCAAAGTGAATTTCCCGACTTTGATGGTCCAGTGCAGATATGAAGTCAGGAGTATACGTGCCCATTGAATATCTCGTCTTGCATGTATCTTGAAGATTTGATGTCACAATTTTCTCTCCTGAACTGGAGCTCGGTGTCTCCCGTCCGCGGGGTCCCCACATGGGCTCCAGATTTGGGGAGTTTGGGACCTTTTCCCTTGTAGTCAAAAGACATCATGAGCGGTTATATCATTTCAAATATGATGATTATCACTAGAACTTCCAATTGTTAGTTGAACCAACCCAGACAGCAAAAAGAAAAAGAGAAAAAGACAGAGAGGGAGAAGGGAGAGCTTAACCAGCCGAGGTCGGCGAGCTCCGCCCCGATCACCTCAGATTAATCAGCTTGACGTTGAGACAAAACATCACCCCGCCATTTCCAAAACCTCAATTTCTTTCGTATCTTCTCAAATCTTTCCTCTCTAATATCCATCTTTACCCCAGTATGACTACACTCAAGCCCGGCGACTCGTTCCCTAGCGACGTTGTTTTTAAGTGGGTAAACCCTCAACCCCGCAAAGAATGACGCTAATCCCTCCAGGTACATTCCATGGAGCGAGGAAAGTGGTGAAATTACCTCCTGCGGCATCCCAATCAATTACAATGCCTCGCAGGAGTGGGCCAACAAGAAGGTCGTCTTGTTCTCAGTTCCCGGTAAGTTGATGTTGTACCCCTCTACCTGAAGTCGGATAATGCTAACGTGCGTGTGAAACAAGGTGCCTTCACCCCAACCTGTTCCGTCAACCACGTGCCAGGATATATCCAGAACCTGCCCAAGCTCCGTGAGAAGGGCGTTGACATTGTCGCGGTCGTTGCTTTTAACGATCCGTTCGTGATGAGTGCCTGGGGCAAGGCGAACGCAGTCCGCGGGGATGACATCGTGAGCATAACCCCACTTTGCACATTTCTGGGCAGTATTGATTTTGGTGAATAGCTTTTCCTCTCGGATCCCGATGCCAAGTTTTCCAAGAGCATTGGCTGGGCTGATGAGGCGTCGGGCCGCACAGGCCGGTATGCGATCGTTATCGATCACGGCAAGGTCGGCTATGCCCAAATCGAGACCGAAAAGGGTGTTGTCAAGGTATGGATTTTATTCTTCTTTTCTGGTCCTTTTGGCTAACAGCTAAATTCGTCTACAGAAATCTGGCGCCGACGCCATTCTTGCTTCCCTTTAAATACGCAAATTATAGAATACCCTTTGATCACTGCAAGTTCAATTGCAAATGTTATTTGGAATCATACATGGATCTTTCTTTGTGAGAATGCGGGTTCTGCGGAAAACACAGAATATATCACCTTCTATTACTATCTACGGTCTGAATCAATACATTTCGTTAAGAATAATCCAGAACTTGGATTGAGAATGAAGAGGGGGAGGTCTGGTCAATCATCTAAACAGTTGAAATTTCAAGTCTCGCGTCAATATAACCTAAAATCAAATGCAAGTCTATGTAATGCAAATCTTCAGGTGGTATCTATCATCAAATCAAATGCTGGGGAATGCAAGCCCAAAGGTTGCTGACGAATGGGGACAGGGAATCAAATATGCGACAGAGCACGGTCGTGAAGGTGCAACTCCAACCCAGCACTGACACAGTCTATATGCAAAGGCTCAGCAGCTTGGTATATTTTGTCCTTGATCACAGCTTCAAGTACTTCCGGTCCGGAGTTGGTCACCTGATCATCGTCATCCGACGAGACATTTTGGAATGCACCCTCGATATCAACACGCTTGAGTTGAGGGAAACGAGTCCGGCGATTTTTGATCACCGTCTGTAATTGGGAAACCAACATGCCCAGATATCGCTCCTCACATCCTTCAATGTAAAGGGTCTCAAGCGACGATGGAAGACATTCCATGAGAGGCGTGGTTGGTTCATTCTGGTAGCGAATGTCCAGAAGATTTGGCAGTCTCACACGCACTTCCTTTAAGGCAGTGAAATCAACAAGAGAGCCAAACCACTCATCGTGGGATTGATTCAAACCAGCAGCCGTGAACGGGTAGTGGCTGCCATAGTGGTCCAGCCACAGTGTTTGCAGGCTCTTTTTGCTGTGGGTCAGAGAGCGATGGAAGGCGGATGGTTGGTAGCCATGCGAAAGGACGTGCGAGTCCGAGTGCTGGTATTTGAATGACCTCAGGTCTGCGCATGAACTAACCAATGCCTCCATGCCGTGGTTTCCACTACTTGCGCGCAAATCAATGTCGGTGATGGAGGAGAAGCCAAGACGTGGCATCTCATCATCCGTCGATCCCTCGGAGCGTGGAGTGATGGAACTAGGGTCCACTACCGAGTTGGCTGTGATTGTACGAACAGATGGTAGTTGGAAAAATGGCAGGAGCAGTGTTGATGATAGTTGAGAGTCACCTCCCACATCGCTCAGGTGCTCGTTATGATCAAGATCTTCCCGCTGATGCAATGAGACTTCGCGTAGGTGCCGGAAGGGTTGGACGGAGAACGGCTTTTCACGGTCCACGGCCCTTTGCATGATCAGGTCCAAATAAGGAGAGTTTGTCATATAAGACAGCGAAGTCTTCCTGAGCTGACTTAACAATGGGAGGATGAGCGCAACCCAGGCGTCGGAAAGGCCTTGTCCAAGGCATTGGGCCCACTGATCACTTTCGAGTGTTGAGCATGATACAGCATCTAGCCATGTCCTCAAAGCTGCCGAGGTCTGAATTTGGCTGCAGTCGTCGTCCGATACGCTTTTTGCATGCCAGTCTGTTAGGTCTAGCTCCCGGGCGGCCCGCGCCAGCGCAGGTCGTTTCAGTATGGCATGCAGGAACGAATTGGCATCTTGCCAGTGGTTGATAGACACGGTTCGATATACCAGCGGGAGAAAAAGATCGTGAAAGTGACGGGAGACAAAGATAAGGTTCCAGCGGTCTGCTTTCTGTTCCAGCTGCTCTCCAATTAAGAGAAGTACGTCATTGGGCAGTGCCAGCTGCATGATAGCACATTCGAACTTCAAATTAAGCCAGACAATGAGTGGAACATATGAAAATCGGAAGGAAAGAACCACAAAAATCAATTGCGGATCAAAGCAGTGAACGAGGAGTTAGGAGTTAGGAGTACTCCATATTTAAGATCAAATTTCAATTATCGTGAAATTGGCCACCGGTCTGGAAGATCAAACTTTGATTCGGACCGGCCAATGCCATATTGCCCAGCCCGGTGGATCTATATCCGGACACTCTGAGAGGCCATAAATTGTTCGTTTCCACTTTTAAGGGAAAAAAAAATTGGACGTCTTAATCCCGAGATTGCGTCTGTATGGGAGGTTTGCCGATTTCTCGGATTATAATTCCGACTGTTTCTTCAACCGAATATCGCAGATATGAAGAAAATAATGAAATGAATCGTATCGAGTCCTCTACAGTATCTCCCGAATTTCGCACGATTGGGTGTGGAGTGGTTAGGTCTGAGGGGCAGAGATTGGCAGTCGAAGGACCACTTAGGTGCATAGATGTGCAGTTATTGCGACGATACCCCGTGTTAAAGATGGTGTCCGAGTCATGCAGTCGCGGGGTTATAGGGCATAGACGATCCCCTCCACATCGCTCCAACGCGATAGAAGTCATCGGAGAACAGCAAAAAAGATGGCATGAAATGTATATTGAGCAGCATAAGTATGGAAAACCCCACGATGACAGAGGTGGATCAAACCGAGTGTGGGCTCGCGGAGGGTGATAGTGGAGAGAGCTAGAGGTCAACTGAGACATTGGGCATTGGACTTGGACACACCTACAAGTGCAAGACGAGTACGGAGTAGAGTACAGATCGTGAAAACCACGAAGTGGGCCATGTCAGCGACAAAGTTCACATGCCATTATTAGCCCAAAATGCCCAGTGTCCCTCGATAGCTTGATCGACGGATTGTCATCTTTCGGAGATTTCCACGTTATTATCCGCTCCCGCAGATGCCGCCACGTTCATCAATGCCCATCCGACCTAGGCACGTGGCTCCCAATGCCAAAGCTGCATGCTGTACCATAAGTCCATGCATGATTTCTAGTGCAAATATTCCTCCCTCGCACGCCATGGTCAAACTCGCGCCAGCACAAGCAGGTTGACCCCAATCTCTTTTCAGCGGCAAAAGTACTCCACGCTTGCGCTACACCCCAAAGGAATCACTCGATGGAGATGACATCCAACCGGCGATGTTATAAGGGCGATCAGAAATCCATCGAGCAAAATCAGCACGGCCATGCGTCTATCTCTCCAATATGGAATATAGCCATTGCGTCAATACAATGGACCCGGAGAGATAATGTAGTCGAGACAACCGCTGGAATTATATGTAATTTAGAAGCTCAGAGTACAATAGAGCCGGATCCGCGGTTGATTTAACTGGTGCCAGCACTTGCAGTAGCGGCAGTAGCAGCTGTGCCTTGCACGTCTATAAACCACACCTGGAGAGCAGAAGTCACCACAACAATCTCCCAATTTTCTCCCATAGTACCAGTCAAGCCTACGCCCATGAAGGCAAATCGAAACCCTTTCGTCATGCTCCAAGAAGCGTTATGCGCGATGAGAGCCACAATCTGCAACCCATCGCTCGTATAACCCCGATCGCGCTCCTTCCTGCTCCCGCCTACACTATTCACCGGTCCTGTCAACCGCACCAGTTTCCATCCATAGGAATGGCCGGCGAGTTCTTTGATTTCGTTACCATGGCTCTTACGCCACTCGAATCTCTCGGGTGTTGTTCCCTTCGGTCCCACGGCTATTTCGAACGTGTAGCTAGGTGAAGTATGCTTCAGCGATCCAACAGGAACGACCTGTGCCACGATAGCATCTGCATGTTGAGCTCCTGGACGAGGTGGGAGGGTAATTGCGATGGGCCTGCTCCTTCCCCACTTGTCGCCTTGGGCCGTTGCCATTACTGGGTGCTTATTAGTTGGGCCATCGTGTAGCACAACCGTGGGTTTGTTATTGAAAACATTCGCGGGGGCTGACACCGCGTACAGCTTTTCTTCCGCGGTCGGCCCAAGGTGGAATGTGGTTGTAAGTTTCCATTGAAAGTATCCGTTCATGGCGGGTGGGAATTTGGTGGTTGCAGATGTACTGGGAGATTCATTATAGGATGGTGTGTCATGTTGGGGGGCTTGAGCCGCAGTCTGCGTATCATGCTCTGTGTAAGGTGGTGGTAAAGCATCGAGTGGATCGGTGTTTGAAATAGAAGACGGTAAATCGGTTAAATCGGGCGCAGCGCCCATTATTATTATTATGTGACACTTGTGGAGGAGAGAACAAAAGGGGAAATAATGAAGGAAATGAGAATTCGCGGGATGCGGCCCCCCACATTTTGGGCCCCAACGCCACAGGCGCCAGACTTCCCGATGTTGTTCCCAAGGGATGCGACCTGACCGGTCATTCCAAAGATGATTCCTTGCATATGGCCATCTCTGCTTGTTGGGTAGTTTTGGTTTTATTATTAGAGACTTCAACGTCGCGCACCTGTGAGGGAAAAGAGACCATGCAGCAGTCCTCCTGACCTCGTGTCCGTTAGGAACAACTTTTTTTTGGGCCAATGTACGAAAAGGATTCGTAGTAAATATATGGGCTCACTGAAGCCTTCAAAGTGCACCTGATATAGTATTTACCTGGAAGCATTGACACAGAACCATCATGCGCAGGTATTTTGCGGGGTCAATGCAGGCAATTCGGGGTCAATGCAACCCCAGTGGCGCCATAGTATGGAATTATATTGCAACCACGACACCAGTCGTTAGATGTTGTATCTGACTCCAGGCGGGTCACTTACTATTCCTTGAGATCTGCACTTGAAATATCCGACCATGGTAAGCCAAGGTTACATCAAACGCTTACGAGGATCTGATCGAATGATTGGTTTTATGAATGGTGTACTCAGTCATCGAAGAAGCTACCACCCACGAGTATACCCAGGCCGTGAGAACCGGAAATAGGACTCGATCCATGGTAGGCTGTAGTGGAAAGGCGGCTGAAAAGGTGACCTGTCTCGATAAACGACTGTCGACCGGATCTTCCAGGATAAAAGAAGCATTAGTAAAGGGAGCTAGAGTGCCACAGGCGTAGTGGCGTCGACTATCTGCTAGGATTCGGGCACGGGCCCAAACCAAGCTAGCAAATTCGAGAGGAAGATTCACGGTTGGTTGGACACATTTTCTTGGTCTGACTGTTCAATCTGGACTGCATGAATTCTCAGCCCCGGGTTAACGGCAAAAGATGCAAATATGGTGTATCACATTTAGTACCGGCTAGTAAGTGACCTGGAATCAGTTGGAAGCGACAGACGGCGGGAAACGACAGTAGAGAGTTTGCACACGGCCCGCGACATGGTTTTGGACAGGGATGCTGGGGCGTCCCAGGGTACTATTCATCTAGTAAAAGGGAGAGGAGGGGGAAGCTGATGCATCGTTCCCGATTGTAGCTCCTCGAGAGGGCCCCTCCTGTGTCATTGACAGTCGTCGTAGGATGAAGAAACCGGGTCCTAAACGGCCGAATCTTGGTGGTCAGCAATTGACGTGAGCAAGCAGGCCTTTGTTTCGGGCTTTCGCCCCGAGAGTGAAAGTCTCGAGTGGCATGTTTGAACCTGGTAACTGTAGTCTTGATGGCCCACTTGGCGCCGTAATTTACGGCTTCGCAGGCTGCGCACTCAATCCTCCAGCCGCAACCGTAATGTGGCGCTTTACAGCTGTACCGAAATACAAGGTATGTGGCCTGCTGGGATTTTGGGATGGAGGTTCAACTTAGCAGAGCCTCTGGAAGGAGGTGGTACAACAGTCATCAGCATGGAATTTGCTTCCAGAGTGTCGTGCAAATCATGGTTTTTAGTCGGGTCGTACCACAGACACGAGCGTTTCTTCGTCGGACAAACAGGCCCCGAGGGCGTTGCCTCATGGATGTGCCGTGTCACCGAATCATAGCGGGAGAGGCGTGTTGCCAAGGAGAACTGACCGCTAGCCGTCTGGCGATGGCGCCCTAAGTCAAGCCTCTCGTAAGCCAAGATCACAATTTTGACATCGACACAGAGCGGATGACGGCTCTCATTGGGGTGAGTGATACTTGACCCTTGGTCCTCAATGGCGGAAAGTTATTTTTGTGTTTTACCCTTTTTCTGTATTGTCGACAAAGGAGGGGAAATCAGGAGACTCTCATCCATGGACCTTCCAACAAGACCCTTAAACAAAATAGGCAAATGTCCGACAACGCGATGATACCATGTGGCTTGAGGCGACACATGAAGTTACATACAGTACAAGGCTGACCGGCATCTGATCACAAACTAATTTGATATCCAGCTGATGATTGGTGACGCGGTGACTTGGTCGCTTCCAAAGGTTGGCTTTGATAGGGTCCAACATATTAAAGTAGAAATGCCGCGTTTCCTTCGTATTTACGGTGTTCCTTTTGGGTCCGTACGGACTCTCCGTACGGAGTATTAATTTGTACATCCATTTGTAGTAGCAATGCCACTATAATGCACGTAGCATGTATTCCGGGGAACCCACGATACGCTTCTTCCCCGCATCTCCACATCTCCGCGTTTTGTTTTAGGACTTTTTGGGTTTGACCCTTTCCTCTTTGGGAATTTAATGTTTTACTGTTTTACTGGGATTCGTATTTTTTCTTCCAGCTTCGTATCTTTAAAGTCTCTCACCCTTGCTCTTGCTTGTCTATTTCCTTTCCCCTTTCTCCCTCCATCTCTGACCTGACTTCCTTGCGGACCCTCATCATGGGGTACAAGATAACTAATATCTATGTCATCACGACGGTGGCCGTCATTGGCGGCGCACTATTTGGTTTTGATATCGCTTCCATGTCCGCCATGTAAGACTTCTCATCCTTTCACAATATCAGGGCGAGGAGTGATCACTGACTATCTCATAGTCTCGGCACCCAACAGTACAAGTGTTTCTTCAACCAGCACGGTACCAACGAGGAGGGTGATTGCGGTGGCCCTACCTCTGCCAATCAGGGTGGTATCTCGGCATCCATGCCTGGTGGTTCCTGGGTGGGCGCTCTAGTTTCGGGTTTCGTAACTGATTATCTGGGTCGTCGCGGGGCCATCCAGTCTGGCTCAGTGATCTGGTGCATTGGCAGTGCCATCGTGTGTTCTTCTTTCGGAATCCCCCAGCTTGTCGTTGGCCGCTTTATCAACGGTCTTTCCGTCGGTATCCTCAGTGCCCAAGTCCCCGTCTATGTCGCCGAGTTAGCCCAGCCTAGTAAGCGTGGCCAAGTGGTGGGAGCACAACAGTGGGCGATTACATGGGGTATCTTGATCATGTTCTACGTCTCATACGGCTGTAGCTTCCTTAAGGGTACTGCTGCATGGCGCACTCCGTGGGGCTTGCAGATGGTTCCTGCCGCCCTCCTTTTTGGCTTGGTGTTCCTATTGCCTGAAAGCCCGCGTTGGTTGGCCAAGAGAGATCGCTGGGAGGAGGCTCACGAGGTTTTAGCTTCGGTCCATGCCAAAGGTGATCGAAATGCGCCGTTCGTGCAGTCCGAGTTACAAGAGATCCGTGAAATGGTCGAGTTTGAGCGCAGCAACAAGGATGCCTCATACCTCGACCTTTTCAAGGGCCCTATGCTGTACCGAACCCATCTCGGTGTGTTCACTCAAATTTGGTCTCAGCTCACCGGTATGAACGTTATGATGCTTTACATTACATACGTCTTTGGTATGGCCGGTCTCACTGGAAACTCGAACCTTGTCGCATCCTCGATTCAGTACGTCATCAACGTGGTGATGACCATTCTAGCCTTGCTCTTTATCGACCGCTGGGGCCGTCGCACCCCGCTTTTGATCGGTTCTACCCTCATGATGGTTTTCATGTTTGCCAACGCTGGAATCATGGCATCGTACGGCAAGCCAGCTCCACCGGGCGGTCTCAACCATACCCCTGAACAGTCGTGGGATCTCTCTGCGGCTCCCCAGGCTGCTAAGGGAGTAATCGCTTGCACCTATCTTTTCGTCGCCAGTTACGCACCAACTTGGGGCCCTGTCAGCTGGATTTACCCCCCTGAGCTCTATCCTCTTCGCCTGCGTGGCAAGGCTGTGGCACTTTCAACGTCGTCTAACTGGATCTTCAACTTCGCCCTATCCTACTTCGTCCCTCCCGCTTTCGAAAATATCAAATGGAAGGTTTATGTGGTCTTCGGGGTCTTTTGCTTTACAATGACAGTCCATGTGTTCTTCGCCTTCCCCGAAACAGCTGGCAAAACCCTGGAGGAGGTTGAAACTATGTTCAGCACTCCTGGTCTTACGCCCTGGAAGACCGCGGTGCAGTACCATCACGTTCGCAGGCTGGAGCAAGGAGCTATTCAGTCAGATAAGGCGGCAGATCTTCGCGCAGAGGAAGGAACCGCCCCAGCTCCCAGGTCCAGTGAGAAAGATGCCACCGTTGCGCAGGTTGAATAGGTACCTAGTGTCCATGACTCGATGCAGAATCTCGTTCACTGCGCCCTTTCCATTTTGTAAATGGATCCAGCCTTTACTAATTGCACAATTTGCCTTTTATTCCTTTCGCGTTGTCGGGCTATTACCCCCAAAGTCTCCTAATCATGATTTAACCGCGAAATACCAACGGGGTCCGAGCCCCTCTTGCTTTTTTCTGAGTGTCCAGATTGTAGTTTTTGTAAGCCAAGATAAATTAATGATAGTTCCTACTACTGGTCACGGAATTATCTTGCTGAATTGCTCGTCGATTGGCGCTCCAGTGTCTGCTGTGAGTTTTGACTGGTTGTAAAAGACTGGCTGTTTACCAGTTAGGTCGCGGCATCTCTAGGGTTCAAGTCAGTAGCCCAGAGCGCCAAAGATGGGGATCGAAGGTTGTTCGAGGCAGATTGTACTAAGAGGTCCATGTTAGTCAGAGACAGCCCCGGGGCCTCCGGTCAAAATAATTGATGGATGGGTACATAGACATGACTGACATAAGTGATGCTAACCCTTGGAAGCCCAGAAAGTAATACGATGAGCTTAGTTGAAATATCTACATACTACTATTTGCACCACAGACAAATCCAGCCCACTGTGCAACGGACCCGTAGATATCCAAAATCAGGTTGGTAATATCAATGTCAGAAGGTCTTCTTTCACGCTGTAAATACACAATAACTTCATAATGACACTTGATGCTCAGTGGTATCTTCTGTTCAAATGTGACTTATAAAAATAATCCGGCCGACAAGAAGGCCGAGCTGAGCATGAGGTTAGAAGCATCCAACACCCGTGGACTAGTGCGGATTATTTAATCATCCAATTCGGGGCAATCCTCGTAAGTATCCTGAGACATTTCGTCGTAAGGCGCCGGGAGGGTCCAAATGAGGTCGAAACTATATGAATGTTAGGGAAGTCGAGCCAAATTCATGAGATGAGCAATACTGACCTATCGTCGGGATAATGTGGCGCATCATCGACACCCAGTGTTTCCAGGATGTCCGTCAGTGTATCGTGCTCCCAGCAAATCAGTATATTGCCTTCTTTGTCGTAGTCATCGATAAAGTCCTTAACGCAATCTGGGTCGTCCCGGTCGCAAGACGTATCCACAGTGAGACCGAGATCTCCAGCCAGCGGCTTAACGGTGTCGCGGGGACGGGCGCGTTTTCCATCTGTCCGTTGATATTAGCCCTTGGTCTAGTCTATAATACTGCGTACCGAAACCGCATAGGGGAAGGGTATAACCATACTGCTCTTAGGTGTTTGCGCCATAATATGGGTGATATTATAATCGGAATTCTCGCCGAAAATTTTGCGAAGGCATTGTGCACGTTGGACTCCTTGTGCATTCAATCCAGTTCCTCCATCACTGGGTTTCTCTCCGTGTCGAATGAGATAGACTGTAGGAGAGTATGCTGCTGCAACAGAAGCAATGGCCAGTACACCGTAAGGCAGAAGTCCGAGCATGGCGCCGAATTATCTGGGGATAATAGAGAAATGGATGTTCATCTCACAGGAATCTTGGGGGTAAGAAATTTATATATGAGATTATAGTCTAATCCTACGCTATACTAGTACTTGAGCGAAGGCCAACCATTTTAGTGGTCGACAGGCCATGAAACGTTCGTGGTGTGCGATTGGTGGGTGGTTGGGGCGAGATCTTATGGGGGAAATGGGGCCCGAGACAGATCGGAGCCAATACTAGGATTGTCAGAGTAGCATTGAACTTGCAGTGGCTTCACTCACTGGCTACAAATGGAAACTCCTATTTTCTGCAGAGGATTGTATCCTGCATTCACTATTAAAGGGAAAGATGACCCATGTCATATGTACCATAATGGGCATCTCAGTCCGCTCATCTCCACCCCCGCCAGCCTCTTGAAGGCTGCAAAGCAACAGCCCAAACTAAGCCAATAGCTGAATATATACGGCGTGTACATTTGGCATATCAGATCTAGGTTCCGTTCTTCCTTTTCCATTTGAACACGTGAATGGAGGGTTTCCAATGAGTTTTTGTGCTGTTCCCACTGATTTTACTTCTAGACGAGTACCCGGTGGGCAAAGAGAATTTATTCGGGCCGTTGCTTCCGTACCTAACCCTTTTAGGGGTGCTGGCCCGGATGAAAAAAAAATATTTGTAGTCATATAACTTTTAGCGAACTGCTATCCACCTATATCATCTATGATGCATTTATATCGTACAGATCGCTGCTGCGTCCAGTGGGCCTTATCCTCGGGTGCCGTATCCGGCGACGACATGATATATTACAGTATTACAGCATTGGGTAGACCTGGCGAATAGCTGCGGGGCTCGGAACAGCAAATACGAAGGGCATGAGTGGCAGAAGCTCAAAGGTGTTGTTGCGTGGAAGACGACGCCGACCTCTCAGAAGCCAAAACCCATGGCGCACGCCACCCGAATGTGGCCACTAGACTGGACGCAATAAGAGACACCTGGGAACTGAATATACTGAGAGAACAAGCCGGTAGAAGGAGGGTCAGTGCTGATGGCAGAGCGATTCCAAGGTTGGCTTAGAGGAGATTATCAAACGATAGTGTGAGGAGAAAGACGAAAGAGATCGAAGGTATGGCAGCAGCCAATGCCGACACATTACGTGCTTATTGACTATTTTGACTAGAAGTTGGAGGTTTCTAGTTCAATTGGAGAGGGCACTCTTTCCTTGGTGAAAACAACGGTGCGCCTTGTAGGGCTACCTAGGTAGGTTATAGCTTTGAAGGCTTGGCGATCTGCCAACCGTGGTGCAAGGGGCCGGGCCTTGGCAACCCCGATATGGCCTCATGTCTGACATGCTAGGACTACCTACGATATTGGAACACGATCGGAAAAGCTAAAATTTAGCGGTTTGGGTGCTTTAGTTAAGACTTCGGGTCACATCGGCTTTGTTAGAGTTCGTTAAATTCCGAGCAGGGCTGAATAATTTCAAATATACTAAATATATATTTCTTTTCTTTACATGGACGCAGATATTGTTGACTTCATAGTTTAGCCGTTGCTACCCCTAACCCGTCTGCTGCTCTTCGTAATGACTTCCAGTATTTATCCTTTCGTTGGAGAATCTCGAATCCTTGTTCTGCCCATCGATCATCCCAAGGGGAAAGTAGGTAACCCCCTGTTCCCGGCGCTGGGTTGCCGGCCAAGTCTGTCAAGAAATCGAAATATTCTTTAAAATAGCCTCTTTTAAATCAGGGCTGTTTTCTCATCAATTAACTGTACAAAAGTAAGCGATGATGTCAAAATACTCCACCTTCTCGGAATTGCAGCTAAGGACGTGATGGACCAGTATTGCTAGACACCAGCTGTGGGGTGACTGTTCGTTGGGAGTAACCTGCAAGATTTATTTAGGCTAGTGTTGACGCAATTTGAGATTGATATGGTTGCATCTCGGATCCAATCAACATCCGCCATACTGGTCATATAGCTCTCTTTTGGTGTGCATTCAACGTTCTTCGGGCAAAATCCCACAGAAGACGGATGTGCAAACAACGGCAGGTCTGGATTGCGACTATGTAGGGGAGGTTGCACCGAACGTGAGACTATACGGTATGAGATGTCTCAAGTTCATTTAGCAGCGCGCTCCCACTCAACCTCACTCAGTTCTTTCCAATAATCCGTGCCACTCGGCGTAAAACCGAGTTTCTGCAACAACTTTGCACTTCTGCTGTTTTCTCTCTCTGTCTCGGCGATGAATCTTTTGATCCCTCTTTCATCGACAGACCACTGCATAATCGCCTTGGATGCCTCCTGTGCAATTCCTTGCCCCCAGAACTTCGGCGAGACGCCGTATCGAAGCTCAATCATTTCGACCCACGATGGCAGCGCAGGATCTCCAGGAACACGTAACGGCATCGAGGTTGTTGTGGCATCACGGAGACCTGCATACCCGACCCATTCGGAGGAAGCGAGATCGATATTATTGAGGCCCGCAACCCGAAGATAGTCATCGCCTTTGAGCGTAGCAAAATCGTCATTTTGTGTGGAGTGATTATCAGGCTCGAATGTGGATGGTCCGCGCCACCCCACAGCAAAATCACCCAACCCGCGCCTTTGCCAACAACGCTCAATATCACGCGTCTGGATCACATCATGCGTCTCCTTATCGCTCCATATCCTGGCTGGAAAGTGATGCCCGAAACCCATTTGACAGAACTCCACATTTGCATGTAGGTCGGAATAAAGCGCCCGGTATGAATTGAAGGAGATTGCTGTTGGGGTGGGAACAAGGACCAATCGAGGTGTGAGGATAGCGAATTGATCAACAGATTCTCCGTTATCTGAACCCATTTTGCGGATGATCGGGCCCTACAGTCAATCCGAATAAAAGAACACAACCCGGACTTGTATGCTTTTGGGAGGAAAAGAAAAGGAAGTGTTGATCTTTCCCTGTAGGTCACGTGTACGTGATGTTGGCCGTTTGATACCCTTCCAACCATGGAAGCTTGATATGTTGACTGTTAAGATAGTTGTATCCGGAGGCAAGAAAGAAAGAAAAGATTGCAGGTGGTTGCCTCGTAAAGCACGTTGGCTCGCTGGTCAGCGCCTTCTTTGGATCCGCTCTCGAATGCCTTCCAAAGTTCTGTTTTGACTATCCATAGTTGGCTGTAGCGTGGTGACTCTATTGCGAACTGAAGCCTAGTATGGCGATCTTAATAACAGGCGATGGTGGTTTACAAGCCATTGGTGGATTGTAATTCCCCAACTTTCTCGCGTCACATTGTGAGTGATATTCGCCATCTCGGTGAATATGTCAACACCATGACACTACTACATGTAATATATTAACTTACCTACCTCGCAGATTCTAATGCTGCATAGGATTACAGCAATATCTCTCTTCGGTGTTTATTCGAACCAGCCAAGCTCATTGCCACTGCATCTTCAACCCTTGCTTTTGCAGAGGCGGATGCCATCCCTTTCTCGGGTCGGACAAGCCGAACAACATCTGACACAACGCAAACATTTCGTTATTCTCCAAAGTGACAACTCGATGAGTAGCCATGGCCGAGGCTCGTCTAGCTAGTCCAGAATCGGTTGAGCAAGAAATCGAAACCATCCCACCCCCTGGGGATGTAGAAAAGTCGCAAAGCGTCATAACAGAGATCAATACGAATGCACAGATTGACGAGTTCCCTCTTCCCACAGAGGCTGAGAGCCACACGTTGCGCCGAGTCTCAGGGACACTGCCACTTGTCGCCTTCTCACTCTGTCTCGTTGAATTCGCCGAACGTGCGTCCTACTATGGATCTAAAACAGTGTTTTCCAACTTCATACAATTTCCACTTCCCGAAGGTGCGTGGTTAGTTTCGAATGAGGTGTTTGCTCGCAGTTGACCAGGGATTTGTAGGCGGCAATGGAGCTGGCGCTACGCCACGGGGTACTCAACAAACTGCCGGGGCTTTGGGTATGGGGCTTCAAGCAAGCTCTGCATTAACATTGCTGTTTGTCTTCTTGTCATATGTGATTCCCATATTTGGCGGCTGGTGGGCAGATGTCCATGTTGGTCGGTACAAGGCGATCATGGTCGGTGTGGTCATTTGTGGCGTCGCCCATATGATCCAAATTATCGGTGCTATTCCCTCTGTTCTTCAGAAGGGCTCATCCAATGCTGCTCCCCCCTTTATTCTCGGCCTGCTGGTATTGTCTGCTGGTGCTGGAATCTTCAAACCAAACGTTTCACCCTTGATCCTGGACCAAATTCGCCAGAAGAAGGCCTACACCAAGCAGCTCAAATCCGGTGAAAAGGTCATCGTCGATCCAGATGCCACGAACACAAGAACCATGCTGATATTTTATGGCTTTATAAACATCGGTGCTTTCTTCATGCTCGCTACTACATATGCCGAGAAATATGTTGGATTCTGGCTGTCGTTTCTGTTGACGGGAATCATTTATTTGCTACTCCCGATTCTACTTTTGACAGTTCGCAATAGAATACACAAGGAGCCACCCAGAGGGGGTTCTGAGCTCGCACGAGTGTTGAATATCACAACGATCGCACTCAAGCAGAACAAGTTTCGAGTATGGCGGACGAACTTCTGGGAAGCAGCAGACCCTGATACCCTGCGCAGTAAGGGCATCACAGTGGACTGGACAAGGGATGCGGTGAAGGAAATTGCAAGGACTCTCGGTAAGTCTATCAAGTCATACTCTGTTCATTCGCCCCTTTGAGTTTTCACACACATCTATTGCAACACCGCGGTGTGTGGCCTTTCCACTTCTGATACCATCCCTGACCCAACTTTTTGAACAGGCGCATGCGATGTGTTTTTATTTTTCCCTATCTGGAACCTCAACGTCGGTGGCATTGGCTCAGTCGTGACGAACCAAGGCGCAGCCATGATCACAAACGGGGTCCCCAATGATGTTCTGAGTAACTTCAGCCCACTGACTATTATTGTTGCGATCCCGCTCTTGACCTTCGTGGTTTACCCGACTCTGCACCGTTATAGAATCCATGTGGGCCCCATCACCCGTCTCACGTTTGGATTCTTCTTGGCGATGATTTCCGGCATTGTAGGGACTATAGTGCAATGGAAAGTATACAAGCTATCGCCGTGCGGATATTATGCATCAACATGCGACACCGTTGCTCCTATTAGTATTTGGTGGCAGGCTCCAAATATTGTTCTTGGAGCATTGAGCGAGTGCTTTTGCAATGTTACCGCATACGAACTGGCATACGCGCGATCACCTCCGAGTATGAAAGGCCTGGTTGTGGCAATCTTCCTATTTATGAATGCGCTCTCGAGCGCACTTGGTGAAATTTTGATTCCAGTCACGAAGGATCCCTGGCTATTATGGATCTGGGGCGCACCGGCAGTTGCGTTGGCTCTCCAAACAATCATTTTTTGGGCGAGATTCAAAGGGCTCAACAATACCATGGATGGAACAGATGTTCCCCATCGCTCTGAGGATGAGGTGAAGAGCGATAGGCGGACGCCCACGGGAAGTACAATGAATGTTTGACCTTCGAGCCGAATATCTCCTAGGTTCGTCATGATATGAAAGAGTCCAAAGTTTGAAGCTCTTGCTCTCTCGTCCTTGGTGAGACGTTTGCCTCCCTGAGACACCTCTTCTAAGTGTATATGGATAGCTGGTCATATTATATAATTATTCTCCATCGAGCTTTGTATAAACATCATGCGTAGGATAGTGTTTCCCCAAGATCAAGCCCCTCAAAACATGCTTAGCCAGTTCTTAAGGCTCAGCTTCCCATGTCGCGGACTAGTAGTAGATAGTCAATCATTACTACACGTCGTCCAATGGTTCCTAATATGATTCAAAAATAAATCATACACACAAGTGATATTGCAAACAGCCGCTAGAGGTAGGGAGTCTAGCAGTTGCAATCAAGGGTCGTGGGAAAGTCAGTAGGGGCGGCTCGGCTGGGCTTGTAGAACGAATAGAATGACACCAATATATGTTTCATACTTTTCATTTAACATGTGTCAGAGCAGCTGGTGTCAGGTGTCAAATCTATATTAGAGACTGCGAAACGGAATTCCGTATCGGGCGAATACACATGCAATTCGGGTTGCTGTCCACGGGTGAGATGCTATTATTATTCAAGCACGTGCAAATCTTGGAGACTTTTTCATGTGATCCCGAGTGTTGTTCGAAGAAACGAGGGCGGTGTGTTAATGCCATCACATGCATCCGCACTCCCGGTGGTGCTTAACTTTAAATAAGGTACGGAGTACTCCGTATGGGGAGGCGACTTAAAGATGCCCCTGGCGGTTGTCTGATCTCGGGGCTGATGCGCGATAAAGAAGTTCTAAAATTATCTCATAACCTCTTTTTTGGGTCTCGATATCCGAACTGTAACACGAAACATTAAATGAAAAATGAAAAGAATGACTGGGACGAAACGACACGTTGTTTTTGGTAGCTCTCTGATTGGGCAGTTGTTAGAAGAAGAGACATCAATGTTTATCGTGATGATTGAGCCAATATTAAACTTCATTCAAGACAAGATCAGTGCAGATCTCACGTACATTCCGGGCATAGAGGTACCTAGGTAGGTAGGTAGGTAGGTACGAAATCCGGAGTTGTACAACGTTATACGAAATTAAGCTTAAAATAGGGCCCAAAACAGCCCTCCAATGTGATGATCATGCTCCTGGTATCCAATGGAGTGAATTGGCCGAAAAATAACGAGTGATCTCGATTTAGCAATTTTCAGGCAAATCAAGTTGGATGATCAAAAAGAGCTTAAGTTTTCGACAAATGAGGGAACTCCCATTGTTACTGACAGAGTCAAGTTGAGGACTCGAGTGCCGGGGCGCCAGGGCCCCGGGGGTAAACACACTTCGTCGTCCGTACTCCGTACTCTGTCCAACACACAGTAGGACAACGTGATACCTGCCAAGCCCTTTTATTAACTTTTTTTTTCCCAACTTTTGCTTATTAGTGGATCCCTAGATTCTCCCGAGGTCGAAAAAGGGGGTTGAAAGACTTCCCGTACTGTGGATAGCCTCGAAGGCAACGCCGAAATATATCGCTAGTGATCTGATAGCTTCGATAGATTTCGCCGTAGGTTCTAGCATGGGATAGTGTCAGATTGCATGAGTGCCCTTATTTTGGTAATTGATTGTATCCCGAGGTCATTTGTATCACCGAGCAGAAAAAGTTTCAATGGACTAAAATTCCGTTGGGCCCCAGAAACGTTGAAAAGGGAAAAAAAAGAGAAATGAGGCTAGCGTAATTTGAATCCATGGGACAAGCGCGTCCACCCGCTAAGCGATTATCCAATCAAAAGGTCTCTCCCCTGTCAGTGCGCCCAATTTGACAGTGTTCTGGAAAAGAATTGGAAAAAGGGGATTGGTCAATGTGTTTTTGAGTTCCGACAATCTAGAGCTCATTTTTTTTTGGGCCTAGGGGTTCCTTTATGGGGGCAAGGGGGCGAAGCAGAAAAAAAAAAGACAAGAAATTAAAAAAAACCCTCAATCCTCTACATATTTTCTGATCTCTGTCTTCTCCAATTCAACGATTCAACAATTCAAAATGGCTGTGACACAAAGGCAGCCTGTCAAGCAGGCTGAAAAGGTGTGGGATAACTCCAAACCACGCGATAAACAGTCGTGCATATACTAATCTTTGGGTTCTATAGCAGACAGACGTTCCCAGCTTGCAATCCCTCAAAGATGCAATCCCCAAGGAATGTTTTGAATCATCCCTCGCAACCTCCCTCCTCTATCTTGCTCGGGATATCGCCTATTGTGCAGCTCTAATTTACGCTGCACTCCACATTCATCTCCTCCCTACTCTGCCTATGCGAGTTATTGCCTGGGCCGTGTATGGGTTCTTCCAAGGCTGTGTTGGCACAGGACTATGGATTCTTGCTCACGAGTGTGGCCACGGCGCCTTCTCAAAGCACCAAGGGATCAATGATTTCATTGGCTGGGCTACCCACTCCTTCCTTATGGTGCCATACTTCTCATGGAAGATCACACATGCTCGCCACCATCGCTACACCGGTCACATGGAAAAGGACACCGTCTTTGTCCCCTGGACCGAGGATGATTTGGCATCGAAGCGCAATGTCAGCATTGAGCAGTTGAAGCACCTTGCTGAGGAGACACCCATTGTCTCCTTTATCCAGCTTATCGGACACCAATTGTTGGGATGGCAGATGTATCTCATCCTGAATGTAACCGCTGGTACCAAGAGTGGCCCTGAGGGATGTGAGAAGGTGAAGTATGAAAGCCACTACAACCCATCGAGCTCAATCTTCACCGCCGCCCAGTGGAAGCTCATTGTCTACTCCGACATCGGCTTGCTGATCATGGGCTCTATCGTGTGGTACACTGGCACTATCATCGGAGCGTGGAATGTCTTCTTCCTCTACGTGGTGCCATATCTCTGGGTTCACCACTGGCTGAGTACGACTTCATTCCCATCTTACCTGCGTCCTTAGAATGAGAACTAACAGAATACACAGTTGCCATCACATACCTTCAACACACTCACCCCGAGGTTGCTCACTACACCGCAGAAGCCTGGACTTACACCAAGGGAGCCCTCGCTACAATTGACCGCACAACTGGCTTCATTGGCCGTCACTTCTTCCACGAGATCATTGACTACCATGTGGTCCACCACCTCTTCAGCCGCATTCCCTTCTACCATGCTGAGAAGGCCACCAAGGCCATCCAGCCCATGCTCGGTGAAAATTACCACGAGCAGAAGGATGAGGGCTTCTTGTACTCCTTGATGGTGACCTTCCGCAAGTGCATCTATGTCTCGGAGAGCAAGGGACGCGCTAATGGACAGCCTGGAGTTCTCCACTTCGTTCTCTCAGATGAGAGCAAATAAAACTTGGTACTGTGAGGTGCCACCAGCATAGCCATATTATAAAATCATAGACTAGGATTCGGTTATAGATTTTGGTTATACCCCTGCAAGTGTTTGCGAACAACGATATATTTCGCCGGTGTGTTTGACTTCTGGTATATAAGGTTTACATTTGGATATGAGTAAACCTAAGTTATTGCGTGAACATGGGATATTTGACGACGGAAAACCGTGGAAGGTGCCGGTCACAATCAGTCCGATGTATCTTTCCTGATAGTAACTGGCCCCGGGGGTGCCCATTGCCTCCATAAGAGCCAAGAAATACCGTTGTTGCTCGGGTAACCCACCATATCCACACATATTCAATCTTACAAATCTTGCATACGATCGGGACGCAGTATGTTGTGTAGTCGGGGGTCTGGCCAATGGCTTCAAGCGTCGTTTGGCGCGCAATGGGTATCCGTATATGATTCGCGAGCTTCGACTAGGGTTTGAGCGAGTCGAACAAAGGTGGCGTAGAGAGCGTAGAGCTAGCTCTCTAGATGCAACCGAGGCAGTTCGGAGTATCTAGGGTTGCTGCTATATCAGCGAGCAACGCAAGACGGGTAGTTTCAAAGTAAATAAAGAACACAACGAACTGGACAAATGATGGGTGCAGGAGTACCCTAAGGAAACCGATAGTCAGTACTATTTAGATCAAACAAATGACGGGCAGGACGGAGAGTATAAAGATGCTTGTTTGTATGCATAGTTACGGAAGGCTGAACCATGTGAAATGTGAAACCATGCGGAATGTGAAGCCACATGGGCAGTGCGAACAATGAGGAATGCGAACCGAGAATTTGAGAGCTCTAATAACCGAGTTTTTCCACATTATATAGTTTCCGAGAGATGATTTGGGTCGTGTGGATGCGTAGCATGTGGGATCTAGTCGAAGTCTGTAAATATAATGCCCAGCAACTTTGCCCTCCATATAGTCACTGACAGACGCGACAGACAAGATACCTGGCCGTTGGGCGTTGTGTGTAGGTTGAGCATGAGGCCTGCGGCGACTGGGAATCCTAAAAAGTTATGGTAGGCTGACTCGCATCGGTAATGACTAGCTTAGCGTCGAAATCGTTAACGAGGAGGAAGAGTTCAACTTGAAGTTTTAGACGACAAGGGATAAAGTGAGCCGAGGGTGGGAATGAGCTCAAAAAGCTTTCGGTGGGCGGATCTGGACAATGAAGACACTGTAACAGCAATTATGGAGAGTCGTTATGAGTTAGCGATAGTGGAGAAGCGTGCGATGCTGGAACGTAGACTCAACGGTAGGTGATTCGGAATGTTCGCAGCTAGGTATATGGTATCAACGCCGGCTGGTGACGCCGGTACTCAACGGCTTGTGGAGTGGGCGTCAGATGTTGGGAGAGGCTCAGATCGGACGATTAGGCTGCTGAGGCAAGCCTGTATGTATTCGAGGGCGAGTTGCAACAAGTCGCTCATACCAAAACGTTGTACATTGTGCTCAGAAACCCGAGAAGCCAGTCGTTATGGTCTGTGGTGCTGGCTGGATCGATGATCGGTGGAAGATGAGGTCGTGAGACGCCGCCTATTGCGAGCTGTGGATCTCTGTAATAAAATCAGATGACGGGAAGTTAATTTGCACTTGGTTACTGGTAGGTGGCGTGGAAGGTGAGTTTGGCAATAGCAAGGGTTGCGATAATGAGGTTGATGGGAGAGAAGAGCGAGATAACCACGCATGTACGCAGGCTGCGTTTTTCGAGTATGTAACAAACTCATAAGACGGACAAGCTAAAAAAAGCTATAAAAGACGAAATAATTGACTTAATACGTGATGGAAAGAGACTAGGTATTCCAAACAAGGCAGACAAAGCTTTACTTGCTAGTTTCATAGGCTCGTGTATAATGCCTACATGTATTTAAATAGGGGACGCAAAAATAACCAAGGCCAAATCACACATCAAATTCACTCTTTCTCCCTCCTCCCGCCGCTGCCAAACAAACCACCCCAAGGTAATCATCAACTTCAGGCCCATGGCAAGCCATATACTGGACGCCATACTCGTGGTCTTAGAAAGCCCGCCCGCCGTCATAGCGCCCAGAAACAATGCGAGAAAAGCCCCTACCCGGCGGTTGCGCTTCGGGTTGAATTTTGCAGTCAGCTTTGGATCAACAAGGAGATCGGATAGCATAGCCGTCACAACGACTGTTGGGATTTCATCCATGGCCAGGACCCGAGAAGCACAGATCTGGCCGCCTGCTTGGAAAGCTAGAAGTGAGATTGCTACGACTTGCATCCATTCGATCGGAGCCCGGGGGTCCTCGGGCTTTGGGGTGATGACCTCCAGCTGTATAAGAATTGCTGTTGCCAAAAGGGCAATAGTCTGAAGGCCAAATGAAATTATCATGGTTGAGCGGCGTCGTGGCGTCAGGAATCGGTGCATGTGGATGAAGATGATATTGCTTGCAATGAAAACGGTTAGGGCGATCAGAGACTTCGCCCAGAGATATGCGGGAGTTGCAGGTTGACCGGAGGCACCCAATGCTAAGAAGATGGTATTTCCTGTGTCATTTGCCATTAGCCTTAATGCGCTTTGCACCACTGGAACAAATTTCTTGGTAACTATAGACTCCACATACCTGTTTGCATACTTGAGAAGCTGCCCCATGCATTAAATGATAGACCGTCTACCAAACCACCAACGAACCCGCATATTATAAAGAGGAATCTCGGTATGTGTGGTGTCTATGTCTGCTTGGAAGTGCCGGGAAATAGTTGAGCGAAATGTGTTGTCTTCTGTCTGGTTGCCAGAGACAGACACTGCTGTGCTGCCCCCGGAAGACCAAATTCCCGGTGTATACTTGAATTCTTCATTGGGCCGCTCCAACCGAGAATTTGCGGTTGTCAAGTCAGTCTGGTAGATGGAACGGGCATCAGGGGCGCGGGCCGTTGTTGTGAGTGGCTCGATAAATCCCGACGGGGAAGGGGGCCGGTGGTGCATGTTCGGGATTATTGTGAAAATGTATATTATTAAGTCGGCTAAGCTGAATAGAATCAAGTTTGGAAGCTTCTGATTTAGGTGTGCTAATGTGAAAAGAAATAGATTGCATGACACAGCCTTTCTTTAATACTGATCCATCTCTCGGATACATTCCGATCCTCTCCATGAAAGGAATAAGCTGGATTTTCGCCAAGAGAGATAAGAGAACATGCCGATGACATGAAACAATGATACTCGCCCCATCCCTACAGGTCTCGTGTATGTGTTACGGAGTACACCGGTGAGGGATACGTTGGGAGCCGAACTACTTGATCTAGATCTACTCCATACCGCTCTTCGTCCCACATACAATGTACGTATGCAATCACTCTAATGTTGATTATCGATATAACCAGGTCATTTTGCATGCGCAATATTCATAAAACGAGTACCCAAACATGAATACTTCGTACTCCGTACGCATCCTGAAATGAGTGGATCTCACAGATCCCACCTTAGCAGAATCTGGGCGTTATCTTGGCAGTATTATTATCTTCGTGTGGGTAATTCATCCCCGGACTTCATTAGAAATCAAACTATTCAATACGACCTCGGAAGCTGGGGATTTAGGGATTTACCTTGGCTCGGCGGAGCCCGTCAAGACCCGATCCTTAGGCTCCTAAATCCCAAGAAGCAATCCGCAGCATTTACTCACATTCCTTCTTGGCGGCATGGTTATACCTCATGGCATTGATTGGCTATATCTGCAAAATCAATGCACGGCAAACGACCGAATTTAAATTTGGAACCATTGTGACTAGTCATCATTCTATTTAAACTCGCCTACCCCTGTGTTTATCGGATTGATATGCAAATGCAATCACCTGGGCTGAGATGCCACCTTCGAGAGTGTATGTATCGCCTGCTCTGGCCCCTGAAAACGTCCAAGGTATCAAATGTAGACTTTATTTGCCAAGAGATCGACATATCCACCGAGACTAGTCTATTCTGGGCCTCCAAAGCGCTGCAGTGAGACTAGTCGCCAAGAACGATCTCCAGCATCATCAATGGTTCACCACTAGTCTTATCTCTGCACGCCAACGGCTAAAGTTCCCATCACACAGCCTCGAATACTAGATCTTGGCGTTTACTAGGTTGACTGCATCAACGAGAGAGTAGTTCAGGCATTGAGGCGTGCTGACGGGTCAAATCTTGGCATATTCTCCTTGTAAGGGATATGTAGGCTGCAGGAATATATGCCCGATTCGAAAAGGAGAAGTACAATAGCGATCACATTGCAGAGTCCATTGGCTTCGGAAGTTGGAATTTCCCAAAAAAGGGAAAAAAAGAATAAAAACTACTGTTCAGGCTCAATGGCAAAAAAATGGAATATTTCCATACGAAAAAGCAACACTACATGCCAAGGCGCGAGAAATCGTGATTCCTTCCCATGTCGTTATCTTCTGACTAGGCAAGGTCAATCGCGCGATGAAGCCGCCAACGATATGCGATAATGCCAAGAGGGATGTCTTAGGTTCACCTCCAATTGGCCAGCCCACCGACTGGGCAGTGTTTTGGCTTGAACTCATGTCTTAACCATTCTCCCTGCTGTGTGCGTGACATCACCACCTGATCATCGTCGACCAAGGATATACAACATAGTCGAAGACCCGCTACAATTGCTGCCAAGAGGATACCCAAGCGGGCTCCTTTTGATTCTCGAATCAGATCGTGACGATCTAGTCGAAAGTTTCATGGCATTGACAGAGAGGTAAGTATGTAGGTAGGGTTTCATGCAACATACTGCAACATATTGTAACACACAGGAGGTATGGCTAGGTGGATAGTTCAGCTCATGGTCTTGGTATTGGCCTTTAAAAAAATAAGGCCCGACGGCAAGGGTGAAGGGGTAAAGGTTAAAGTGGGGATGCCGACGTCAACGCCACGTTGAGGCTTTCTCGCCAGTTGGATGCTGTCACAGCTGTGTGTCAACATTCCTTCTTATCTTCAAGGAAGATCCTAACTTTAAGCATCCGAAATAATTTGCGGGGGTACCCCAACCCCGTACATTGAAAGGGATAGCGCAAAATTCCGCTAGGGCTGCGCCACGCTTAAAAGCGTGCTCGGCGTGGGATGTATGTCGATCCTTGACGATCCTTGTCGAATATTCCTGATGCCTTGGATACAGCCCACTTTTCGCCCCTTGCTGCAATAGGAGTCCATCTGGATACTGATAACATTCTTCGCCAAGATATTGCGTCAGTTGATTCATGGTTTCTAAGGTTTTTTGTCGGAGGAATGATCCGGGAAATGCTTGCATTGCATACAATTTTCTCGCGTGTCGGTTCTGCGTGGTCCGCGTGGCGGTCCAGACCCGGGCTTCATAGTTTTCGCATAAATAAATTATGCCTGGTCAAAATGAAAAGCCTAAAACCGAGGTGAAAGGTAGTCCATTGGTGAGCTCTTGGTTGTACGAAGTAGGAGTTCATAGATCATGCGAGTCTTATGCAACGTAAAAATCATACCTGGTAATGTGGGAGATCTCATTGTTGCTGCTGCTGGCTCTAACTATAGGTGATCAATGTTTTGTTCGAGATACTGCGATTATTTTAACAATTTCTTTTCTGGAATGTTCATGTCATTGTTTAGCAAAAATCTGCCTTATCCAACGGACCAATTTTGTTCAAATGCTTCGTGAAAGAAAGTGTCAAAAAGTAGCGAGTCAATCGCTTTAATCGACTGGGGTAGGGTGGCAGCACAGGTATCAAAGCTTGGGTGCTCTAATGGGGTTTCGCCCTCAAAGGTCTGATCGATAAGTTCTAGCGGAATCCCCAATGCATAAGTTTCCATTTCGTTGCTCGGCACACTTCGGGAATCTGCAAAATCCATGAAGTCCAGGTTCGGTGCAGTATTATCATAATCCGTTTGCTTCGCTACTCTGTTGTGTTGCAGTGGCGCGTCCAACATGAAAGACGGCGTTGTAGGATACTCGGAAAATGCATCTGGTGACGAGTTGCAGTTAAATTGGACCGTTTGCGGGGTGAGGTTTTTCTCTGGCTCCACCTCAATGTCGATGTCATTCAAGACCTCTCTCCCTTCAACGGAGGACGAATGCGCGCTAGCTAGGCAACTCTGTCGCTGTACTTGATTCATGTGCCGCGCAAGTGAGCTCGTGGATTCGCTGAATGAAATTTCAGATGTCCAGGGAAGTAGAGCAAGGTCCCGAACGATTTCAGGAAGCGCACTCGCGGACGGCAGCCTCCCTGTTGACATGGCATAGTCCAAAGACGTCGATATCAAAAGATATGCCCTCGGACACCGAATGAACGCATCTTGCCAGCTCGTGGGATGGTCGGCCTTCGGCAACATTGATATGTTGGAGGCTCTCCCCAGGATGTTGTTAGATGAGCGTAATTCACGTGGGTTATCTTCAAAGAGGTTCTGCGTGGTCGCATAAGCAAGCTGCAGGATATGGTTAGTCGAGACGGCGACGCAGTCAGTGACGTCGTATAGGGTCTCTGAGTGACGGATAATTTGGCTCAGCGAATTCAAAAGTCGTTGCCTTACCTCCATCTGCTCACGAGAAGGAGATAGTTTGAGGTCAATAGCTGCCAATACGAGTGGCATACTAACGTATCCAAGGCTGCCGTTCACATTAGCGTTTAGCAGCGAAACATTGGAGAGTTCTTCTCAATAAGATAAAAGACAAAAGATGCAATGGGTACTAACACACTCAAGGGAAGGCTATCAGCGTATCCATTGATACTGAAATGTTCCATCACGAGACTCAGCCCCTGAATTCCATGCCATAGATCATTACTGAACTCTAAAACCAGGTTGTTATATGTCTCTCCCGCGTAGAACAAGTTCTCTTCCAGTAAATATGCCGCATACTGAGCAAGATCCACTCGTGCCATGCTAGATAGACAGAAACTTGATTAGCTTTGGCGATAGTGAGGTGTAAGGGGTTCACGAACTGGTAGTACATATATGTTATGTAGGTCAAGCCTGTAACTGGGTCATGGCTATCTGACGTTGATGTCTTGCTTGGTGAATTTAGAGGGACCGGCAGCTTCCACTCGTCGAGGGATCTTTTGATACTTTTTATAGTCGACAAGAGGCCTTGAAACTCAATCATAGACAGAAGCCGTCTTGGAGTCTTAGGATGGGTAAATGCCAAAGACACCAGATCGGTGAGTAGCACTGCTAGCTCACATTGCTTTTGCAGTGCGTCTATTAAACGCTTCTTGGTATTATAGTTGTAGACTTGGGAGTGATACAACTCCTCACTGAAATCCCCTATGCTTAGCCAATCGCTCCATCCATATAACCTTATTGAGGTCACCTGAGGACGGCGGCGTAGGCCAATACATAGGCTTCGGTCACGCAGGAGGATAGACCACCAAAGTCGTTTCTTAAGCGATAGCGATATTGCCACATTTTCGACCGACGGGGATGGTTGAGCGTCGATGAGCATGGCGTACTCGATGGCCTTTGTCAACCATAAGCTTCCAGCCTGGGGTTCTTGCGCAGAGGTATAAAGCGTAAGTAGAACAGCGCCTTGCGCATTTGCATGAGACCGTTTTCCGGTTCTCAGTTGGAATAATAGCTGCACCCAGCGTGATCAATCAATACCTGTCCACGGCAAGTGTGACACTAGATTAGGGGATGCCTACATTGGCTCTGTTGTATAGCTGTTTCAGTGCATCCCGCATATCATTAAACCCACATTCTTCGCGCAACGTCTCCAAAGACACAAACTATTATTGTTTTAGCCAGAGGCCGGGAGCTACCAGAGGGTAACATGAAACTTACCGGACAGCTGGCGACAAGCAACGATTGCAACACGAGAAGAGATATTTTGGGACCCGTAGATTGATTCTTTTGATAGATGCGCCAGAACTCAGCCTCGTCTAAGACAGGTACCAGTGGGTGAATGCGCTTGAAGTACTCTTGGATAAACTCAGCGAGCGCATCAGAGCCTGGCAAAGTCAAGCAGTCGTTGGAGCTGAGATATGCTACATCTTCGGAAGGGAGCGACAGCAGTTCGATGAAGGCGTATTCGGTATACGGAACATTGGGAGATAGCGGTGGGCTTACACCACGGTCTAAACTGAGACCATGTGCGCGGAGCTGTGGGACAAAAGTTGAATGATCATTTGACTGGCGCAGGTTGGCGTGCCGGCTAGTAGTCACGCTATTTGACCCTAGACCTTGGTGCGTTGGCGGCACCGGGTTTGCCGACTTTGGGTACCTTCTAGAGGTTAGTGAATGGGTGCCTGATGCAAGTCTTTTGATTATGTTCTCACTGCTTATGATTCTTAGCGCGAAGATTACATTCTGTGCGACCGTCTTGCCGACAACGAGTACACGGAGAGCCCAGGAGTGACGCATCGCAGCGTACTTTGCGCTGACGACACCAGGAGCATGCCGTAGGCGATCTTCTTGTGCGCCGCAGCATTTCATTTACAACAACTAGTTTATTTGAAGTTGTAGCCTGCAATGGAGGTAACAGAGTGAGTCCAGGTGAAACTCGGGTCTGGGGTCTGGGGAATGATCAGCAGCCGGGCCGCCAAGGTTGGAAGAAGCCGACTCGGGTATCTCATATATTCATGGAACCACGACCCAGTGGAGATTCAATGTATGAATAAAGCAGCTATGAGATTACTAAACAAAAGGGATGGACAGTGAGGGGGGGAGAGAGGGGGGGAGAGAGGAAGACAGCGAAGTGAGAGCTGATCTATCTACGTTCTGTCTAATGAATGCCTGAGGCGAATTATTTTGCCTCACAGATCAGGCATTAAACGTATCACATCCCGGAATCATCTATGCAAACTTAGCTGCCTTCTCGGTGCCTCAAGAGTTTCTACCTAGTATTGATTCTTACCATACGTAATAATATATTCACTGTTACCTAGGTTATGATTGGATTGGAGAATGACCGAGTACATTAAGACTGACCTGTTCACAAATTTCACAACTACAAGCGTCTTCTCGGAAAATTTAGTACCATTGGCTTCGAAGGCAGAAAGATGCCCAGGGAGCAGATCAAGGTATTCCATAGCCCTGTTCCAGTTAGACTTATGACATCAAAACACCCCTTGTTCATCCATGGATAGGCTCTGCGGCAACGCGACTTACCCCGCTGAACTAAATTATGCTTAGCCGCGGAACTCGGCTTCTCCACATTTCCCCACTTTGGGTTCTTCTTGATGTAAACCCTTGCACTTCAATGATTGAAGCTGCTCTAACACTACTTAGTAAGTAGGCATACCAGTTGTACGAAAGGGCGAAACGAAACAGGGAGTGCTATTAAGTCGATTCAGGTACCAGGTCCGATAGGGACACTGGGCATTTGTATGACTGATTCAACGTAAAGCAACAATCTTTTAGAGATGCCCATAATTGCTGTTAATTATTTCTTTTCGCATAATATATTGCAGTATGCTGTATGAATGTTTGGATGAGTGGGCATTTGGCCAAGCGGTTGTCGTTGGCGACAATTCGTGCACCGCTTGTTTGGAACCCGCTCATCCTCAGCTCGAGTGCCGTTTGATCTTGAGCTGCCGGATCGCCTCCGGGCGATGACTTTTTTATTTTTTATTTTTTTGGCAATATTCCCATTACCTCCAGTGGCCCTACTACTAAATAATTTTCTGGCCGAAGAAAGTGACCGTGGCATCCAAGTCCAAATGTCTTGACCAAACCTCATTTATTTTTCTGATAAATTATATGCACCATCCCTGTAGAGCTATCAGGTGGGTTTGCTTCACCTGTTCTCACTAAAAGGCTTATCCAAATTCAAAGTATTAGTTGACACAAAGAAATATTCCAAAAGTTGTGCTAACTAGCGAGTTCTCCCTAAATTGAACTTAAAGCTTAGCTTTCAGAAGTCCAGCCTCGATTTCTTTCTTAGCATCTTCGCGCAATACCCTCTTCAAGACCTTGCCACTTGGGTTTCGTGCAATCGCGCCAACAAATTTCACGCCACCTGTGAGTGCTTTGTACTTGGAAAGTCGGCTCAAGACGTATTCTTGAATCTCAGCTTCTGTTAGCTTGGACCCTTGATCGCCGGATCGTCGAACCACATAGGCTCGCGGATACTCTATATCGGCACCAGGGAAGGTAATCCCGATGACGGCTGCGTCCACGATCTGCGGATGCGACAAGAGCACCGCCTCTAGCTCTGGTGGGGCAACCTGGAAGCCGCGGACTTTGATCAGTTCCTTCCTTCGATCCACAATATACCATTTGCGAGTGCGCTGGTCACAATAGGCTATATCGCCCGTTTTGAACCAACCCTCTGTGTCAAAGGCCTCAGCATTAGCCTCGGGATTGTTGAAGTACCCCGGTGTCACTGTCGGACCTCGGACACACAACTCGCCACGGACGCCGAAGGCTGAGATATTCTTCCCGTCTTCATCAATGAGTCTGAGGGAAATAGATATTAGTCGCAGACTTGACGCAACGCTACATATCCAACAGGGGAATTCGATACAACGCACTTAGCTTCGAGGTTTGGGATGAGCCGACCGACAGAGCCTGTATCATCGTGCTCTGGGTGAGGAAACATTGTAGCCACACACGATGTTTCAGTCACGCCCCATACCTGAGTGAATGGGGTGTCCTTGCCCATCAGTGAGCGGAACCTGGCTTGGACGTCCTTGTCCAAAGGAGCCGCTCCGCACCCTGCCATCCGAGCCTTTCGCAAATAAGGTTTGTTTTGGGGAAGAGGAGACATCAGAATTGCTATTACGATTGGTGGAACAACAGCAAGGTCGGTGACGTTGTACTTTTCGACTGTAGTGAGGTATGTCTCGAGGTCGAACCGACGCATCATATATGCAACTGAGCCAGCTTTTAGCGTTGAAACATGCGACACTGGAGCTGCGGATGCATGAAAGATTGGTACCGCAATGACCCGTGAAATCTATTCAAGAGCGTCAGGGGTCAGTGACGCCATCGCATTAACTTGCCAAGGCTGCCGATAACGGGTGAACTAACAGGGTAAGAGCGCGGATTGACACCGTGAACAAGCTCATGCTGTCCAATGAGGTTGTGGTGTGTGATCGTCACAGCTTTGGGTAGACCAGTGGTGCCACTGCTAAACAACCTCGCCGCTGTAGTCTGTTGGCAGGTTTCGAGATCGTTGAATCGCACCCAATCCTCCTCTCCGACTTCCAATAGCTGTTTCCATGACCGCATTCCAGCCGGGATAGATTGTTCCAGATTGTCAAAAACCCAAACGTTTTGCTTGGGTATATTTTCCCCCTCAGCCGCACGCATGAGAGAATCCAAGATCTCGGGCTCGGAGAAAAGGAACCTGCTTTCGGAGGCCTTGATATGATGAGCGAGCTCATGCGGAGTGTAAGATGGGTTCGAGCCCGTGAAACATCCTCCAGCTCCAATAATGGCCAACACAAGAATGCTATAATTTATCTAGAATAAGTCAGCGTCCTGTAACTTCATCCAACTGCATGGCGGAACCTCCGTACATCATTGAAAGAATGAATGAGAACACAATCGCCTTTTTGGAGGCCAGATTCCCGTAGACCGGCGATGAGCTGACGAACTAGCCTTTTCGCCTGGTTACAGGAGATCGACCGAGAGGGATTGTTAACGTCGATGTAGATCTGCCCGTGTCAATTTGGCACCCAGTTGATGATAAGGTTGAAGTGTTATTTGTCACTCACTGGCTGGTCTTGGTCATATGGTGGGTCATCAAAAATATAGGACAATAGGTCCTTTGTTGGAAGCAGAACTCTCTCTGCTGGTTCAAAAATCATACTGTGCTGAGATGTAGATGCTGACAGCTGATCGGATACAAGACTATCGGATTCAATTGCTTTATTAAAAAAAAAAGAGCTCGAAGAAGCAGCCAGTTTTAATTCTAATAGATGGTGTATCTGAGTCTCCGCGGCTTCGATTGAACCCCTCATGTGTTTAGCTCGGAACTCGGTCGCTCGAGCGGAAGAGGGATGATCTGCCCATTTCATCGAGAACCAGTGGTGTTGGGGATTTCATTGGGAGATCAAATACAGTTCCAACGGGATAAACACAAATTATGCAGTTTAATGTTGATCGTATCATAGTGAACACGGTGGAATCCGAAAGAGCCAAGCAGCACCGTTTTATGCATTTTCTCTTACCCCGGGGCCCGCTCCCCGGGTTTACTGTGCGGAGAACCGTTGTGGAATTTATACACTTCTCTAATTTGCCCAGAATATAGCTATAATTATACATATTATCACAGCAGAGTCGGCTCCTGAGACCCTTGCCAATTGGATCCAGGGAGAGAAGAAGCCAATCCACAATTTGGCGCTCATTCCGAGCCCCCTACATCCATACATTGTACACCCACACAAGCTACGAGTGATATTATTCTATCTACCTAAATCACTTCTAACTCGACTAGTTTGGAGAAAAAGGCCGGCGTAAATGGAAAAAAGAAACGATGTTGCTAAATTATAAATTATGAAGTTCTATATATAAACAAGGGGTTCAATATGTCCATCTTCCCCAAAAAATTGTATCAAAATGCTTTTAGCAGCCTCTGCTTGGCTGTAGGATTGTCACTGAGATGAGTGTACATCTATCAGTTTCGGCAGCAGGAGCCGAAGCACATATCGGCCGCTAGACAACGTTACCCATTAGCTGATGTTCCATGCCATTATATTACGGTTGGGGTGCTCACCATTATAATTCTGCGGGATCTGACGCTTCTTGTAGCTTTTTGCTTGTGTCCATCTAGATTATGTTAGCATTATGATAATCCTTTAATTCCATCCATAGTTGGGGTACATACCGTGGGACCAGAGTAGTTTCAGACGTTGTATCCTCCTTGACCTGAGGTTGTTGGCTAGAATTTCTGGAAAAAATAGCCTTGAGGTGATCGTATCGGCTCAATCCGCTGTTTTGGGGCATTGTGAGGGTATGGTAGTTGATATTTCCGAAGTGGACTTGATAGATTTGGGTTTAGAATATTTAATGCTTTTCTGTTTGGCTGGATACAGTATATGTTTTTAGTTTACATGAATATCTTCAGTCTGGATATTCAGGCCTTTTATATCTGTCTTGACTTATTGGGAATTTGAAAATTTGCATCAACCGTAGAATTAGTTGTTGTGGTTGTTCGATATACGCCGAATGTTGGCCACTGTCTCCTTCGCCGACTCGCCGACACTTGCCGACTTGCCGGTTTGCCGGGACCGGCGGATGACGTCATTAGCTACCGTCCCCTCGTGTTGGGCGATCGGTTCTGGCATCTTTCGCATCTCTCGCATTTTTCGGGCGACATTCTTGCCTCAGCAGAGTGCCGAATTTTCTTGTGTCTCTGGCCACTCATCTCGGCCACTCGTGTCGGCCATCTCGGCCACCCACTGTTCTTCGTTCGCCGACAATTTCTTCACTGACATGACCTGATAAAGGCGCATTAGCCTACATTCCTTGCGTTCGCCGATCAGCTGAAACAAGTCATGTCTTCTCCCCTTTCTGCTCGGCCATATCGGTCAAAACGTCAGCGACCGTGTGATCAATGCCGTTCCCGCAAGTTGGGTTGTCAAACCGACGGCGGAGGTCCTGTCAACGATGCCGGTCGGCCAAACTGGAGTGTACGTTTGATAATCCCCCACCGAAAAGAGCCCGCGGTGCGAACAATTTTTCGCCTTTTGCCGCCCAAAGTGTCGATGGGAACACACTCGTCTCGCAAACATGCGACAGCAATTTCACCCGCGAGTCCAGTTGGGCAGGGAGTGGAACACAAAGTGTCGAACCACGATTCCCACCCATCGGCCTCGATCCAAGTAATACTGGGCTATCCCCAGGCTCCGGTGTTCTAGCCCCCGGAAGACCCCCGACCCAGTTCGTGCAGAGCATTGATCAACTGGAACCCGGTTACGCCCAGCTTTTCGGCGCATCTGCTGAGTCAGACCCCTGGCTGTTAAGGCATTGTTGCTTTGACGATTCTGGCATGAAATATTTCTACAAAGTGCACTTTCGCAACGCCGGAGGTGTCCCTACGGCACAAAGAATTCCAATACACTTCATGATTTCGTCCGAAGAGCTCACCACCTCCATTAAGCATGAAACTAGGGCCGGCGTCGGCGACGCGACACGGGAACGCCTGAACTATCTAGTACCCCCTGAGTATGGAAGGAGGCTGGTAGCTTTGTGAGTATTACCCCTCAATATAAGACCGAAGCATCAGTGAACTAACAGAAGGTCAGGTTTGTCAAGTATGTCTTTCCTGCCTTGCCAATCATTTCCCGTTCTCAACTAGGGTTGACTGCGACGACATATCAGCTGCCGGATCTGTCGGCATTAGAAAAGGTGCCCGTGCACCTTCTCGCGGCCATCTATGCGTCGGCATTTCCATTTGTCGCCCATGATGACTATCTCTGTGTGCTGAGCACGTATAATGCGTCACCAGTTGACATGTTGTGGCGGATGGTCTATGAACTCGTGACCGAAGAGATCCATAGTCCCCGTTTGGCTGTGGTGCAAGCAGCGTTGTTATATATACACCAACAGTCAAAAGATGAAACTCGCCAGACGACGGCCGATACCCCGTTTCTGTGGTCCTTCGTCGGCCAAATCGTTGGGTTGGCCTGTTCCCTCGGCCTTCACATCGAATGCCGCATGTGGGGCATTCCGGCATGGGAGAAGCGCCTCCGTCGGCGGTTGTGGTGGGCTGTGTATGCCGAAGACAAATGGCGCAGTTTGCTGATGGGCCGTCCACCATATATCCATCCCGCAGAGTGGGACGTGAGTGAATTGGACGAAGGGGACTTTTTAGTGGGCCCACGACAAGGATTCTCAACAAGTTCCTGTGATACCGAGATTCCGTTCCGATACCTTATCAATCTCGCACGAATCGGCGAAGAGATCCATGAGACATTTTAGTACGTTTTGGCTCTCAGCAGAGCCCCTTGCTTGTTCGCCGGCGAAGAGTCAATCTTGCTGACCTTGGTTTCTTTTTAGCACGCTCCGGGCCTCCCAATTCTTGAACGCAAACTTCATCGCCTCTGCCGAGCTAGGCCGTGGGCTGCTCGAAAAGTTGAATGGCTGGTACTCTTCTCTCCCTGAAACTTTTCGACTTCCCAATTGGAGCAAATCCGTGAATGGGCTTGCCCCATACCCCACCTCGATTCATTTTGCTTACCTGTTGCTCGTGGTCTATGTTTATCGTGCCATGCTAAGACCAATGGCACGTTCATCCGACCCACCGCTTATTTTCGACTTGGAAGATTTGTCTGCCACGTCACCATTGCCCGTAGATGAGTCGATGCTGGACTTCATGGATCTCCCGGAAATTGAATCACTACCAGAAATAGCTATCTCCGATGAGTTTGGTACTGGCGATGCCACTCTACAAGCGGCAGAGAAGTGTGCCTCCATATTGGTGAACTTTGCGAGACGACTGACGTCTAGTGACTTCACGGCATTCTGGTACTCTTGTAAGCTTATTACCTCCACCTCCACTATCTTATCTGACTAGGTGCTAACATTATAGGGTCTCGAATTGGCTTTGCCACAATTTCAAATTACCTCATGTTGCTACTGGTACAGGCTCCAAATATGGCACATGCGATACGGGGAAAGCATTTAGTAGATTCATGGCTACAGGTTCTGCGGTGCCAAAGCCAAAGCTTCCCACTTGTGAAACTCGGCCTCGCAAGACTTGATGCGCTTCACTGGGCAGGACTGGGAAATACCTTTGTCCTCCCTGTGCATGTTCAAGCGGCTATAGCAAACCCAGATATACCGGAGTCTTGAGCAGATGATACCGCGGCACTGCGTTTTGAGTGCATATCCACTTACATCTATAGAGTTCCTCACCAACCGTATGATCGGTTTTCCTCCAACAAATTGCCTCGGAGAAAAGTCACAATGGCGGAAGTATAAAAGGGCTGGAAAGAGGTCTAGACCACATCTAGTGTATATTTGAATAAAAGTCCCTTTGGTTTGTTTTTCTTTTTTCCTACTCCTTGCTAACGAGTACTACCCTGCCAATATAAACTCCACACTTCCCCGCAACACCCATGTACCCCCACGCCCCTGTACAAGCAGGAATGTAACGCTGATATAACCCCTTGCTTGGTATAAGAAGGTCGGTTTGCATCTTGGTCAATATCACAATGTCTAGACATGAAGTGGATTATCCTCTTGCTTGCCACGGTCGCGTCTGCGCTGCAGACCCTTCCCCCAGTGCACTTCGATGACACAGGTTCAGGTCATAACAAAGGCTTTTCCTTAGCAACCGCCGACCGGACAATCTACCTGGATGCCGATTTTGCCAGCTGGAAGGATCAGAGTGGGCTGACGCTGATTCCGCCATCAGCATCCGACTTTGCCAACACATTTCGTGACGACCTGCAGGAGCTGACGAACAGTTCCTGGGAGCTTCGCACAGTCAAGCAATTTCCGAAACACGCGTCGGGAATATTCCTCAGTCGCACAGACAACCAGGGTCGGTTTACCTACGAAAATGGACGCGAGACCGAGGAGGGATATGAGCTAGAGATCCAGGATGGCAGTGTCTTGATTCGAGGCTCCGGAGCGCGAGGTATGTGGTGGGGGACGCGAACCCTCCTCCAGCAGCTCCTTTTGACACACTCGTCCCTACAAACTGGTCGCGTGGAAGATGCCCCCGCGTATGCGACGCGTGGATTTCTGCTAGACGCGGGTCGCAAATGGTATTCGCTGGAGTTTCTGAAAGATTTATGCACATATGCCTCGTTCTTCAAAATGTCCGAGTTTCAGTACCATGCGACCGACAACTACCCGCTAAGTCGCGGTCAGAACGAGACCTGGAACAAGGTGTACTCGCAGTTTTCTTTGCATCCCGAAAGCGAGGCCCTTCACCCTCTTGTCCAGCGTCCCAACGAAACACTGTCCCGGGCTGAGTTTGATGACTTCCAGCACCACTGTGCTCAGCGAGGTGTTACAGTGATGCCGGAGATCGAAAGCCCCGGGCATTCTCTCACGGTTACGAAATGGAAACCTGAGCTTGCATTGGACTCGAAGGACCTGCTCAATCTCTCCCATCCTGACACTGTTCCTTTGATGAAGTCCATTTGGAGTGAGTTCCTTCCTTGGTTCCACACAAAGGAGGTGCACATTGGCGCCGACGAGTACGATCCTGACTTCGCGGATGACTATGTTGAGTTCGTGAACGAGATGTCCCGTTTTGTGCAAGAAACGTCTGGCAAAAGTGTTCGTATTTGGGGGACTTACGAGCCATCAAACATTACCATCGATAAGAATGTGGCAATTCAACACTGGCAGTATGGGCAATCGGATCCGGTTGATCTAGCCCGCAACGGCTACAAAGTGATCAACTCCGAGGATTGGTGGGCCTATATGTCGCTGAAAAGCAATCATGTGCCTATCACACCAGCCCCTTATCCTCAGTTCTTCAACAATGCCCGCGTTCTCAACTTCGCTGACCGGAACGGGTGGCAGTGGACGCCGGAGCTCTTCAATCCCGTGAACACTACTGAACAACCGGATGCCGAAGCTGTGCCGGGTGCTCTGCTGGCTGCTTGGAATGATAGTGGTCCGGATGCCACTACCCAACTCGAGGCTTACTATGCAATTCGTGATGGCATCCCGGTCGTGGCATCGCAAGCGTGGTGTGGTGGTCGTGGACCTCGCCTACATGAACAAACCTTGGCCAAATCTATCGCACAATTGTCCTCTCAAGCTGTGGGACAGAATCTGGACCGACGACTCCCAGGAGAAGGGAGCAACGAATCAGGACTCTTGCTTTCATGGACAAGGGCAACTCCAGAGTCCACTCAGGACGAATACAATCTGGGCTATGGCAGTAAGGGCATGGATTACACCCTTCAACTGGACGTCACGGGTCCGTTTTCTTTGCAGTCCTCTGATGCGACACTCACCTTGTCACCGGGTGGTGAATTGACCTTTGTTTCTGATGGGTGGCCATACCCACTTCGCTCTGTTGCTCAGGCTGACGGCTTTGACCAAGACCAGCCTGGACGGATTTGGACTAACAAGACCACCTCAAGTCATGATATTGTGACAATACCCCGCCAGTCACAGATTATGATATCCACAGACGAGATATATGGAAGTCGTGTGTGGGTGGACGGAGCCTTTGTCGGCCGCTTTGAAGTCTTCATATATGGCGGAAAGAATCAAGTCTTCTCATGGGGTCAGATGGCTTTTGTAGCACCATTGGATGTTTTGAAAGGCTCTGGATTGCAACATTTGGCTGTTTTGCAGGGTAGCAGGGATGGTTGATATCAAATCTAGTCTACTCCAGCTTGCAGTGTATGCTTTCTCGAATCTAATCCCGTTGGGAAAATCCATGGATGTTAAGCCTACAAGGACTTGTGTTGCAGAAGCAGACAAGCTCCCAGGTCTATACGTTTTCTACACGTGTAGTTCGTAGTTTTAACACACGCAAAGCAAATATCGGGTTCTGCTTGCTAGCTATTTCTGTCTTAACTATGTCATAAAGCCAATTTCAAGCGACCAAAGGATTCAGCCTGCAAGGGGCACAGCCACGCCTATCAGGCACAGCGTCCGTTTCAAATCAGCCATCCAAACACATACCTTTTTTGTCTCGCCAGGCTAGAATTCAATAGCGAGATCTCACACTTCCATAGGAGACACCATTGAATTGTAGGTCAAACAATAGTGATGCGGAAGTTGGCGTCAGGACCAAGTCGTAGCTGACATGGTAAAATTGCTTCCCTCTGGAGTTGGTTTTCTTTGTAAAAAGCTCTTTCGGGATTCTACTCAGATCTGCCTCCAGCTCACACAGTTTCGTGACACCTTTTCAAGCCAGTAAAAGGCGTCTGCTATATATAAACGAGACGGGGACATACCAGAGTCAGTAACTTTAGGAGCTGTGTTTGCGTGGCTAAACGCCAAGTTGTCGTGAAATACAAAGGACTGGCCAATGCCAACCACACGGTAGAAGTTCATCCTTATTGGCTCGCTCTCGGCGACGGATTTTCCCTTAAAGTCCGTTAAGCAGTCATAATTCTTAAGGGTTGGTTAGTGCACACTGGAGGTTACTCACTTTGAGGATATACCATCTCATACGCCGCTCCAACATCCATTCCTCTTCATAAGGACACCATACGAGGTGTTCATCTGCGCGGTCCTTTTTAGGATCAAAGTTGACTCTCATCTGAACGCCATAGTTGCAACGGGCAACGCGACTCTCTACTTGGTTGCCTTCTTGTCCACGAATAACAGCACCCCTAACCCTGTTAGGTACAAAGAAAGTGTTGAGAATGCCTTTAGTACGTACCGAACAACAGCAGACCATCTGGTTCTACGTCAGTATTGGTTTGAGTTGACAAGAGATCAAGGGCTTACGCATTTGGGGGCTGCATGATTTGGATGCCGTCAGAAGCAGCCTGTAAGCGCTTGTAGAGATAGCCCGAGGCACCAAGGCCTCCGACTAGAATAATAGCCTAAGTGGAATTAATTGAGTTTCCTTTCAAAGCACGTTGGGGGCTCACCTTGGTTGAAAAGCCTGCTTCCTTGACGCTCTCCCTCTGCTTGGCGACGAGTTTCTCTATCTGCCGAATGATAGGATCGAAGATTTCTTTCACTTGGTCTCTGTGTCTGAATTAGGATTGCTGACAGCTGATGATATAAAGCTAATTCTCCCTACGTACCTGTCGAGATATAAGTACCCCTCACTAAGCTCGAGGTTTGGGATCCCCAAAACCCCGGAACAGGGATCCAATATCCAAGCTCACACATCTCATCATCGTCGAGAGGACCTGTGTAGCCAGGCTTAATGTAGTCTTGCCAGTACTTCCGTGCAGCCCTTGCTGTAGACTGTGGGAGTGGCTCATTCGATTCTTTCTCAATGATTCTTTTGAGATATGTATCTGGATTAGAATTGCTGACAGCTGGTGATGTAACGCTAATTTCCCTACGTACCTTTTGATAAGCGCATCGAACCGCTCGTCGAGCATCACTGAGCCGCAAACAGCACCTGGAATCTGTTAGAGGGAAGCAAAAGTACAAGACTTTAATAAATACCAGTTCCCTTCGTTGCTTCCTCAAACCTCAAGGGGTTGGTTTGCTTGACGCGGTAGGTAATGATATCCTATCATGATTGTCACTCGAATTTGTCCAACTAGTTTCATACCTGCACGACTCACCACGGTTCCACCCCCCGCATCGCAGACAATCAGGCAGTCGCCTTCCTATAATTTATCAGAAGACTCGAGTTCAATTCATGACTGGTTGACATTCATACCGAGATTGTATTCGGTTGGATTGTTCGAATTGCACAAACCGCAGCCGCCTCAGGTTCGGACAAGAGTCTTAAACTTGCTGGAGGTACACCCGCCCGTTGTGCCGCCTGCCTAGTATAGTCTTTGCCTTTGTCAGACCACACAGCAGGGACAGTAAGGATATATTCCAAGTCCATGGTCTGGAGCGCAGTTCCAAAGCGACGCGTCAAGACATCCTTAGCGTGTGCGACTACTTTTCCCAGGTAGTCCCCAGCAACCTCCACGGGCGTTTTATTGAGGTCTTTGATAATGTCTTGAGAGTCACTGGCAGGTAGGTAGCGGAATTTCTGACTCTCATCTAGCAAAAGCTTGACTCCTTGGATGAGCCGCTGGTGCTTGCCCGGATGGATCGACTGGTCAGTCTGATAACCCCATTTCATGCGCTCGTTGTCGTAGGAACATATGGTTGGGACTTTCTGGCTTGTGGCTATTAAATAAACAGTTAGTGGTATGGAGTTCTCCGTTGCCCTATGGACTCACTGTTGCCACCCCTGGCCATGTCTGAATGAGCTCGATATCATCAGGGCAGTCTTCCAATCCCCAGGCAACACTGTAACGGTCAGCTTGCCACTCTACTATTACTACCAACACAAATATATATTTACCCGCTGAAGGTTGTTCCGAAGTCAACACCCACTATAAGTTTTGGCCGTTCCTCTAGGGTCGTCATGTCGAATTCGTAACTGTTGGCTTCCTTATCGATTTTCTGAAAATAGAGTAACGAAGAGATTTTCAGCAAGAGACAATATTGGTGGGTGATATTCTTCAAGCAAAAGTTTGCTCATTTCGCAAGTTTGATATCATTGACTCCTGCGCTTAGCCGCAATGAGCGTCGGCGTGAGGCATATTTTTACAACAGCGAATTGTGGCGTCACAATCTGAGGTGTGTGTCATGGGTAAAAAGCAAAAATCGTTATTTTTATTATTATTTCAGACTTTACAACTCCCGAGTATCAATACGCAATGTGGCCTTACGGCGAGCCCAATCCCGAGCAGGTGAACAGGAGTACTCAGACCTCCCCAGGTTTATCCTCCAGATGGGGACAAATTGCTACGGGTTCGTTTTTCCATCCTTGGCCTATATGGGATCTACTAAACTCATTAGCTTGTATAGATAATAAGGCTTTGCATGATGAAATTGAACGGCTCCAACGGGTCTGTGGTGAACGTCCCCTCTACACTTCTTTTCATCTAACAAATGAAACAGCGAGTCAAAACTGCAGAAAAAAAGGCAGAGTTCTTTCAACGGGAGCGGCTTCTTGTAGAGGAGCAGGCTCGTCAGCGAGGCGAGTTGCTCGAAAATGCTGTTCAAGAATCGAAAGTTGCCAGAAAAGAGAACCGAATCCTCATGGCCAAAATTGCAAGCTTGCAAGCTGGGGTTGAGACCTTCTCTGATGAACAAGTTAAGCAAGAGATGTGTCTACTTTACCACGATCTTGAACATTGGCGGTTTACTCATTTCGTAGCAATGCCAAAACTTCAACAAAGGAACGATCCCACGCCAAGTTCAGACGGACTTGATATCTCGACATTGGATATCATCCAAGCTCACATTGCCGGGCTGATTTATCGGTCGTTTTGGAACAGATTTATGTTTGGCTCCAACCAATCTTTGTGTAATTATCTCCGCAAGGCCGACTCCGAAATAAATAAAAAGTGTAAGTGGTCAGAAAAGCCCTAGAGGTCACTCCTGTCATTTCTAACAACAGAAGTTTCCAACCACATTTCCCGGCACTGGAGATGTGCGATGAGCTCTGCTGTGCTATCGATGGAGACCCCTAATTTGGAAGGACAGTGCAATTGGATCATCGAGAAGGTAGAATCCTGCTTCGGTCGCTATGCTGTCACCGAGAGACCGAAACGAATGCAACAGCTCCACAACATTATTGCGCGCTGTATCAAGTTCAAACATAAATTGGATTGCCAGGAAGATAGATATATCTTCTGGGGCAGCTACCAATATGGATTGCCGTTCCGGGATGATAAAATGCGTACCTTGACAGAGGAGGATACGTCGGATGGACACGTTCATACTAGCCTGTGGCCGGGTCTATATAAGATTATCCAAACTGGCGAATGGTCGACAGTCGAAAAAGAGACTGTGAAAAAGATTGCTCCAGAGACCTCTTCTGTTGAAATGATCGACGAGATGGAATCCCATGAAGGCGTCCCAGAATTGGATGAGATTTAGAATGGTATTCGCTGATGCGGGAAATTGTATATTGCGACTATTGCTTCCAATTTGAATATCTAGCTATAAAAACTCCGTTGCTTGTCCAATGCAAAACATGCATATATCAATATTCGTAACCATATAGTTCCTAGACACCCTCGGCAAAACCGTCATTTCCAGATTCTGTGTCAACCTTCATGGAGTCCATCAACCCACAGACCTCGAAGATCGTTCGTGGTCCTAGACCTTCCGGTACACCGACTACTCCATCGCTCTTGAGGCGCTCCAAAGTGGCCTTAATGCCCATATAAGCTGGAGAGATCGTGGCGAATGAAAAGATCATGATTCTGAAGCCCATCTCCTCTGCCTCCTTTGTGGTAATGAGAGGACTGGCTCCATTCTCCACCATGTTGAGCAGAAGAGGCCAAGGTGCCAGATCCTGAACTGCTTGACGGGCTTGCTCCTTCGAAGTAAAACCCTCAAGCAGTCCGACATCCGCTCCAATATCCCTGGCCGCCTTCAGCCGACGGATGCACTCATCGTAGCCGTGTTGCTGAAGTGCATCGGTTCGTGCAATCAGAACAATGTCTGAGTGCAAGCGGTCCTTGGTCAGCTTGGCGGCGCGAATACGCATGAGGTACTCCTCTAGACCAACGACTTTCTTGCCATTGAGATGACCACAACGCTTGTTTTGGATCTGATCTTCAATATGGAAGCCGGCCACGCCTGCCTGGATGTATTGCTGCACAGACTTTGACACCATCAGAGGGCCTGGAAGAAAGTTAGACTATCTCTGAACCAAGCGATAAGAGTCTATTGTTTCAGCGTGCAGATCACTAACCTCCGTAGCCAGTATCCATGTCTGCAATCAATGGAGGTCCGAATGGATCCAGGTTGGCGATCATTTCGGCGTTGGTCTTCATGTCATGAAGCTGAGCCAGGCCGAGATCAGCCATTCCCAGGCGTGAGGCGGTAGTTCCCGCACCGGTCTGTGCACTTGGTCAGCATGCAGGAACATGGTGTTAGGCATTAGAGTTCTCACCATGTACAGTCCCTTGAAGCCGACCTCCATGGCAATGCGAGCGGAGAGACCATCATACACACCAGGACACACGATGAGATCTTTGGTGTCTTTCAGCATACGACGCAACTTGGAAGCTGCAGGAATCACATAGAGGGAAACAGTAGGCTCCTGCCGGGTCCCGTTGACCTCGTAGTATCCATCCTTCTCGACAGTGATCGTGATAGTCATGTTTGAGGTTTAGCAAAGAAGATGTCTTTTTGTTTAGACAGTTGGATTCTTGTACGACCATCGAGGGACAATGCTGCTCTTTATATCTTCGAGTTCTCTACCCCGCAAGTAATTTGTACATGCAGACACACCAATCCCAGAGGAGCAGCGTATGCCTGCTCGTAGAGGACAATAGCATCTCACCAAAGGCAAAAGTCTCGGTATCTTGGGGATGTAACATTCCACCACCCGCCAAGACATCCAGATGGCTTAGCTCCCTTCGCGTCGTACTGATTCTAGATGACCTCAGCTGAGTGAGTCTATGAAGAAGGCATATTGCGAAAGATTAACAGCGCTAGTCGCGGAGCAGGTGTTCAGATTATTCCCATCAATCAACAGCCACAATAGCGTTGCATACATATATCTCCGTATGGGTGGCCAAGATCTAGATAATGCATGTTTACATCGGCTTTCTAGGTTGATTGGGATAGGTTGGGGATGGGGAACTGGACCCACCATGCTGGTCCTAATGACTTGCTTCTCAGAGGAATTTAATCAATCTGAGTATCTTGGCAAGATGACTGCATAATTGTAGAGTGATGCGGGTGCAATTTGCGCTCCTTTTCACGGGAGAGATCTGCGCGGCGATATCTTCAGAGGGGTTCCCCTTCTCTTGGCCAAATGCACCGTTCCACAAAGACCTCGTTCGCCAAGCTCTTCAGACCGGGAGATCATCACCCGAAAAAAGCATACGGCGTTATTGCTGTGTAGCGAATCGACGCGTACTGTAGTGCTTGTACAACAGTTGTACCTTGTGTAAAACCACCTGGGCAGTGCTAAAGGTAGGTAAGTCAAGACTTGCTCTAGCCTTGTTGGGGCTTTCGCCGGGCTGAGTCAGCCGTGTAGTTCCCTCCGGGCCGGAATTCCTCTAAGACTCCGAAGTGCATCGCCAATTTCCACCCCCATCTCCCACACTCATCTACCCCTGCTGCTTGGAAGACGCCGCTTTGAACTCTCAACTATCGTCTCTCACTCTTACCAACCCCAATTACGCTTATCATGGCTCTCACACAACCAGCCAATCCCGAGTTCCCTTGCTCACTGTAAGCCCTTCCCCCACCCCGAAATAGGTCCCAAGCACAAGACCCGAATAGACCAAGAAATGCTCAACTCTTGATTCAGCACAATCTCCCTCCCTCTTCCGACCAATCGCCTTGCATCGTGCGCTCTACGCGCCTTGGAAGTTGATGCCGAACTATCCCCTCTTGTGCGACGGACTTTGACCCTCGTGGCTCCGGCGGTCGAAGCCCCATCCGAGCCGCAAGAAAAAAGGCAAAAGCAAGACCCCGACGAGTCTAAAACCGTGTTGAAGATAACATACACCGCGACGACCAACCGGATGCTGCGCGTTTCTGTCAATGGATTTATGGAGAGTCTGGGTGTCGTACTTGGGGTTATGGCAGAATTGGATGTTGATGTGCTCAAGGCTGAGATGGAGGGCTGAATGGTGGATTTGCCCTGCGGCCCTGCAGCAACCTGCACCATTGGTCCCTCCGTCTTGGCCTCAACGTATCTGGTATAATCCTATCGAGAGGGTGTGTCTGAAACCCAGAGGCGCTTGGCTGCCACAAGGATTGGGGATTATGCACAGCGGGTCGTACATCAACCCCTCCATCAGAACCCGTGGTGACACTAGTCCTGTCCGCGGATAGAGCTGAGGGAAAAGGAGTTGCCGCCAAGCAACCGGCCAACGCTCATCCCACCGGGTCATCCTTGGCATCCTGAGACATGCATCGGAGACTAAGTTAGTATGAAGCCGGCTTGGTCTGCGGCCCGTCTAACAGAGATACGTTATGCACGGCATGTGATTGTGGCTGTACTTATCTCGCTTCGAGTTCTGCAGGTTCCATAGATTTCCACGGAGCTTCGGAGTTTTTCACGGCCTCTTGGCTCCGTCTTAGGGTGCATCAAGTTAGGTGAGATGGTGCACTTGACCAGGTGAAGGAGGGGAAGGAAACGTTGGCAGATCTCATAGTTTATTCACCCGTCCTTCAATGCATCGCCGGAGGAAAAGAAAATGCCCTTTTCAATTGTGATTTATTTTAAAGATTCCCTGTGTCTCTTTGCCTCTTTATCCACCTCATTCCTCTCTCCTTGTAGTCAAGAACATCCAACATGGACCCTGAAAAAGGTGCAATCGGTGGACTTTCAACGTCCCTGAGGGCCGAACTTCAGCCACAGCATGCTGACCTCCTACTTTTCGCTTGTTGTTTAATATCAGGACTTGTGGATAGCACGATATACAGAGGTGCGGACAAGCCCAACTCCTGCCTACTCAACTGCGGCACATCTAACATACATAGCCTACAACACTTTCGTTTCTATGCAAACAGGTAAGATTATAACCTCACCCATCCACAATCCCACCCACAGTCGACTAATCACAGCGGTGTGTAGGAAACACCATATTCGTCGGACTGGGTACATCACACCAAAACCTCCGTCGATATGGCTGGGCACGTTCGCTCACGTCCATCGGATGTTTCACCCTAGGATCCTTCCTTTTTGCACAATTACACCGCGTCCTGGGCACTCGCCGACGAGGGTCGTTGATGCTGTCTTTCCTGTTACAGGCCAGTATAATCCTGTTAACGGCAGGACTCGTTCAAGGGGGTGTCATTTCTAGTACGCTAGTCAGCAAGGGATCGCAGAAAACACCCCCGTGGGATCAGATAGTCCCAATTGTTCTTCTTAGTCTCCAGTCTGCGGGTCAGATCGTAGCGAGTCGTGCCTTGGGATTCAATGAGATCCCGACCGTGGTGATTACCAGCCTTCTCTGCGATCTAATGTCGGACCCCCAGCTATTTCTTGTGAGGAATGTCAAACGCGACCGGCGAATAATTGCTTTTGTGCTAACGCTTGTGGGCGCCATCATCGGCGGATGGGTCACCAAGGTCACTGAGGCGATTTCTCCCATTCTCTGGCTATGCGCAGGTATCAAGGGCTTGCTCGCCTTAGCCTGGGCTTTTTGGAGAGCTAAGTAGAGGACAACGTCGTGAGTTTCCCCGTTCAGTCTTGAGGCTATCAAAGGCAGATTTGGCACAACCATCGGGGATGTTAGTATTATACTATTCAACAGATTAACCGGATCTACGCCGTTTTATCTCCCGCTCGCTACTCTGTTGCTATATTCGAAAGAGGCAGATACACAGGATGGGTCCGGTCGCGGTCGGATTGGAGAGCAATGCTATGATGAACGCTTTCTTTCAAGGATTATCTACGGAGAATGTCCACTCTGTGCTTGAAAAGTTTATAACTTTATGCGCTCCCTTATCACATACTACAGCTAGGAGATAAAACCCCCAAAATTGCACACAAGAGGAGCGCCTTACAGGTGGCCTTCTGTTCTTGTTTATGTATGATCTCTATCGTCGATTCCGATGATCTACGTCAGAATATCACTCCAAATAACCCAATATCCCCTCATTTGAGAAACAATTGGTCCCCGTACCTCGGGAATTGCAAGCTTAGGGGCCAGGGACAGTTCCGCGCGACGGAATGTTCCGAGGACCTCAGATACAACGTCTGGCATATAAAGGATTGTGAATCTGACATAATTTTATTTCTTCTCTAACAATCAAAATGTCTTCTAAATTGACTGTCACGGGGGGCCCAAGGCCGCCAAATTACAGGTAAGTCCCTCTTAGCCATACATCCAACCGGTGCTAACCCTCCCAGTTCCGACCGGACTATTCATTCACAATGAATTTGTTCTCTCATCTACGGGTCAAACGCTAGCTGTGGAGAATCCCTCAACTGGCGATCAACTTGGAACAATTTCCGCCGCGGGCCCGGATGATATCAACAAGGCTGTGGAATCGGCCAAGTCGGCTTTCAAATCATGGAGAACAGTTCCCGGACCTGCCAAAGCCCAGCTGTTGCTCAAACTTGCAGAGCTGCTTGAGCGCGATGCGCAAGATCTAGCATCATTGGAGGCCGTTGACGCAGGCGTTCTGTATACCGATTCGATCGGCATGAACATCCCTCAGGCGGTCGGCTGTCTGCGATACTATGCGGGCTGGGCTGGCAAGATCGATGGCAAGACACTTGACATGGAAGGTGGCATTGCCTATACCCATCGTGAGCCTTTAGGTGTCTGTGGTGCGATTGTGCCTTGGAATGCTCCGCTGTAAGCTTTCGACTCCCAGCCAACCTGAACCCCTAAAGACGTCTAACATGCTCTCAGGATGATCACTATTTGGAAGCTGGCTCCTGCCCTGGTTACTGGTAACGTTTTGATCATCAAGTCTTCCGAGCTTTCGCCACTATACGCCCAGAGGCTTGCCGAGCTGGTGAAGGAGGCCGGCATTCCTCCTGGTGTTGTGAATATCGTTACCGGCGAGGGCGCCAGTGCAGGCCAGGCTCTATCTGAACATATGGATGTACGCAAGATTGCGTTCACTGGTAGTGCGCTTGCAGGGCGCAAGATCTTGCAAGCAGCATCGCGAACCAACCTAAAGAAGGTCAGTTTGGAACTCGGCGGCAAAGGCCCGTCTATTGTCTTTGATGACTGCGATATTGAAAACGCACTTCTCTGGACTCGCATTGGAATCACAGCCAACAATGGGCAAATATGTGCGGCTGGGTCACGTATCTACGTTCAGGCCTCTATTTATGATCGATTTGTCGAGGCTTATAAGAAGGCCGCCGCTGATGCTCCGACAGTCGCCGGTAATCCATTGGATGTTGCTACAACAAAGGGACCGGTGGTTAGTCGTGTGCAGCATGAGAAGATTCTTGACTTCATTCGTCAAGGAAAGCAATCTGGAGCCAGGCTTCTCTTTGGTGGCGAGCGGATCGGCGAGAAGGGATATTTCGTCGAAAACACTGCTTTTGCGGATGTTGGTGACGATGCGACGATCATGCGAGAGGAAATCTTCGGTCCCGTTGCGGTAAGCAAGCTTGCATGCAAGAATCTATGGGATATACTAATCCAGGCACAAATTACAGAGTATTGCCAAGTTTACCACGGAGGAGGAAGTCATCTTCAAAGCCAATGACTCTCACCATGGCCTCAGCGCTGCCATCTTTACCAACGATGTTAACCGCGCTCATCGCGTGACTAAGGAACTCGAGTCAGGCCAAGTGACCGTCAATGCGTGGGCGATGCTCAGTTCCAATGTTCCATTTGGGGGTGTGAAAGAAAGTGGATTCGGACGAGACATGGGCGAGGAGGCTCTCGAGGGTTGGACTACTGTGAAGGCTATCAAGTATCACATTCTTCCACGACTTTGAGTGTTATGTGACTAAATAGGTCTCTCATCTTTCAATTTGTTGCGAAGTGCTTTTCTTGATTCTCCTGGTTCTAAATAGAACTGTACTTCCTTGGAATTTAGCACATTCTTGGGCAGCCCTATCTTTTCATCCTTTTTCTAGGTGAGAAGAAAGACCGAAAATGAAACAAAAATTGCTCGAAGAGAAGTCTCAGAACCCATCCAAAGAAAAAAGGTCAACCAATAGCCGCTTTAGTTCAAGCCCTCGCTCATCCTATTCCTTCTTGCTAACGGATGCGCCCGTTGGAATCGGTTGCATTTTGTGGAAAACGCTCTTCGGGTCGTACTTCGCCTTCACCTCTTGCAGTCTCTGGAGATTCTCGCCGTAGATATTGCTTACGGCAGAGTCACCAGCTGGGTACAACGTTAGTATCTATTGGGGTCCGAATATGTTTGGCTCAATCAGACTCACGTTCTGCGTAGTTGATGTACTGAGGCACGCTCGAATCAACGGCCTGGTCTTTTGTTCTGGTATCCAATTCAGCTTTCCACTTGGACTGTGCTTCTCGTGCCCAAGCGCGGTGCTCCAAATCTTTGGATGGGTCAGTCCATCGCAAATAGATGATCCCATTCTGAGTATGGTTTCGGCTTGCCAGCGCGGTTGCAGTCAACGGCACTTCGCAAATCTTGCGCATGTCAGTAAACTCAAGAATGATGGCAGACGCCTTGAGATCTGGTTCACTCTGGATCTTGGCCATGAAATCATTGAAGATTATCCTGGCAAAGTGAGGATCCAATGGCGGCTCATAGAAAATGCCCTTGAAAGACTTTCGATCACCGTAGGTCGCTTGCGGGTTCTGTAGGGTGTTCACCATAGAGTACGGGATCATATCAAGGGTATTCAGGACTGGCTCAAGGGCCGTGAAGCTGGCGAATTTCTTTTGGCCTTCTTCGCGTGGACCATTGTAGAAGCCAATGACGATGATCATCGGCCCAGATCCATCTGGTGCCATGGCGAAAATGGAAATCGCACCGAAGCGAGAGTCAGGTTTCGCCAGGGATTCGTTCAGTGCATCCATAACTCCTTCCAGCTTGTCGGGGGCAAATGCAATGATACCAGAGTACACTGGATCTTTCTGGTCATAGGCCTGGTAGGTGAAGTCTGCCACGACGCCAAAGTTGTAACCTGCACCTCGCAAACCCCAGAACAGGTCGACGTTCTCGGTGGCAGAGGCCGTGACAATACGACCATCGGCCAAAACAACGGTCGCTGACAGGAGATTGTCAATAGTGAGGCCGTACTCTCCGCTCAGCCAACCATAGCCACCTCCTAAAGTGAGTCCTCCAACGCCGGTGTGGTTCACGGTGCCCCCTACGGCCGCCAAGCCGTGGGCTGCACCGGCTTCGTCGACTTCCTTCCAGGTTGCTCCACCCTGGGTGGTGATCGTCTTCTTCTCGGTATCAACCGTCACTTGGTTCATCCGCGACAGATCAATGACCAGGCCGCCGTCGCTTGAGCTTGTGCCGGCGGTTGAATGACCTCCGCCTTTCACAGCAAGGTCGATACTATACTCTTGTGCCCACAACAGCGCGATCGAGATATCCGACGCATCAATAGGTTGGACTACGACGCCCTGCAATTTATCAGTTGGTCGTTTGTCATTTTGTTATGTTTTGTGTTCTTCCATACCGCATATTTCATTCCAGTGTCCGACCAGCGGACTATAACATCTTTGTAACTCTCTGATTCAGGTGTGTAGACAGTCGCTGCCCTTAGACGGCTCCGGAGAGCTTCGAAAGCTGTATCATTTATCTCAGGCATGGTTGGGAGCGGAAGAATTGGTCGGCACAAGAATTTACCCCGCGAACTTGTGGGTATTTCCCTATTTCCCTCGGAGTAACACCTGGAGTAGCACTTGTCTGACACGAAGCGAGGATCAACCTGAACTTGGTAAGAGTGTGAAACTGCTTTCGAAATAGTTGGTATTTTGTACTTTGCTTTCAATCTGCTCCCAAATATATGTAGCTGTTGTGGTTCACACGTCTCGGCCGTTGTTTGCCGTGGCTGTTTGCCGAATATACGAGTCAAGTGACTCTTGGGGATTTCTTGAAAATAACACAGATCTTTATGGATGGGATGAATTGGATCCTTGCAAGGGTGGTACTGGGTAGAATCATAAACAGATTGTAAAGCTGTCTATTTCCTGATGCTCGGAATAGAAGCCCATATTTATAGACTTCACTTCTACCATGTAAATAATTTCTCATTTTTTGAATTGGTAATGGAGTCAGACAAGCGAATAACAATGCTAAATTCTATTAACTGAAAGCAGCCTGGACTGAAATATTGGGATAGAACTCGATGTAGTTTGTATGTAAAAGGCATAAGCGTCAAACTGCATCGGCAGTGTTGATCTTTGCTTGGTCCAGATCCTTGGCCGAAATGCCGAGTAGATGTAGGGTCCCACTTAGCTTTGGAATCCCGATCCCATATTAATTACGGTGAATTAACTGGGATTCTCAACATTTCTTTCCTACCCTATTTTAGGACCTGCTGAGAATATTTTGCGTACAACTCGGGATACCACCGCTGGCCCACATCTGGATGGCTTAGGATGCGATTTCTCAAGTGAGCCTCGCCGAACTGCGATTCGTTAGTCCCATACATGAAAATGTGAGACTAGAACAACTCACGCAAGAATATAAAGGAGAAAGGAATTCACTCGGCACGTCAACTGCCCGTTTCTTTTTGTCGTCGGAGGCCGGAATACGCTGTACGATGTGAGCAGCGGATTCCTTGAGCTGATCTAGCGTCAAGTCTAGTCTCACGCCCTGGAAGAACGGGATACTATAACGCGTCTGAGAAGTGGGCGCCTAGGGGGTAGCAAGGTGTTAGAAAGCTCGTCCAGTAATGGATGGTATGGTGAACATACGATAACTCGGTGCGTTGTGGCCGCGCAAATCCCTCCAGTGATGGCTTCGAATCCTTGTTGGATATTTACAACAAGACTCCCCTCAATGGGAGGCACGTCAATCCATTCTCCCTTCTTATTGAGTACCTGTAGTCCTCCTGTGTTGTCTTGGGACAGGAAGGTAAAGAGACCCGCCGAGTCCTTGTGAGGGCCGACACCCTGGGAGTTTTGCGCTGCGGGTGGGTACTTCACAAACTTCAGCCGGCTCATATTACCCTTGAAGCCATCAAATGTCTCCCGCGGAAGGGACAGGCATTCCGCGACGAGGCGTACGAATGCTTGCGCCAGGCTATCAGTCTTCGCGATATATTCTTCAACCAGGTCTTGAGCCCCTGGGCAATCTGGATACTGCTAAGGGTTAGAGGTTGGGACGCAAGTCTAAGGGTGTGACTTCCCTGATTAGGTCCTTCAAGCCGTTGCCAAAATGGGTCCTGCTCTGTCCAGGGTTTCACGCCAGGGGTGCCAAAGTCAAATTGCTAGAACCACCGGGAAATTAGAACTGTGGCAGGTCCGAAAACGAAAACGAACTAAGCCCACCTCGCGGATGTCTATTTTTGTCGCAGTGGTCTCGGCACCGAGGCGAGTATAGCCAAGAAAAGATGGCGAGTTGATCATATTGCATTTCTCCTTGGCCTCTGTCGACAGGGCAAATAACTTGGGTAGATTTTCATGCGTATGATGAATTAGGCTCTGTCTCAAGTTTAGCTCAGCATATCTCGTTTGCTCGCATTGTTTGTCACGCGCACCTCTAATCCTGTGTTGGTCAAATACAGGAACCCAACGACGAAGATAGCTTCACGCAAATTCGCGAGCTCCTCATCTTTCGTCACGGAGTCATTGAGCCGAGCGAAGTCCACGATCGGCACGGATGAAAATGTCTCTGTCATTCCGCCTATTGCGATCAAGTGAAGTGATCTTGGTGATTGGGATTTGCTTTCCCCGCAGATTCACAGGTAATTATGCGGGGTGGAACAGGGATTACTCAGCCACGAGGCCGTCCACGGGTCCACGGGGCCAGTCCACGGGTGCTCGGGATGAACCTTGGGAACTTGTTTGGGGAATATTCCGTAGACTTCAAGGCCCAACTTGGATTTGCAAAATGAGTCGAAGATCTGAAGATCCCCGAGATCGAGGTTGTCAAAAGACTTGATTAACTAATGCGATCACGCCATTTCCAAGGTTGTCCCTTGTATTGTCGAACCGCACCATCAACATACACAGAAAACATTATATAGAACCCCTATTGCCAACATTGCCAACACTGAACTCCCATAGGAGGATAAAGGCTTACGTTCTAAAATTGGTCGATTGATGGAAATATAATCTCCCCCTTGATGCTTCTGAATGCCAAGATCGAGGTTTTCTCCTGAAACCATGGAGCCCTTGGCAAGAACCCACCCCTGACGTTTCAGATCATTTGTGGAAGTTCTTCCGGCGAAGTGGTCCTGTGAGGAAATGAAGAACCATTTTGTCGCCTGATTATTTTCCATCCAAACGACCTCCATCCATTAAGGTGTGCACGGGTATCCGGTCCGTGACCGTAAAGGGCTTAAGGCCGTTCTAGACTGGAGACTTATATCAATCTATGCCAAGCTTTGTGTCTCAGAGGCAACATGGCTGTCACAAAGCAGGCCCTTAGGCTGGCAATCTGATACGTGAGGCGTCGGAGAATTAATGCCATCACGTCCATCTCGGTAAATCTTCGGTTCGGGTTGGCCGGAAGAGATTATCCAGCACGGAAATTCTCTCAAGCTCAGGAGGATGGTGGATGCAGCTTGTCTCAGGAGCTCTATGGTCTCACGAAGCTCCTGGGTGGTATATAAACCCCTTCGGTCGACCGTGCTATACTCATGTTTTAAATCAACACTCTCACTCTCCACCAAAGCAACTTCGAGACTCAGTCCACTCTTTCATTCCTTCGAGATCTCTTTCTGTACCCACAATGGCTCCTTTCAACTTGATGGCAGTTTCTCTGCTCGGCTGCTTGTCTAGCCTTGCACTGGGAGCTCCTACTGCAACCACCAACTTCGGAAAGCGCGCAAGCGTCGATGATGTGAGTATCAATGCGCGAATTGTTCAAGCACCTTCTGGTCAACATCCTAACGTGGCTTTGACTTAGGTCGCTACTGGTTATGCCAGCGAGAATGGAGGCACCAACGGTGGTGCTGGTGGCACTACCACCACTGTCTCCTCGTATGCTGCCTTCACTGCTGCAGTCAGCGGAAATGATGCCAAGGTCGTCTTTGTTGATGGCCCCATCGAGAAGTCGGCCAAGCAAGTCCGTGTTGGAAGCAACACTAGCATCATTGGCAAGGACTCCAAAGCTATCCTGAACGGCTTCGGCCTGTATGTTGCCATTCGCAGTATCGATTTGATGTGATACTAAACCACTATAGCATGATCAAGGAACAGACCAATGTCATCGTCCGCAACCTTGGTGTCCACAAGGTGGTCGCCGAAAACGGTGACGCCATTGCTGTTCGTGAGTACAACCTGCTGAAAGATGTCTGTCTAGGAAACAGGAGAAAGGCTGACTGGGCTTAGAAAAATCCACCAACGTCTGGATTGACCACTGCGATGTCGCCTCTGACCGCGATCACGACAAGGACTACTATGATGGACTCATCGATGTAAGTTCAGGATCAAACAAACCACAGATGCAGGTGCTAATATAAAACAGCTTACCCACGCTGCCGACTTCGTCACTGTGTCCAACACCTTCATCCACGACCACTGGAAGGCCTCCCTGATCGGTCACTCGGACAGCAACAGCGATGAGGACACCGGTCACTTGCGCGTCACCCAGAACAACAACTACTGGTACAACATCAACTCGCGTGGTCCTTCCTTCCGCTTCGGTACTGGCCACATCTACAACAACTACTACCTGGACGTCTCCGACGGCATCAACACCCGCCAAGGCGCCCAGCTTCTTGTTGAGTCCAACACATTCGTTAACAGCAAGAAGCCCCTCTACTCTACTGACTCTGGCTATGCTGTGGCCAAAGACAACGACTTCGGTGGCGCTGAGAACACTGCTGAGGCTGGAACCCTGAAATCGGTTCCCTACGACTACAAGCTGCTTGGCTCGGCCAACGTCAAGGCTGCTGTGGTTGGTACTGCTGGTCAGACCCTCGTCTTCTAAGTGAGATAGTGAGAAATTATGTAGCAAGCGGGGAATCGCTGTCCGAGAAGCGCAATTTGTGTCTATTTTGTTCGAATCTGTTGCAATTTAGTCCTTAGCAAATATCTACCTTGTTTGTTTGCATTGATATCCCACAAACACCTTAGTACATAATATTATAGGGCTCGAGTTCTACTGTTGTATAGCAAATTCAGAGAGGTAGAGAAAAGAGTGGCGAGCTCGGACCACGCCAACGAGGCGACCCCCTGGTCTACCTTGTCGATGGACGGCGAGTCGATAGGAACGGAACTCATGGGAAGATGAGTCAGTACCTGATAACGCGGTGAGATGGCGCGAAGTACGTAGTTCATTATCCGCAGACCCATCCGCTATATATTATACTAGTTCATACTAATAATATCTTTAGGGATCACAATATCAGCAAATGACCCAGCAACATGAACTCTAGGCAAATACTATATGACCATATATGGCATTATCAATTGTCTGATATCAATCATTTGTCGTACTTTTATGGCTATTAGCTGCAGTAAATGGTCCAGTCTGTCTCAGAAAGTTTCCCTTATTTGAAGTCCGAATAAACGAAAGAGTTTAAAGCATTTGCGGAAATATCCATGGATATATCAATTTAAATATACAAGAATAGTCGGCCAATTATGCGGTCGTAGTCTTCCCGGATAGTCTTCCCCGATAGTCCTTTTGTATGTCCTTTTAGTGATCTTCTTTGGTAGTCTTCTCAGGCGGTCTTTTTCGATGTCTGGTTGTATGAATATACCTTGTCCCCTTCTCAGTTTGTTGGGTAGACAGCAGAAAAGGACCAAAAAAGGCTTAATTTGTGAATGCAACTTTTCTATGTATAATCAGGATATGTCAGGGAAGCTAATTACCGGGTACCCATAAAATAAAATGATCCACGCTCCAGTCCATGCAGGCCAATCCAAACTCCGCCACAGTCCTGTAAAATGCTATTTCTTCAGAGAGTACGGTCCCTCAGGAAAGAATTCAATGAAACCAAATCTTCACTGGGCGCTGGCGTGGGAAGGGCAATCTTAGTTGCGTCAAACTCCCATGCGGCCTCACGTGCGTGCTCGTTCGATTTGAGATGGAAAGACATCATCCACTCTTTCACTCTGCCCTCCAAGAATCCCATCTCACGGTTTCGTTCCCACATACGACGGGACTCTTTAAATGCATGGTTGATTGTATCGCGACGAAGATTCTCATATGCGTCAAAAGCCTCCGTCAGGGGCTCTGAGCGATAGCTGGCTAGAATTCGAGAGAACAAGATTGCGTCGTCCAGTGCGTATGCAGCCGACTCATCACGTGGGGGCATCTAATAACTTGTTAGAATGTAACAAACAGGGTTAGTATTTTCATGGTCGGGACATACCGCGTGTGCTGCATCGCCCAGCAAAATAACTCGGTTCAAGCACCAACGCCCTCCGGGGCGAACTTGATATACGGGATAAAGCATCCAGTCCGCTTTACTGTCAATAATTTCTTTAATACATGGAATAGCACATTTCCCAAATCGATCCCTGATCTCCCCGCGGAGGGCGCAGCGAATTCTGTTCTGAGTGGCCCAATCCTGACCAGGCTCTAGTCGATAGCGGCTGAGAGCTTCCGGACTGAATTGAACGATAGCAGCAGCGAAGATCTGTTCGCAATCACGGTCACAATAGCTCGCCAGCATTGAGCCATATCGTGAGATATTGAGCGATGATGTGCGGAAGTGAGCGGGCGATGAAAGTGAATCCGAGTCGATCGTGGCCTGCAAAAACGACAACCCCGTGTACTCAGCAGGCCGGCCGACGTCTACAAACCGGGTGCGGACCGCCGAGTGGACGCCATCGCAGCCGATGATCAAGTCCGCCACTGCTTGTGTGCCATCCTGGAAAAGCACGGCGGCTCTATCTTCGAATTCCTCCCCACCGATCACTTTCTTGCCGAAGACAACCTCCACATTCCGAGTCCGCTCCGCCAAGGTCAACATGGCTACCGACAGAGAAATACGCATGACTCTTCGACCCTTGTATCCGCCAAATCCCTTTCCTTTATTGTCTGTGAAGCTGATGGAGCCGATTGCGCGGCCCGAACGCATGGAGAAAAGCTCAATGGCGTCGACATCGGCACCGCCCTCGGGACCCATCCGGTCCAACTCATCTAGCACGCCTAGCTGGGCGAGATGTCTTTGGGCGACGGGGGTCAGATTGATGGCGCCGCCGGAAGTCGATAGTACATCATGTCGTTCGTAGACAGTAATTTTCAGGTTCGGTACGAAGTGAGAAAGCTCCCGGGATATGGCCAATGCACAAGCAATGCCAGCGATGCCAGCACCGATGATGGCGATATTCTGTGGGGGGCGAATTGGTGCCATTGGATGGACCGGGTATCTAGAGGGTGTGTGTCAAGCAGAGAGAGAGAAGTGCCGTGAAGGAAATTCTCTTGGCATGAGCTTATATCGCAAAATTTTTCCAACTGAAGATTCCGCTCTCTCCTCCAGAATTAATATATACTATGCACCTAAAAAAACTAACAGGCAGCCTAGAAGCCTCTAAAGATTCGGCCGGGGCAGGAGATCCTTCGGCATGTCAATCCGTGGATTCCGTAGTGGAGTCTCACACAACCATGGTTACCACCGATTTAAGTGTATACCTCACATCGGGGGGGTCGTTTATTGAAACGAAGTATGGAAGTATCTAGGTAAGGGTTGGCGAGTGGCGTCAAGTCTGGAGGAATATGGGAAGGTCCGTGGGATGTTTATACAAAGAAAATATGAGTTCAGAATTGATTGCGGAAGGAGCTCGGGGGGAAGCTAAGAACGGAAGGATCCCGTTGGACCGGAGAAATTGACAGCATCGTTTGTCCCTTTGTCTTACTTTCTTCCCAAGATTGACCATTTTGGGACTGGACGATCACTAGAAGACCAGTAGAAGACCACTCCGAGTCCTTACATCCACTTTTGACTGGATTAGCTCCAGTTATTTAGATTCACAACGTCCACCTGGGCAGTGCCCAGTTCCACTTCCATGACGTTCCAACTTTTTCCTTCTTAGTCTGGGGTTAAGTCGTGTGCTCTTTGATATTATATTGTACCTAGGTACCTCGGCAAGGATTTCAATGGCCCCATCTAACGTTCTATGCATATATTCCGGGAATATTCGAAGGTTATTGGCCCCCCTTTTGGTGCTTTTGTTGCGCTAAACTTAAAAGAATCTGGCCTGTCACAAAAATTCTATGTTTTTATATTGTTCTGCCTTTTCTTCGTTCTCATTCTTTTTTAACCGAGATACACCTTCTAACCCCAAACACTGGTGCATTCTGGGCAATATCAAACGCGGCTCATTCTCCAGTTCTCATTTCGGAACTCCAGAAGACGTCTGCTTCTGAGGCCGTTGGGGCACAGACGATTTTAAATTCCAGAAGGCGGTGAATGAACACAGCCCGCATATCCCCGCTGGGCCCGTTAGCGTTGGGACATGAAGAAACACGACAGGGGGTTACGAACCTAGTACACAATTCATTCCATAATATCCGATTTTTTCCGTGCCATAGCCCGAGATAATCGGCCCAACAAACATCCCTAGCGTCCAACTGATACTAGAAACCGATATCGCTCTTGAGTACCCGCCATTCGGGCCAAAGATTCCAGGATTCTCTCCTTCGATCTCATCAACAGCTTCTGCAAAATTGTTATGATCACTGGCCAATGGGACAATTCCAAAGAAAATGGAGAAAAAGAACAACTTACGAGTGGCTTCCATCATACCCACCCCGTTGAGCAAGCATATCACAATCCCGATACACGTGACAGATACGCTGTATATGATCGAACCAATCTTTTCTTCATAAGCCCAGGGAAACCGTTCGTCCCCAGGAACACCAATCAGCCACATTAAAGGTACCAGAAGGGCAAACCCGATCGTGGTCGGGTATCGAGTCCCCACCCGATCCTTCAGCCAGCCCACAGGAACACTAAGGAACACCGCGGGGCCTTGGAAAGCAGCAAATAACAAACCAGCGGGGAGACTTCCCCAATGAAACGCATCGCGCACGTGGAGGGGAAGGGTTGTGTCGAAGCTGGCGGTTAGAACGGCATAGCAGAAATAACTGACGACACCACCAACGAAGCGACCGTTGCCACACAAGCATAGATAGAATTGTATACCCGTCTTTTCCGATACACCTTGAGTGCTTACCTGTGGTTCTGGATCAGTCGATGGTGGCAACAGTGCCTCCCGCTCTGGATCCTGCCCGTCCGGTTCCGCGCGAACAGGTACGCTGGTTTCCCGCGACCGCTCTAGCATCAGACATCGCAGAATGACATCAAACACAATAACGAAAAGAACACTCGACCATGCCACCCAATACCCGCCTATGTCGAACAGAATGCCAGCCACGAGCGGTCCGCCCGATGTTCCTACGCCAATAGCAACAGTCACGAAACCATACATTTTGCCCAGCTCATCGGCAGGCACGTTGTCCGCCAGAGTAGCGAATCCTACCACCCAGAGACCAGTGCTGGCAACAGACTGTATAAGGCGACCGGCAAAGAGAGTGAACACTGCACTAACATTAATCGCCTTGCTGGGAATATCATCCGCGGATAGCCGCCACTCACATGAAGTCGCCACGGCGAGTATCAAAGAACCCACCAATGCGCCGGCAAGTCCGAATAACAGCCAGGCACGCTTCGCGCCCGAGCGGTCGGCATGAGACCCGATCAGGGGGCTTGCCACGACCATGACGAGCGCGGTCTGGGATAGCAGCGCTGTGCTTATGCGCTGGGTGAGCGAGACGTCGAGGCCCAGTCGATGCTCTAGCACGAACGGAAGAATCGGAACCAGAAATCCGTACAGATACATATCTATGGGCTGCGTCAAGATATGCCTTTTTCTTTGCTAAATTTGTGAATAGCCTACCGGTGAGCATGGCCACTGCCATTGTCGCGACAATGAAATAGGTGGATGATCGCCATCGAACACCCCATGGCTCTTGTTGGTCTGAAACGGCTCTCATAGTGTTTATGGGTCCACGGGTTGTTTCGCAGCTTAATGATCGGTTCTGTGGAAAGAGGGGGGCTGTTCTTGGATTTTACACAGACCAACTACCCCGGCCCCCTCCCGGTCTAGCCCTGAAAAGTAGAACATAGATAAACTCGCTTATTAATGTCTAAATTGAGATGCATTACCCCCTGTGGAAGGATTTTAGACGATTCTACGTGACTCATCACGCAATTGTCTGACATGTTCCGGCTAAGCCGTACGCGGTGGTGGATGCGCCATCCCTGGCTTGTCAAAATCTGTCGGCACAGCAAGGGCTTGCATTAGTTGCGCCACGGCTGGACCATTGGATAGATCAGCCACAAAGGGAAAAAATCGGTCAAACGCAATACGTTTGCAAATACTGCTAATCAAACAGAATAGTCTAGATATCGACTATTTTGAGTGTACGTATATCGCCGTCGATATGCACTATCGAGTACTCCGTAGAGATCATCGCGTTACTGGCTGGTCAGTCGCCGACGCGGCACGTGCTATAACACGTGAAAGCCACGTATCTACCAGAAACAGTTTTCCAGGATGTCAAATAAATTCTATCATGCTTGATGGCGTTAAAATATTCGTTGACTCGTGATACGTTGCATCATATCACTTAAAACACATGTTCGCCGCTTGCCGAGATCACATTCCCTTCCCGCAGTCCGCATCGCAAAAGGTATAGAAGAAACGGGGTGTATACAAAGACAACATCGCAATAAACCCTTTCACATTAAAGTTTCTTGATGGCAAGCCAGCGTCCACTCGCCATCCGACCCTTGGCTCCAAGTCGTCGAGCCCGAGGCAGTGTATTCTTTCTTCCCGCGTACAGCGCGGACCTTGTATGTGACGACGCCTGCCATCAGGTCGACGATGATGACTCGTACCTCCTCGAACTGATAGGCGTCGAATCGGTGAAATGGTGGCCGGACGGCCTTCTTGAAAGCGTCCTCGTCTTCGAGTGTGACGATGGGCATCTGTGGGAATAGGAAACAAGCTTCGGGATTGCTGAGTTTCCAGATGGCTGGTGCGGGATCAGCAGACGTGAGGGCAGTCCAGAGCGCACGCTCTTTGTTGAGGAGGTCCTCGCGGATACGTTCGTGCATTGAAGGCATGGTTGGTATATAGTTATTGGTTGTGCTGGATTTGGCTGATGAGGGTATCGAGGAAACACGCTGGTTGAACTGTTTTGCGATGGAATGCGAAAGAGACGGTATCCTTAGACAAATGTTGTAGAGACGACAAAAAGTAATAATCAACAATGATGTTGCGCGTCCCTGGCCTTGATTTTATTGTTTCGCCGTCTGGTACCTATATTAAAAATGACGTCAGATGACGTTGAGAACCAAACAATTTAATCTCCGGGGATCAGCATGTCTAATAGGATTCAGACTCTAAGTACTCTGTGCGGAGTACCTACAACATAAATAGATATGCTCGACATGCGTCATACTCCATGTTCAACGTCTGGCAGTCACACGGTGGCTGAAAACCCCTGGAGGCGCATCCACAATTGACCTCTCTGCGTGCATCCACGGAAATGCAGTTTCGATTTTGCTGGGTTGATGCTCATCACCAATAAGATGAGATTATTGTAATATTTTTTGGGGTGACCTTTGCGCCGATACTTGGATACGGCCACGTTGCACATGTACCTGTACCATATTTTCCCATTTGAAGTTGCCTTAATAAAGGCGCTCAGACTACACCACAACGCCAACTACGGTAAATCGGCTGCCGATAATGCTACGTTTGATGCCGGTTTAAGCTCCCAACCTAACGTATTTTATAAGTGAGTGGTGTGAAGGATATGCCCGGGCATATATTCTACGACTCGGCTAAAAGACCGTGATGGAGACTTGCGTCGTTCTGTCGGGGAACCGACCTTCCTTAACCTATTGGCGAACAAGCTATGCTCTAGGTGGCACATAGTCTGGTGTATTATAGGCGGCAGCTGCTAGCGGATCTATTGGTGGCGTTCGCCTTCTACTTATATATGGTGCCGATATCCACAGAACTGGTGGGAAATATTTCACGGTTTCACAGACGGCTTCTGTGTCTAAAAACTATGAAGTGCTTAGGCTTCTTCCTGAAACAGGCGCCGATGTGAATACTTTTGGTGGATACTGTCTCTGCCCTGCATTTAGCCGTATTGTATGGCCGAGCTATATCCTGTGAGCTGCTGATGAAGAATGCACACTGGAGCTTAGAGGACCGCAAGCCTAGTCATCTGGCTGAGTGGAGACTTGATAATGCTTGTGGTATTCTATAAAACTGCCGGGAGCGATAAGAGCGCGGTTGGCCGAAGGAAGATTCGGAGAGTGAGTGGCCAGATGTTGAAGGCGATGAAATCGATAAAGATGAGGATGATGACGATAGTGATGAGGAGGAAGAGGCGTAGGAAATAGAGGATGGCGATGATGGCGATGATGACGATGATGTATAGAAGGTAAACGTGGAGGGAATTCCTATACTCGTCATCCCTTATCGTCCCGTTGCGAATTCGTAGGGGTTGTATAACTGGGGAGGCGAAATATAGATAATAAACCTGTCATTATGATAAACCGTATATTATACTTCCCTTAACAATAAGCGAAAATTGTAGTTAGTCCTGCTATCGGAAGTTATGCTAAACGATTAATATGATGTCCACTTTTGCTAGTCCTTACTCTCGCTAAACCAGTGCTGTTCTATGTCTGATCACGACTTACTTGCGGGAAGGAATTGTTATATTGCGATACCTCTGCTGTATATATGTTGTCATTGAGCATCATGCTTAGCTTCAACAATTTCGTGCGCCATTTTGTCCTTTCAACGAAATCCACTTCACACCCACTCCAACACTTAGACTCCGGTTCGCTGATGTCTTGGAGGTTTCCCATTTGACCGGAAGGCCAAAGTCCATCCTTACAACCTTTGTAGTCGATGTGTGCATTTGGTTGCCTCACTTCCATTTTCTATCACTCCGGTCCTTCCTATCGAACTAAGCTATATGTGATGTCGGATGAATATTAACCCTTCCAATTTAGACAGTAGCGCGTCCGTCTTTGTGTGAGTTTGTTGTTACCGGGTCGACATGCCAATACTATTATAAGGGCCTATGGTAATCGCACAAGCCTATCGCACAGCTGACTCTTAGGACCAGAGGCGGGCTCATCAGCGCTGCACCTGGTATCTATCACTAAAGGAAGATGACTAGTAGATAATCGACCGCTATGGGCAGGCTATTGTTAAAGTTTTGCACTTGTTGAATCTCACACCTCGTAACCTTGTACCCATACACGTCTCGTCGAGTAGAGACATTTTTCCCCAACCAACCTATCAAGTGCCCTGGTAAGGTAGTGGTATGATTCGCGCTTAGGGTTCACCCAAAGCAATATTGCGCGAGGTCCCCGTCAATCCCGGGCTCGGGCCCTTTGTTCCTCTTTTTTTTTTGGGCTTTCTTTTTTTAATCATACTAATCAATATTCTGTCCGCATGAGTCATCCCTGGACTCGCACCATCCAGGATCCACGCCAATTCGGACCAAGGCCCCAAAACTGTCTCCCCGAAGCAATGTGTTGTCCCGGCCCAGTTCTTCCAACTGGTCAGTCTATCGCAGCATAGACCACACAACCAACATGAACTAGACTCGGAGGAGAGCTCTTGACCCGGTAGAACATCACTTGAGTTCTGACTATGGGGGATCATAAAGGACCTCATATGGAGCCACTTTTGGGAGTCATAGGCAAGGAAATAAATTCTTTGAAGAAGAGACTAACTATTAGGATGGAATGCCAATTATGATGTGCTCCCTTGGGAAAGTCTTTCCACTACCTTTGCATACCATCCCGGCTTTCCTCGCTGATATAACCTCATGGCTGTAGCCAAATACTGTCGATTCCGGTCTTGTAAGGCCGTTGACAGACGATAGCCCTCAATGAGGCCCATTTCTCTTTCCTTCTCGGCCACCATAGCGATATAGACTTCTCTATCCGCAAATTTCTGGATATCTCCTGCATCATTCGGGTGACCTTTGTCATCATAATTCCAAGGTGCATCCATAGCAGGTGGTACTATAGACAGGGTCAAAGGGAATTCGCTGGATATTTCCCAGGGCCCTGCAAATGCGGCTTCCCAGTCGATAACACCTAGCAACTTGTACTCATCGTCGAAGATCATATTGTTATGGCCGAAGTCACCGTGGTGCAAGGGAAAAGGACCTGTATTTCGGACAGAGAGGCTTTCAGCCAGACTACCGACGGAAGATCTGAAGGAATCTGCAGACGAAGATAATTCATCGGCAAGAGAGCCCGCTGCCTCCTTCAATCTATCCTTAGATAAACCGAACTCAACATTGGCCGCCCATGCCTTGAAGAACTCGGCAGCCGTTTCGAAAGGACCGCCTATTCCAGGAATAGGCCCTTGCTCAAACGAACCGTCCTCGTTTCTGTGGAGGATAGCCCCGATTTTCGGTAGTTGCACACTCGAGAGCTGAACCTAAAGCGACGATTTAGCAAGATATCTGTCTGACAAATCTTGAACTAGCTGTAAGGTGCCTGTATCTCTGCCATCCGATACATAACGTAATTTTTGTGGGTAGAAGGTATTTTCATACCGAAATCTATTCCAGCGTTGCCCTTAAGGCAGTCCATCAACATGAATTGGGCATTCACTCCGCAAGCTGGGTCGAGTTCGATGGCATGGACTTGCGGGACAGGGATATTGGTGTGCTCCTTGACGAGCAAAATCATACTGTGCTCGAGTTTCATAACACTTTCCGCTTTTTTCGAGCCATCTCTATTCCGGGATAAAGATTGCATCCGCAGTCGCGCTACCCATTGCACATTGCCGTCGAATTCAATGATGCGGACCATATGATTGAATCCGAGACCAATATCTGGCAAAATAATGCACCCTTTTCCACCTCGCACGGTGGTCGCGTATTCCGTAAGTGCTTTCCAGATTGTGGAATCGATGAAGATTTGCCCCCTGGAACGCAGCGCTTCATCCGTGAGAGATGAGAAATAGGACCATCGGTAGCCTGCAAAAGCATCATTGACTACAATATAATTAGTATGAGCGCATGCAATTATCTGACCTGGATAGGCGCACAAGACATATTTTCCTTAGGGAAGCTTTTGAGCTTTTTCTGCGATCTTCTTGGGTGATGGGGATGGTGTCATTTGAAATGGGCGCTTGAGGGATAACTACATTCAAATAACGGTGAGACTGGGAGTCGTGGCATGGACCCCTTGGGTTGTAGCCCGGTAGACCAACAAACTGGTATCTACGATACATACCCTGACATTTTTTTTCATTCGAGATTCAAGTAACGGCTAATAATGGCGAGAATAGCAATAACAATTCCGAAACCGTTCATAATATCCTGGGGTCTTCGCTGGGTTGATAACTTGATGATCGTGCGCCCTCTGGGCTTGGGTCCCTGGGAATTGACTGTTTGAATCTCGATTTTTATTTTGTCACGAGCAACACCCCTACCGGCAGTACCGACAGGCCTTGGTTCGAGGATGCCCATATATGTTAGCGGATTGTACCGTAACCGACTAAGATGGTCTGTATGTGACGGTATTATCCCTGGCGAACTTTAGGATCTCACAGAGCAGTGCTTGAAGAAAATCCGTCTCAATGGCAGAGACTCTCTCCTTCGGGTCCTTAGTTTCTGGCCTTAAACCTGTGACTTGGGTATCGTAGGCTATGGATTTAGCATCGTATGTGGTCAAATATTTCTCCATTTGACCCATTTTCTCCACCCAAGAAAGCCCGGCATCATTATTAATAATAGGGGTTTGTCTATGGCGTACCATGTTCGAGGCATCCGACGCTCTAGGTAGGACTCTTTTTCCGCAGTCGACTTTGTCAACTTCAGGGGGCAATGTTGTGGATATAAGAACTGGTTATAGATGAGCGCTTGGACCTGGCACTGCTAAAAATGGTAGAAGGTTAATCTCTTTGCAAAATATCTAAGAAAACGACGATTGGGGACTGACTTGTCGAGGCTTGGGTGGGGATAGTCAAGTGATGACTATCCCTCATGGATGATGACAGTTAGGATGTCGGCACGATATCCTAGGCGGGAAGGATGTGGTTGTGACGGTCGTTGTTGTGGAATAAGGATAGGGAATAAGGACAGGGAATAAGGAGAAGAGGGGCGGAGAGCAAGAGTAGAGTAAGAAGGAAGTAGAGGAGAGGTCGAGGTAGATAGTTGATTGCGATAATTGTTTTGATTCTGAATTTTACAAGGAAAGCAGCCTTGGAATCAAACACCATCATCCAAACAGTGGCATAACGACATATGTGACAGCTCTAGGGGATACACACTATTCGTTTTGCCTACTACTTGCTTTCTCTTCTGATCAGGATTCAGTGTGGTTTCTTGACGCGAGCGAAGTCGGAGGGCGTGCCCTTGGAGCCAGCTAGGCCCTCAGAGTCCATCTATCACAGCGAATCGAGATACTACACCAAATCAGCATTTCATAACGAACCAAGTCTCACTGCGTTTTACTAGACACAGAACGGCAGATATCCGGACTCACCCACAGGTCTGCAGAAAGGTAACCCCATCTCACACTCTATTTCTTCATATCGTCTAACCAGAGCAGGCCTTTGACCAGATGGAGCCCAGCATAGATGCCAAGTTCGATGAACACGATGTCGAGCAGAATGAAAACGGGTAGTGATTGCCAGTGAGCTTAACTGGTACCGCGCGAGTTCCCTCGGCAAAGGCCAACGGCAATAAGTTCGGGAGACCATCAAGCTGGCTCTGTTATCGCTGCATCTCTTCCAATGTTTTACACAATTACCGAAGTGGACCCGCCGGCAAGCTCCGATGCTTAACAGCAAACCGTCTGGGAAAGAATTGTGAAAATCCCATCTCGGTTGACCCACATACAAGTGCAAAAGGCCAGTCAAAAGCCAGGTACCAATCTCTTGTGTTCCCCACACATATCTAGCACGAATAAGATTCTATCGAAATGGCCGATAGGAGGAACTCCGATGGTTTTTGGCCGGATTGCTCCACTTTGTGGCGTTGATCTTGCCCGAGTCAGGTAACAATATGTCTACCGATCGGCGATGGGCCCTCTATAGCGTGAAAGACGCAAGGGCGCTACAAAATCTGCACGACTCCACGGAGTACAAATAAGAGGCCTCGGGGTGCGTGTGCAGGAATAAAGTTCCAACTGCAACTGTCCTCACCATGCGTTTCCTTCAAACCTTGACGGCCTCGTTGCTGCTCACTGGCAGCTCACTATGCGCCGGAGCTACTGGGACCGCCCAAAAGGGTCACCATGGCGCAATTGCTCCCAAGGTGTTCATTGTGTCAATGGTATGTGCGGTTCCACGAAAGGAAATGCAGCTTCGCTAATAGATTATGACAGTTCGCACCTGAAGCTGAAGCTTGGTGGAACATCCCCGAATTCGACTTGCTTGCCCACAATATCACCATCCCCGGTCTCTCGCCTCTGTTCCCGGACGTCTACTGTACCGAGAACTACGATGTTTGCCAGCTTGTCACCGGAGAAGGCGAGATCAATGCTGCTGCTACTGTCACCTCCGTTGCTTTCTCCCCGCTGTTCGATCTCACCCAAACCTACTTCTTTGTCGCGGGCATTGCTGGCATCAACCCCATGAAAGCCACTACTGCATCCGCTACCTTTGCTCGGTACGCGATCCAGGTCGCGCTGCAGTATGAAATTGATCTCCGCGAGCTTCCCAGCAACTTTTCCACCGGATATATTGCGCAAGGTACCGAATTCCCAGGCCAGTACCCGACCAGCATCTACGGCACAGAGGTCTTCGAGCTGAATGCCGACCTTCGCACAATTGCCGCCGATTTCGCGCGCAAGGCAAACCTTTCCGACTCTGCCACTGCCCAGGCTTACCGCGCCCGCTACAAGACTCCCAGTGGGAAATACAAGGCTGCTACCCTGCCCCCCTAGTGTTGTTGAGTGCGATGTCGCGACCTCCGACGTGTACTACAGCGGCAATATCCTCGGCTCGGTGTTTGAAAACACCACCAAGGTGTTGACTAATGGGACGGGCAACTATTGCGCAACTGCACAGGAGGACAACGCCACCTTCGAGGTCTTGCTCCGATCCTCCATCCACAAGTTGACTGATTTCTCCCGCATTATCGTCATGCGCACTGCGTCGGACTTCGAACGGCCCTACCCCGGTGCACCGGCAACCTACAATCTGTTCCAATCCTCGGAGCAGGGCGCATTCGAGCCGGCTATTGAGAATCTTTATGTTGCTGGTATCAAGGTTGTGGAAGGTATTCTGGACGGCTGGGATGCTACCTTTGCTGCTGGTGTCAAGGCCAACAACTACATTGGTGATATCTTCGGTTCTCTTGGTGGTGTTCCAGACTTTGGTCCTGGACGCAAGCAGGCTCTTATCGGTGGCGGCGCTTACAGAAAGCGCAGCCTTCAAAACAACTTCAAGCGTCGCGTTTAAAGATGCTCTGACCTTCCACCGGAAAACTTGAAGCTTCAATTTTTGGTCATGATTTGAAGACTATGTACCTATATTTGCATCTGTGAGATCTGAAAATAGCCATGTGAAGTTCACTCGAATAGCCCGAGAGGGAAATAATCAGCCAATGCTTGATACCCGGCCACACTAGGATGAAGATGGTCCCCTGAGTTATACGTTTCCAGCAGCTGAGATGGCACCTCCGGATCCCTCAACACCTGATCAAAGTCCAGTACCGCATCAAATACGCCACTTTGCCGGATGAATTTATTAATATGTTGACGAGTCCTCTCCCGCTCGGGACTTGAGTAAGGCTGCACATAGTCGGAGCTCGCCGGCGAGCCGAACGGTGTGATAGTAGCGCCAAATAACGGAATTCCCAGGGCATGCACACGTGTCGCGATCTGTTTATACCCCGCGACTAGTTTATTCCCAATCTCCGCCTGTGTAGCTGCATCACTATCAGCGGCGCCAATATCATTGACGCCTTCGAAGATCATCGCATATCGCACTCCAGGTTGTGCCAGGACGTCCCTGTCAAGACGGCTGATCACATTTGGACCTAGGCCATCTTGCAGAATTCGATTTCCGCCAGCGGCCTGGTTGAGAATGGCGATATTTGAGGTGGGCTTATGCTTTTGCATTCTTGCCAGCAACAAATCCGGCCAACTATATTCCGTAAGCCATAAACATGCACAATAATAGGACGGCCCACTTACCGATCATTGCCATTTGTAGTGCTTCCTCGTCCATCGGTGATACTGTCGCCAATGATCACGAACCCACTGGATTCAGAGGGTAGCCGAGCCTCGACTCCGCTGATGAAGTACCTGAGATGGGGGTCAGATCCAGCTTCGCATTTGGAGTAATCAGAAGCCTTGCGGGGAAAGGACCCACCAATGATCTGTGCTTTGGACAGATGAGTCGGTGAGGTTCTTTCCGCCAGTCCAATCCCCAAAAGCCAAGTATGAAGTCGTTCTACTTCCAGGGTGGCCAGTAATAGCGAAGCCGTGCTGTCCCTCTGCGAGATACATGTTGATCATGAGAGCGGATTGGGCCTTGACAGGGAACTTTATTGGGTCGGACACAGCCAGCCCACCGTTCGGGATGTCCACATCTGGACTACCATTGAAGGACACAGTTTTCAACGTCTCTGTCTGTAGACCACTGACTCCCACCCGCTGTCTCTCTGGTAGGCCGATAGTCACATTGGTGATCTTGAGCTCATTCGGCCCAAATGCATTAGACAGTCGAATGCGGATCTCCTGTGCAGCTAACGAAACCTGAAGCGTTTGGCGAATGGTAGTATTGCCGAAGACCGCGGTGGATCCATTCTGTACCCCCACAGTCAGTATCGAGGCATTGGTCATTGTGATAATGGCATCCCACGTACATATGGAATTGGGGGTAGGTTAGCGGGCTCGACCAGCTGGGGCATAGTAGTCCATATATTCACCCAATGTGAGTTTTCCGCTTTGTCATAGTTTACTCGGCTCGGCAAAGGGTGTGAGGATACTAAGTGGGCGCATGACAGGGCGATTAGAAATATAGATCTGAGTTGAAACATAGTTGTTGCCGCAGGTAGTAGACCAACTAATATAACAGTCACCTTTTCCCTCACATCTCGAATCGAACCTCAATGTGCAATTTATAGCTCTTTTCCCTCATGATTGTGTCCGGATAATGTGGGTAAATTCTATCCGAAATTTGGCTCCTCTATTTCTCCGCTGCAAATCCTCTCCGCAAACGCGAATTGCGGGGAAGTGGGTAAATGCAGCTACTTACTCTCATTGCCGACATCATGGATAATTGGGTAAATGTCAATATTCTGAACAATAATAGCGGTAGATGTTAAAAGTAAAGTTGTCTTTGTTCTGTACTACAATGGCTCAGGCTAATGCTGTCTTCGCTAGGGCCACGTGCACCTAAATGAATAGACGGGTATTCTTATTTACATCGAATATTAGCGACGCATCGATTGGCTCGTGGTTCGCATCTTGAAGATTGGAGGAGTCGAAATCCAGGTACTATTTAGGAACAATAAGGAATGATTCGAATTGAGTTTATGCTGGGGTGGTGACATAGATGCTAATATCTCCTAAAGGAAATATATAAAAGCTCCAATAAAGTTCAAGTCCCTGACGGAAAGAAAAAGCTTTCTCGAGGAAAAAGGTCAAACTCGCTGTCATATTCCAAGACGGTGGCTTGAACTGGGAGAGGCGATAGGTTTAAATGTGGTGAGGTCATGCGACGGATGCAACCCTACTTTGCACACCGGAATGGGAACCCCTAATTACAGACCTTCTAGATCTTCCAGCTATGTGCAGAAATATCTAGAAGGAATTTTAAGAAAAACCGGTGAGACGCGATCTGCATGGGATATCAAGGGAAGAAAGGGGCGGTTTATCTGCGATACGGGCATCGGCGAGATAGGATTCGAATCAAGCTCGCTAAAAAGTACTTACATTTGTCCCCGCAGATAAGCCTCCAAGCAGCCCCCAAAGTCCGAATGCGACCATCTCAGGCGATCTTTGCCTGTTCAGCTAAACCTTCCATGATGCGGAGAAACGTGGGGGTGATATCCATGCATGGGTAATGCAACATTCCCGAGGTAATCTTATCTAATAGAGCAAGGGGATGTCACCTCTCGCTTGATAAGAGGATGCTCGCATCTGGACGTTTATAACTTTGACAGGTGGTGCACCGACTTCGCCTTTTTTATATTTTGTTGTCTATAGCACCTTGGATACAACATGTCGAGTGCAGAGCGCGCACCGTCGCCTAATGGCACAGTGAAGAAAACGAACACCTTGGGCACTACTGAGGAGCCCAGTATGCTGAAAGGTTATGGCTCTGTCCCGGGGGTGATGGATGAGGTGACCCGTGTCGTGGACCACAAGGCTGAACGGCGTCTCTGTCGGAAGTTTGACTATCGTCTACTCCCTATCCTAGCAATTATGTGTATGTCTATCTAAATTTGTCACCCATGCAGGACTGACTGGCAACAGATCTATTCAATGCTCTAGACAAGGGAAATCTGGGAAATGCAGAAACTGATGGGATGAGCAAGGGTATGTGAGGTCCTCGATCCAAGCGGCAGGCACTGGAGACTAATTGAACGGTTAGACCTGAATTTCAAGCCGAATGAGTATAATCTCCTGTTATCGATCTTCTTTGTTCCATTCGTGCTTTTTGCACCGCCCTTCTCGATGCTTGGAAAGAAGTTCAGTCCAGCGCGCGTACTCCCAATCCTGATGTTCTCCTTTGGTTCCTTCACGATGCTCTCCTCAGCTGCCTTCAATTTCAGTGGGATGTTTGCCCTGCGCTGGTTCCTGGGTATGTCCGAGGCTGCATTCTTCCCGCTGGTCATCTACTACTTGACCACGTTCTACCGTCGTGGCGAGCTGGCTCGTCGTCTGGCTGTTTTCTACGCCGCGTCGAATATCGCAAATGCTTTCTCTGGGCTCATTGCGTTTGGAGTATTCCAGATCGAGGGATCTAATATCCCCAATTGGCGCTACCTGTTCATTATCGAGGGCGGCGTCACTGTTCTATTCGCTATATTCGCCTTCTTATATCTCCCACGGAGCGCCGCCGAGGCGAAGTTCTTGTCTGAGGAGGAGAAGGCACTAGCTTTCCACCGAATTCAAGTCGACTCTAGTGCAGTGGTCAACGAGGAGTTTAGCTTCCGCGAGGCCCTCGGCATCTTCAAGCACCCTAGTACATACGCCTTCTTGTGCATTGAAATCTGCCTCGGTGTTCCTTTGCAAGGTGTCGCGCTCTTCATGCCGCAGATCGTCGGAGGGTTGGGTTATCCCACTGTCAAAACCAACCTGTACACCGTTGCCCCAAATGTAACAGGAGCAGTGATGCTGCTCGTGCTCGCCTTCTCCTCTGATTGGACCAAACTGCGATCACCATTCATTGTTCTGGGCTTTATGCTCACTTTCTCCGGGTTCATGATCTATGCATCCATTGATGATGTCCAGAAAGACATACAGGTTGCCTACTTCGCAACTTTCATGATGACTTGGGGAACGTCCGCCCCATCTGTGATGCTCAGCACGTGGTATAATAACAACATCGCCCACGAGGGTCGCCGTGTACTGTTGACTAGTATCGGCGTGCCGTTGGCCAACTTGATGGGCTTGGTGAGTAGCAACTTGTTCCGGAAGCAAGATGCACCTAAGTATATGCCAGCGCTGATCAGCGTTGCTGCCTTTGGTGCTACGGGCGCTTGTTTGACGGCTTCTCTGGCACTATACATGTGGCTGGATAACAAGCGACGCGACCGTAATGATGGAGTCACCATTCGGGCACGGGATATTCCAACGGAGCGAATGAGAGACGGGCCGGCATCTGCCCAGTTCCGATGGTTTTTGTAAATGGAAGATTGGGAAATCCTGTCTGTATTTAGTTGAGCGAAATCAATATCTGTCCATAAACCCCGTGTTCACTAATCCTGTAAACTTCACGATAACCTATGTAGCAGATTCCCTCTGCCACTTCTTAGCTTTCCCTTTCCGTTTCAGTGCTCGCCTCTTGCCGCTAAAGACCCTTCGGGGTTGAGCCGAACGCCCTGTACTAAGTCTGCTCACCCTGACTCTGAGCACCTTCATCAAAGCGACCGTCCCAAATAGGAAAGCCCACTGGCCAGAGGAAATGCACTATGTACAGAGTAGAGCTTCCTTTATTGGGGGTAGCTAGAGCCAGCCAATAGGACAGACTATAAGTCTGACATCAGCTCTCCGTTGTCAACTCGTATTGCCTCGATGTAGGAAACCTTATGCCGAGCGGCTTATTTCAGCCCCACGGCTCCCCGGGCGCTTCCACTGGCGAAAACTCAACACCTTGTCCTTGCGAATTTTTTTTTGAAAGGAATTTCATCCAATATGTCGCGAAAGGTTGATCAGATGCCGATGCCGGCAGAGGTTCTGCCGATGAAAATTATCGTTGCAAGTCCTAGTCGGTACGGAAATGTCGACTCCCACGGGTGAATTCCGATGCTAACGAAGTTGTTAGTTCAGGGACATTGGGACTCTACCAGGCAATGCGAATCTTGGGTTACAAGACATACCATTTCTATGAATGTATTACCGTCCATGGTCTACCCCATATGGAAATCTGCTCGGAAGCGATCACTGCTCAGTATAACAGACTCTCTGGGGTGAAGAAGTACGACCGGGCCGATTACGATAAATGGTTGGGAGACTACGACGTAAGTTCAATTTTTCAATCATGCGCGTTTGAGAGAAGCGCAGCTGATTCGTGTTGTCACCTAGTGCCTCGTTGAAATCCCAAGCATGATGGGACCAGATTTGATCGAGGCCTACGTCGACGATCCCGATGTGAAATTCATCCTCACGGAGCGAAACCCAGACAAATGGGTCACTTCTGTCAATAACACGGTCGGGGTTGTGATCGACATGCCTACCAATTCCCATTCTCTATCCTTAAGTACTTCGATGCGACGTTGTACCGATTCCTCGCCATGAACGAACTCGTTTACCGGGCAATGTCTGGATGCACTAGACCTGGTGACGCAGAAAATGCTCAAAATCTGCGCAAGCATTATACCGACTAGTATGTACCGAAAGCAGAAGCAACTGTTATTTTGAAGATCTATTACGCTAACACCACCATCAGCATCAAAAGAGTGAAGGAAATCATCCCGGCTGACAGGTTGTGCTATATACGACTTGAAGATGGCCTCGACTGGGAGAATATTTGCCCGTTCTTGGGTGTTCCAATCCCAGAAGAAGCGTATCCCGGCCGCAATGAGCCCGAAAAGTTTCAGAAATTGGTTCAGGAATTTCTTCAGCCGAAGATGATGGCTGCTGTTATGAGGTTAAGCGCTGTTGCTGTCCCAGCGATCGGAATTCTAGGGTGGGCTGCTGTCAAATATGGGCCATCAGCCCTTGCAGAGCTGAAAAGACTTTGATATTTAACATATTCAGTCAAGACCAAAATACTGTCGATGCCCAGCCCTAGGTCCGTTGTCAAGAAGGACTTGAAAGAGGAAGCAGAAAGCAGCAAGGCGGTGCTGGCAGCCCTACCCGTCTACCGGTGGACCTGTGTTGTAGGGAGAGAATCCCGGAGCTTCCTCGGGTGGATGTCACACTGATGTACTCTGTACCTGAACATCTTTGCAACATTTGTCTCTTTGTTTTTTTTGTGTGACTGATCTCACAGTAATGAGCCATTCGGCCCACAGTTCTCGCCCAAAGTGGCAATCGAATTGGCAATCTTTCAATCGGATCTGACGTGGTAGTCGTTTCCGAACCCACCCACATCGAACAAGAAATACAAGCAAGTCATTGGGATCTCATTCAGCTCACCGATGCCCAAGCTGACCCGCACCTGCCCCGCATCACGTGAGTGGAAAGTATATAAAACCATCCGAGGGCTCACGTCGTACTCGGAATATTTATCTGATTTCAACAGCTTCGCACCCCCAATTCCACTTTACACGATATAAACAATGGCTTCCAATACCAGCCAGCTATCGCCCTTGCCGGCCGTCACACGGCATATCACAGGCCACAATGAGAACGGGAAAGCAGTGATCCATTCCTCTACACCGGCTGAATGGCAATCACTTGGAGAAAGCCAGATGGCATTCAACGTTGTTTACACGAACCAATTCGCTCCAGATCTCAACAATGACGCGGACATCAAGGCCCACGAGACCTTGACACAATCGGACAAGCTGGGTCTCGTTAACCCGGGTGGAACGGTGTGTCGCATTGTGGACTTCGCCCCCAACAACCCTGCTGTGGTTCACCGGACGCAGAGTCTAGACTACGGCGTGGTGCTCGAAGGGCAGGTTGAAATGATCTTGGAAGACAGCGAGCCAGTCATCATGAACAGAGGGGATGTTGCGGTACAGCGGGCTACGATGCATGGGTGGCGCAACACCAGCGAGACAGAATGGGCCCGTATACTGTTCGTGCTGCAGGATTGCAAGAAATTGACGGTTGCTGGGAAGGAAATGAAAGAAGACCTGGGAATTGCGGCTGGAGTACTTAAGCCGAGTGGCAATAGTCAGGAGTAATTTTCTCGGTTTCTCTGGGATAATTTGACAATGAGATTTAATGATATTCAGAGCTCCAGCGCTCTATTGAATCTTGATTACTACCTTGCCAAAGTGGCTGCCGCTTTCCAGGAACCTGAATGCTTCCTTGGACTCGGCAAATGAAAAGACCCGGTTAACTACCGGATGAATCTGGTTTGTCTCGTAGAACCGGATCATCTCTTCAAACCGATCCTTTGGACCGTTGATGATTCCTCTGAGTGTCACCGTCCGACGGAGAGCCAGCAGGTTGACATTCAGGCGGTCTTCATCGGCATCTATCTTGCCTGAGACATACCCAATGCAGTTGATCAACCCTCCGAAAGCGATGCAATCAAAACTCTTCCGCAAGGTTTTAGCACCGCCAACTTCCAAGACGATATCAGCACCGTGGTTCTCAGTAATCTTCATCACTTCGGCTTCCCAATCAGGGTTGGTGCGGTAGTTGATAGTAAAATCAGCACCTAGCTCCTTAGCCTGGTCCAATTTGGCATCGGACGAGGAGGTGATAATAACTGTTTGCATGGTTAGCGTTTGCGTCCTATGAACAGTAATAAACCCCACTGCCCACCTTTGGCGCCAGCGGCCTTTGCAATCTGCAGTCCGGCGATAGCCACACCACCAGTTCCCTGGAGCAAGATGTATTCGTCCTTCCCGCCGTTCTGCCCCATCGGCCGCATGCCATTGATAGACATCCACGCCGTGACTGAAGCGATGGGAAGCGTAGCCGCCTCCTCATCTGACATGAAGCTAGGCGCTTTCACCAGGCCGTGATCAGGGAACACGCGGTGGGTTGCAAGGACACCATCCTGCGGCAGCCCCAGGCTTCTGCCAAGCTCCTTCTCGGTCACCTGGCCGGTTTGATGATCGGGCAGGAAAGTTGAGAGCACCCGGTCGCCGACTGTCCACTTGGTCACGCCAGATCCAACCTGCGTCACCACTCCGCACATGTCCGAGCATGGCACGATGGTGGCATCCTGTTCGGCGGATTTGTGATGTTTATACTCGCCATTGGTCACTTTAAAGTCTCGGTCAGCATGGATCCTGCAGGTCTGTTCTTGGCGGGCGACTTACCTTCCACGTCGCGGTAGTTTAGAGACACAGCACGGATCTCTACCAATACTTCGCTCGGCCCGGGTGCAGGTATTGGAGCTTCGGTCTGGCTAAGACTGTCAATGCCCTTCAAGGGCGTGATCCATTGTTGAACGGCCATTTTTCACCACTCTGAACAAAGTATTCAATTGGGGTACGGCAACAAGTCAAGGATTGAAGCTGGTTATAAATCACGTCGGAGAAATTTGGAGAACTCCCCACCTGAGCCCGCATCCATCTTGGAGGTGCTGAGTAATCGAGGTGTTCTGCCCAGGCATGGATACGTCACTACCTAGGTATCCTTTTCATAAGAAATTCCTCGGGAAGGAGACTCGGTAGGTATTCTTTTTTTTAATTGCCCCCTAAGAGCTAGTCGGCTCACCAGACTAGATATAAACAGTCCAGAATTAGCACATTACGCAAATTTTCGAAAACAAGGAGATCTGTCAGACGGGGTTCAAGAAATACGTGGAAGTGATTCATGACCTCTCAATCCAATCAACCCATTGCGCAGTGGTCAGAGCATACATAATCCGTCTCAATTGCTTCGCCACTTTTTCATGCTGGGGATCATCTCAAGTAGCATATCAGTGAACTCTGGCGCAGAGGATCTCCGTGAATGAAGTGCCGCAAACTCGAATCCTTCTGGATATATCCCAGAGTCTGCCCAGTCGATCAGCCAAACTTTGCCATCAGGACCCAGGATTAAGTTCCGGGGCGCAATATCGAGGTGTGTGAGAACCAGCCTGTCGAAATGAAATAGGGGAGCATCCTTTGGTGCCTGCTTAAAGTGTTGAGTGATCTCAAGTCGACGGTTGAACCACGCCTCTAATTGCTCTGTCGAGCCAAATGGGCCGGCTCCCCTGTCGGGAAACCAGTAACCACGGGCCACGCACTTTTTGCAATCCACAGGGCCAGGCTGCTGGGCCTGCTCCTGGGATAGTGGAATAGAGTGTAGAGTGTTGATCATCGAAGCAACCTGGGAGACGACATCCGCGCGTTCTGTCGGACTCAGCTCATCCCAGCATTCCTCGACTGTTCTGCCTTTGATGAAATCCATGACCATAAGGCATCTGCACCCGAAAAAGACGCCTTCCGTTTCGATGTTAAGAACTCGATGAACCTTGGGCACTGGGGTTGATTGTAATTCGTTTTCCTCTCCCGCCCTAGCAATAAGGTCAAGGATGCTAGCTTCGCAAGGCCGTGCATTGACCCCGCCTTTAAGAATCAATTTCTGTGACAGGCGCACAATACGCGTTCCTTGGTAGGAATGGAGAATTGGCGCGGTGCTGAAGAGTTCGGTCAGGGTCTCATCTGAAACCTTGAAAATGTCATGTCCGCCGAGAGGGTAGTTCTCAGGCTCTACGCCTTTTCCACTCGCAGACTAAGAGAGGGTACGTTTCGTTAGCTGGATCGCTGTAGGTTAGTAGAAGATAGAAGTTCTCACCTCACGTCTGTTAGGGTCTGGGAAGTCCATTTCATGAAGGGGTGCGAACACTAGAACTGAGCCAAATGCTTTCTCCGGTGATATTAAAAGCCCCGGGTTATTGTTTCCCCTCTGAGTGCCCAGTTGGGCAGGTGGGTGCGCCTAGTAATGCACGAATCTACCTGCCTAGGCAGGACGTCTTCGCAGGCTTCCCTTGCGGAAGATTCCGTAGTGCCGCAGACTCCAATTGAAACGAGTCGCCTATCCTGAATTTTGATAAGATCTACAGTGTAAATGAGATCATGAAAGGCTGTACAATGTGTAATGTATGTATGTGACAGTTGTGTAGAGAACTGTGGAAATGGAAGGAAGTGTAGCTATCTACATATAGGGGAATATCATGCGACACAGAGAGAATTCAACAAGTTTCGTAAATGAGTGGGCAAATAGGTGATAGAGAGAGAAAGGAGGCGCCCACTGATTAGGGGCACTGAGCAGTTGCAGGTGTATCATCATTGTTGAGATCTCCTGTAGTCACCTGACCGTCCCTTTATTAGAACACTCTTAGAGTCTTACTTCCTTTTCTCCTCTACATAGTTTTCACACTGTCCGCGATACAACATATTGTGTATCTTCATGATCTCATCTACCCTGTAGATTCTAACAATCATCAGCATCAACATAGTATGTACTGGTGGATATATAATTTAACTGTTCACCAGCACTGCTCACAAAGACCAACTTCTTTATTCTCTTCAAGCTCGTTAACTATCTACGACCCAACTCAGTCTTAGTAGGAAACATCCTTGCCCTCACTCCATCTTATAGTGTGAGGATATTCCTATTCCGATCAAGCTGATCAGGAGTGTTGAAGCAGACCTATCCATCTTTAAAATGAACTTCCAGCAACCCCCTTTTCAGTCCTTAGAGTTTATCCCGAAGGGTGAAAAGGGAAAAATGATGAACCTCGATGTATTGTGTGTCTATGCAGTTGCGCATAGCAAACTCGACCAAGGAGGCAATCACTGGTGTTTCTACCTGGATGTTGACGATAGCCACTCGGTGTGTATTGATATGACACCGTCCCTATACTGTTCCCAGCGTCACCATTCCCGGTGGCTCAAAAGGTATTATGCTTATGAGCCTGCTGCCATACACCTACTTGCCATCATCGGAGAAAGCTGTGCGACTCGACGTTCCGGCCGGTATCAAAGTGCACAATTTTGTCAACCTGCTCGTGCAGCGAAAGCGCCACCAGTATGAGTTCAACAAAGACGGCCAGGGCTGCAGGTATTGGACAGACGATCAACTTACCCTCTTTCAGACATCGGGTCTTGTTGTGAATCCATATCAGGTCACAGAGGCCAGAAATGCCATTCTCACGCAATATCCCGATCAAGTTCGATATCCTCTTGTGGTCGGCAGCTACTATCCATGACTTTCTATTGTCCTAGCAAGCTACTTGGACTCGTGGTTCTATTGAAACTGTATGTGCTGCTGGACTGATCTTTTGATGTTGATATTGTTGATATTGACTTATATTACAATTTCAGGGCTGTCTTGTCTCTTAATTTGCTCTCTCTTTGCTCTGTTGTCATACGTGTTCTGTTAAAGGGCGTAATATGTAAAATAGTCGATGCAGATTCACCCTTTCAAGAGCCAAGTTTCTGACTATGTTAGAATATTACTTGTGTCTAGCTACGTATTGTATTCTTTGGATCAATGTGGGATAAGGCGAACCGATGGATATTTTTGTTTGACTTTCTAAGGCGATGATTATAGGTCAAACACCCTACCTATGTAGGTAGCAAGGCCGAGTACCTAGGCACCTACACATGTAGATAGTCTAGCAAGATAGCTAACGCAGCCCTGCCTCAGTGAGGGCCAGTTTGCGATACCGAAAGTGTCGCGGGAATACAGAAAGTACTTACCAAGTCCTCGACAGGCTTGCACCTTTTGTAACAAGCGAACTAAAAGATTCCGACTAGCTCCTCCAATCCAGGACATTCCATCTAATACGCGAGATCACGCTTGTTTCACGGTAAGGCACTATACCTCACCGGACACAATCCCCATCACTCTCGCTAGCGGGCCCTACGATGTCTCCATTCGCTAGATAACTGCATGATCATATGAGGTTTGCACAGTCGCGTCAAACATTGGCCTCATAACGTAGAATCAACCAAAGCTAGGTGCGAGTGATATTTTGCGATTACCAACGCGCGCCGGTGTTTAGTTTGCTGCACCTCCGCAGTGGTCGAGCAGTCTTCTCTTCAAATCTCCAAGACTGCTTTTTGTCTGGCAGTGGATGACCTTATGAACACCTCTAAGTGCTGATCCGACCATATTCCGTCTTCTCCGCATGACAGAAGTGCAAATCCGGCGAGCGAATATATGATGCACACTAGACCGTGCAGTGGGGCTTATCTCCGCCAAACTCCGACGTCCTTGCTCGACAACCCCATCTCCCTTCTTCTTTTCTTCTTCAACTCTCACAACTTCTTTCAAAATGGGCGACGCGTCACCTCCAGCTCCAGGAGATCATACGCATCAAATACCAGGTGCGTAACTCTCCATATTCGCGTTGTCAAGTTAACTCATTCCCCGCAAGCTCATTTCCACCGCTCACCGGTTACCCACGCCTCCCCGCGTTTACCCCATGCCATCGCCCATCGAGGGTTCAAAGGCCAGTATCCCGAGAACACTATACTCTCAATCGATGGCGCAATCCGGGCAGGGGCTCACGCCCTCGAGCTCGACCTTCATATCTCCCGCGATGGGATCGTGGTGTTATCACACGTAGGTGCACACACTCCACGATCTAGGACCACGCTCATCGATCCAAGGACCCAACCCTCATGCGCTGTTTCGGCATCAACAAGAAGGTCAGCGACTGCGACTGGGAGTATTTAAAAACTCTACGAACTCTACAAGCTCCCCATGAGCCCATGCCCCGGTTGATCGATGTGTTGGAATACCTAAGCCAACCAGGTCGGGAGAATTTCTGGATCTTGCTAGACATAAAGGTAGCGAAGCGATTCTCCCCAACCTGCACATTGTCTCTCTCAGAAGATTAACATCTCACCCACTCCCCAGCTCACCAATGAACCCTTCGCTATAATGGAACTGGTCGCCAAAACGATCGAATCAGTCCCTCTACCAGCGAACGGACCCGACTGGCACCGACGAATCATTCTCGGCTGCTGGTCTGCACGATACCTACCCGCGCGAGCGAAATACCTGCCGCGGTATGCAGTAACACTAATCTGTGTCGACTTGAGCTATGCGCGTCAATTCCTCCAAGTACCCCTTATATCCTTCAACATCAACCAGAAGGTCTTGATGGGCCCGCTGGGACGAGGATTCCTGGACGAGGCGCGCCTAGCCCGCCGCCAAGTCTATTGTTGGACGGTGAATGCACCGAATCTAATGCGTTGGTGTATCCGACACGACATCGACGGTGTGATCTCCGACGAGCCCGGACGATTCCGACAGGTCTGTCAAGGGTGGGAGAAGGAACGTTCGGGTGTATTGGGTATCCCGAATCTCAATTTAGATCGGCTCACTTTGAGACAACGTATCGAGATCATCGCTGCGACGCTCTATGTCATTTGCTTTGGCTGGATCTTGAAGCGGATGTACCTTACTCCGGTTGCTCAACTGGAGTTTGAGGATCACAAGTCGAAATAGTTGCATAGCATCTTGCTGAGGGTGCGATGGCATATTAATGGTTAATGATAGATATAATGAGACACGATTTCGGGTTATTGAAACTTGGGAAAGACATTATATCCATTAAACTTGCAAAACCTGTATAAGAAACAATACGCTAACCAAACACCAAGCCGATAAAGAGTACATTATAAGCATTTCGGCGTCAAAAAATCAACAAAATACACCCCGGATGATGGCCCAATAATCACAAAACCTGCCAATGGGGCGTTTTCAATGGATACAGATGAAGATGGCCCGATGCGAGGAGAAAAAAAGACGATCAACGCCATTGCCAGTGCCAGCCAAGCCAAGTAGGTGAGTAGCACAGAGGGTATATCGCAATATATAAAGGAACGAAGAAGGTAGGGAATGAAATCCACGGTAGAGATGCGGAGAAGAGGAATGTGCAACTCAGCAGTTTCCAAGGCTCGCATGGAAGAAGAATGAGAAAGATGATTTACTCAAATCATCATAAGCCTAGTTGTCCGTCGTTTGGGGAACCGTCCTCCACCGCCAGGAGGGAATCGAGCACCGGGGTGGAGTCCAGGCCCTGGTCCAGGTCCAGGTCCAGGTCCAGGTCTTCCGCCAGGGGGAGGGTACGAGCCCGGTGGGAAGTGGCCAGACTGGGCCAAGGGAGACGAGGGCAGAGTTGGCCGGCGACGACCAGAAGGACCAGGAGGTGGTGGGTGGTATGCAGCAGCGGCTCGGCGAGCATCTCTTTCACAGAAGACTTCGCCATTCCACTCGAAGTAGTCGCCCTTCAGAAGAACGTGACATGTACGACACTGCAAACATTGGGTGTGGAATCGACGACGATCTGAGCGCCCAGGGTTCCGCTCGACGGTCTCCAAGTAGTGGCCCTCGATTCCGGTGTGACAGCCGGCGCAAAGGGACCCGTTGCGCTCGTGGTAGTGTTGTGCGCAGAAGGGTCTGTTGTTGAGGACGTAGAAATCGACTGTTTGGAAGGGAGAGTGGCACTCAAAGCAAACGAAACAGCCACGGTGGTATCGACCTGTGAGACGGCCGTCCGAGGATGATATCGATTTCCCTGTAATTGTCTCGTTGCAACCTTTGCACTTCCCCTTCGAGCGTGTCGCGGACCGGGTTGGTGTTGCTGGTGTTTGTGGTTGTGGTATGGGGGCTGTAAATGATCGTTGTGGGGGGGGCTTTCGGGGGATAGACTGTTTTGGTTGTTGTGTGGTCGGAGTCGGGGGTACTTCTTTCTTCTCTGAAATCAATGACACACCACCTTGGTTGATTGAAGGGTCAGTAGGTGAATCCGGGCTGAAGAAAGCAGCCGGGATAGGAGGGACATCTTCCATGGTGCTCCGCATACGGCCGGGTACTTCTACAATCGTCTGTCGAGTCCGCGCGGGCAGTTCTTCAACCAAGGGTCCTAGGTTGAGCGGATCGGTGGGTTTGTGCTGGTTCAGGCTGACATCGGAAGGAAGACTGGACATGGAACTACCACTGCGTGCATCGGAAGGCGATGAATCAGAGCCAGAGGTTTCAGAGTGATTCATTTGGTCCTCCAGACCGAGAGCCCGGGCGAAGCTAGTGACGGAGAATGCACTTGTCGTACTTGCGTTGGAGCTTTTCCTCGGCGCATCGCTACCTGGCTCCGTTGCTGCTGTTGCAGGGTGAAGGTGGGTTTGTGCAGAATTGAAAGCGGTATATTCAGGATGATCCTGGAACTGGGTCGAAGGGGGTTCCTCCGGCAGATCTTGTAGTCCAGTGGTTTGATTTTGGCCTTTGGGAATACCAAAGTCGAATCCGCTGGCTTCCTCCTTGCTAATCCGGGATGAAACCACCGAGACGTTGGAATCACGGGGGAAAGAAGTATTGTTGGGAGTGCGGAGAGGTGCCAGTGGCACCGGTGGTGTGTCGTCCATAAATGACCGGAAACCACGCGAGAGGCTGTTGGTTGATGACCTCGTTGTGGAATCGCCGTAGCGACTGCTGGCGAAAGACGACCGGTAGCTGCTGTTGCTCACTGCCGACTCCCCCCTGTGATGATTCGTATCTGGGGACTTAGGTGGCAGTGGACTAGGTGGAAGGCGTACATTCTCTGGGGTCGGACTCAGCGCTTGTCCCGGCGGGATTGGTGGTAGTGCTTTAAGCGCAGTCCGATCCATCATTGGACTTGGTGTCCTCACTTCAGTCGGTGACCGGTTTCCAGGCATGGGGAATGAGAAGACCGAATCATCATTCAGACTGTGCTGAGACGGGCGCACCATGGACGGAGGTGCTGGACTGACCGGGAGAGGTGATAGATGGACACTGTTAGCTGGTGTCGGCATATTTGGCTGCAAAAATGCTCGATCTATATGTCGGGTTAGTCGCGGATCCCTTGCACTCCCCCACATGGCAATTGAGACATACTTGCAGCGGAGGGGTCTATGGCCGGGGAGGGCCCCGGCCAACCTTCGTCTCTATGAATCGATCGGAATCGAACCCTGCCGATGGAGGCGGTGATGGAATTGTTGTAGGTGCGACTGCTATAAAGTCAGCACGTTAACTGGGTGTTGAATATTCAGAGCCTACCAAAATCATTTCGAATGCAAGTATGATCCCCCATCGAGGAGATCTCGACGTTGTGCCCACAATTAGAGCATTTTATGGTGGGCAACATGCCCATGTTCATTGAAGCCATCAAGGATGAACATCGAATTCAGTCATATCCCCTCGAGATATGGGGAAGACTATTCTAGAGTCTCTGTTGTAAAGAGAAGTTGAGGAGAATTAGCGATTGTACTGGCTTGTGAGTGGAAAACCACGCTAGTGTGATTTAGCGTCTCCAGTGTGGAAAGGGGGTGCGTAACTGTGTTCAGGGGTTACCTACGGTTATTATATTATATTAAATTAAATTCTATTATTTAGTATTATATCATGATATCATGATATTATTCTATTATTCTATTATTAGGTTCTAACGGAGTACGTAGATAGATAGTTCTCTAGTTCTCTATATTCTCTATATTACTACGTAGATATGTCCACTTCATTCTCCCCTGACCCAAACAGCGGAGCTCCATGGAAAAAGATACCTCAACTTGCAATGCCACTGGTCCGTGATGTCGGACCCTCCACTAGCACCAATCACATTGATGTTTGAGGCTTGCAATCTTTCGATCAGTGGGGATCATCGTGGAACCCTTGGAACCCTTGAAAGGGTACAGAGTACCTGTCTGAATTTTGAATAGATTCTGACATGTACTCTGCAAAAACAGACTTTCCCCCTAGAAGACCCTCTGGAATCATGTGGCGACAGTCCCAAATGTTGCGATATTCTTAGAACACGGCAAAAAAAAACAAACAACTTTGTGGTTTCGCCCGTGCTGGCGATCCGCGGGGCCATGTTTTCCCTCCGTGTCCACTCCTATTACTGGTCACTGCTCTCCACTTGGATCATGCATTACCCTGGCACTTGGCCCAAAGCAGAAGTACACATGTACTCTGTCCCGAGGACAAAGTATATTGTAGGTACTCCGTACGCTGCTACCGTTTAGGTAGTTGCAGGATTTATCGTGCCAAGCCCGGGTATTTTTGATCTTCTGAAAGCTCGCATAACGCGTGTGACGACCGGGTGAGAATCAGACCAGATGCTACCCCGTATGGGGCTTCTGATTGCGAGCGGGAGAGGGACGATCACCTGTCGCGCTGGTGCCTCAAGCTCAGACACGGGTTAGGGGAGATGTGAGACTGTCTCTCGTCCTCTTTCTCGCTCTCTCTTCCTGCTCTCCTACTCCGTACTGTAGTACCAATGTCAACGCATGCCCCACCTCTCCCGAAGCTGTCGCTGGAGCGCATGGGTTGGCCAGCCATGAAGTGCATCAGTTTGAATGAGAACTTGGATCAAATGGTCCTGTTCATGTGGGTCTGTGAAGCGATCGCCCCCTGTGATCCTGGTCAGCCTCATTTATACTCACTTGAAAATATTGAACAGTGATTTCCGCTGCTTACAGAGATGGATGGCCATGCACCCAACAACCATGGCTGGGGGCACAGAGGCATTAGATAATGAAGCGCCACATACTTTCCAAATCCCCCTGCGGATATGATCCTGAATCACGTGTCAGTCTCTGCTAGAATACGTAATGTAGATTGGAATCAGACACGTACATCAGCCTCCTGGATCAGACGCGTGCGCAGAGGTCCAACCGTAGCAGAGTCGGATCGTGCACAGAAAGCAAGATCTGGGCAAGATCGATATATTGATTGCCAATTGCTATAACCCCAAGCGATTAGCCGCAGTTCATATCCTAAATAACTTCCAGGAAACACCACTTCCTGGAATGTCGCCCGATACGTACCATGCCATGGACATCCGTAGCGAATGTCAGGGAATTTGGTTCCCACCTCCACATCTTCGCCCACAAAATAAGGGTCGAAAGAGTCCGGCCGAGTCTCACTCCATTGCTGATTATGTGCCTTAAGATCTGCATAGACAGCCGCCGAGCGAGGTCCCTCCCCGAAACAGAACACCAAAACGTGGGCACAATGAGTGATTGCTTGATTCGCCCATGCGCAATCACCTGCATCAGGGCCCAGCGAGTTAAGGTGGGAATCCAAGTCCAAGGACCTCAGCTCAATGTCTGGCGCTTGATGGAGGCTAAGGGCATTGTAAATCTCCTGGCGTAGGCCACTCCAGTAGACAGCCTGCCGTAGACTTGGGGTTGTGGTCATCATTGAGGGAGACCGTATGAAAGCCTTTGTCCCGAAGGAGTGGCCTCGAATATCGGACCCAGCGAGTGGGACTACGATCTTGGTCAGAGCATTCTTGACACACCAGGGGACCGATCGATTACTCACCATCGAACTCTTCCAGCAAGCGTAGAATGACGGTAGCAGACAGCAAGTCATCGTCCATCGTAACACCGTGGTCATTGAGCGCGGGGATCAACTTCGCCAGACATGCTTGGTAATAATGGTCCGATACAAAAGGGTCAAACCCTGTTGTGCGATTCAAATGACGAGCTGACATGGCCAATATTGCATTGAATAATGTCTCACAGCGGCGTGCTCGGTATGGGATATGGATGGCAAAATGTTGCTGGTGATCCGTGCAATCAAACTTGGTATATACAGTCAGACTACGGCTCATCATTTAGAAAAAAGAAAGTATAATCACTTACAAACGGCGCAACCTTTTCCACAAAATGTTGCAGCAAACGCGCCTCCTCGGGATCTCTCAATGGCCATGGCCGCTGGGGTAATCGTTCAGGTGTGTCCACCGAGGGTGCTAGCGAAACAGCACTACTTCCCGTATGTACTTGCTGGTTTGGGAAACCATATTGTGGCAAAGGAGGAGTATATGAGGACCCTGGAGACACCCTTTCGGGTATAGGAATGGAGTCGGCATGACTATGCAAGCTCCCGGCAGGCGACAGAACATTGGTTGGCGTCGGGGTCGGGCTACCCACTTGGCCGCTTCCGCTTTCGAGCACAAAGTCCACTATATAACGATCCGCTGTCAGACTAGATCACTAGATCTCAGGGAAACGGGTGCAGAATCCAACCTCTAGGTGGTGGCCGGAGCCAAACTTGGTTGCTAGGAAACTTAGTGCGCGTTGTCCGACCCTTTGCCTGTCGAAACTTGGTTTCCTTTTTACCACGAGTGCATTCGCGACCTGTGCGGACGCATCGGCTGCATTGTGGCAAGACTCCGTCACCTATTGACAGTCAGCGGAGAGTTGGTTCTGCGGGGCAATAGGTAGCATTACATTTATGATGAAGTACACGGCATGGATCGCTAGATATAGTCAGTCAAGTCTCAAAAGCCACTAAGATCATTTAGGTCATTGCTTACCAACATTGGGGGTTCTTCGCACCGGGCATGACGGAGATGTTGATTTTCTTCACATCCTCCGTCGGGGAAATTCCCCACTGCGGGGGATTTAATCCGGTGCCCCAATATGTGGCGATATGGTTATTAGTATTCTAAGGTTACCCTTGATATAAATTTGATTTAAGGATAATTTGTTCTAGGGAAAATGACAATAATAAAGAGAAATGTCCATCTCTCAAATGGCCTGTAGGTATGGATATATATTTTCACCGAATTATCAAATAATCCCTACGTTATAGGAGTTGGTACCTGGAATTTCATAGAAAAAGCACCGTAGGGACTTCAAAGACTATATATTATGATGTGACAATTCTATTGTCTTGTTGGGTTGTAGCAATCGAGTCCGACTGCCGAACAATAACATGGTGCACCCCTTGCAGATATCTCATTCATAGATCTTCTTTATCTGAGACTCAAAATATCTCTGCTAATGAACACCTTGCTGAAACTGTAAAACATGCATTTCTAGAGGCTGAGTGAGATCGGAATGCAAGAAAACAACAAATATGCAAGGATCGGACTCACACGACACAATTGCAGGATCTCTGATTAATTCTAAAGAGCGTACCTTGAGAATTTCCCCAGATTAACAGCTTTATTCCAAACCTTCCTTGCACACTAAATGACACGTTTTCTTGGCCTCCGAGGCAGTCGTCTCAACCATGTAGCGCTGCTTGGCGTGGTTATGCCTGCCATCATGTCATTAGGCTATAACCAAGGATTACTAGGGGGGAGTTCTAACCATGCCCTGGTTCGAGTCCCAATTTCCAGAAATTGACGTGAGCAACGCGCTGCCTTCAGAAAAACACCACGAATCGACTCTGCAAGGTACCGTGGTAGCCTTGTATGCAGCAGGTGGTTTCTTGGGCGCCATCGCCTGCATTGGGCTAGGTGATATGCTTGGACGTCGACGAACTATCATACTCGCTTCAGTGACGCAAATGATAGGGGCATTCCTCATGGCTAGTTCTTTCCCCCTTTCTCAGTTGGTGGTGTCAAGGGTTATCCTAGGTCTGGGCACTGGTGGCCAACTAGCCACTGTGCCTATCTGGCAATCGGAGATATCACCAGCTAGTAAGCGTGGTGCGCATGTTGGGACCACAGGCATCTTCGTCTCAATGGGTCTTACCCTAGCATTACTCGTCGACCTTGGGATGTCTTATGTCCCCAACAGCGCAAGCTGGCGTATTCCAGTTGGACTGCCTATCATACTTTGCATAGTTGTGATTATATTTATTTCTCATATGCCCGAGTCGCCTCGTTGGCTGGTCAAGCAGGGCCAAGTCTCTGCTGCTCGTGAGGTATTGGCAGCCCTGAGAGACACGGAAATGGACAGTGAGATGGTCCAGAAGGATATATTGGATGTGGAATCCTCGTTGGCTATTGCTGGCGGTAAAGGGTCTTTGTGCCAAATATTCCAAATGGGACATCAAAGAATCTGTCATCGCGCGTCCATTGCGACAGGAGGATTGGTGCTGTTACAATTGACTGGTGTCAACTCTATCACGTTCTACAGTACGTCCCCTAATCTTTCAATCCCATCCAATTGCCCTCGCTCATGGATCACCAGCTACGACAATTTTCCACACCCACCTGCACCTTAGCTCAACAACATCAATGATTCTGGCGGTCATCTACCAGCTCTCCGGTGTCTTTGGTGGCATTCTCTGCGTGTTCACAATAGAGGGATTCGGTCGCCGCTTTCTATTGTTGTCCAGTGCCATGGCAAACACAGTCTCCATGGCCCTCGTGGCTGCGCTTAGTTCCCAGTCGAAAAACATCATTGCCATGCACGCAGCAGTGGTCTTTATGTTCATCTTTCACTTCAGCATGGTCTTCGGTTTTGGTGGAGTGCCATTTCTCTACGCATCCGAAGTGGCACCTCTCAGTCTGCGTAGCACTATCAACGGTATCGGCTCCAGCATATATTGGGCTCTGAGTGTTCTGATCGCCGAGGTCACACCAATCGCCTTCAATGCCATTGGATGGGAATATTTTCTCATCTTTGCCTGTCTGAATTTTGCAATGATACCGGTTGTTTATCTATTTTTCCCGGAAACCGCAGGTCTCTCGTTGGAAGATATAGATGAGGTATTTATCATGTCCACGGGCTGGTCAGACCCTGTTCGTGTGGCCAAACAGGTGTCCAAGAGATTAAATGGTCGCCAACCCCAGGGAGATCGTCCTTTGGAGAATAAAGACAAAAGAGTACCGACGGTTTGAGAGTATAAATATTTGTTACTGACAATACCAACGGGGTAGGATTTGCAGGAATGTTTGGTTAACAAGAAATGACAATAGTATGCCATACAAAAGAATCAAATGTATTTTTAACGAATTAATTTTTGCGATATTTGTGCCTGAGCATGGAAGAGGTAAGCTCGTTTTACTATAACATTACTAGGTATTTACTACTCTTCATTTATATACCAATCAAGAGACTACCAAAGGATATAAGTTCATTTTTGGCAATGCTTTTGATCTCATTTATGAGGTTACATATTTATACAGGAACCATGGATGGAATAATGCCGGTAACAGCAATCTTCATTTCCTTGTAATTGAGGCTTGAATAGAGCTATGTCTGTTCTGCTGTTTTTGTCTCCAGACTGAGGATAAAAGACACAGACAGATGACACAAAGTGTACATGTTGGTTTAGAATAATTTCCAATCGCTCAAGGCCTCTTCCAGAGGCTTGCTGCCATCCCATACAGATTCAAGGTTCCTCTAATAGGGTGGCTGGCGGGGGATCAGAGACACACTCAGCTTTAACTGCTCTACACCACGGCTTGCCATAGTCTCAGCATCCTCCAGCTTTCCGTCGTCGGCGGCTTCTGCTGCCCCTCTTAGACACTAGTGTGCAGTATTAGCAGCGGCAAGGGCATCCGAGTGATGTCCCGTGATGGAAGTACGTAGCCAGGCTCCGCTCCTTGCGCAAGACGCAGATAAACGTAGTCACTTTTAAAGAAAAAAAAAAAACTGGTTTATGACGTCTGTCGTATTGTTGTTTCATGACCATGGCGGCGTACTTAGCGCATTCGTCAGCGTCCTGGCGAGCCGCTTGCGGGCACTTTCCCATTGCCTAATGGACACTCGTTTCTTCACGCATCCACGGGTTATCGATTTGATGACTGATGTCCAAGCGATCGAAGGCTGTTAATGTAGCCCATGACGAACCAGTCGAAGAGATACTCGACAAAAACGATGCCCACAGAGTCGAGTGCGCAAAGTGGTGCTCGATTCGGCCTCGCCGAGTGAACTCACTCTCCAGTAGGGTCTCTGGCTTGTTCACGACGATACTCTTGAATAGGCAAACCATGCGGCTGAAAAGGGAGCAGATGAAGCGGGATCTGGCTTCCTCATTGTCATGGGCATCAAGGGGACCGTACTGTGTGAAGGCATCTTCGACATCACGTACGATGTCACGAAACAAGTCGGTAGGGATCCTAGATCGGCAGACGTCTAGGGCAACATATCTCGATCTGCACGATCGGGGTCTAGCCACACGTATGGTGCAATTTGCTTGTAGGTACCGTTGGAAAAGGAGGTCTCCAATTTCTTTGTCGAGATTTGCGAGAGAGTGAATAGCGGAATATCGTAAGTTGTAGGGAGCTCACCAAGAAAGTCACTTGTCAGACGAATTTCTGACCCACCTCTCACCGGGTCCAGTACGTCTACAGAGGGACTTCGGCGTCCCCAGAGTCCAGGAAATACACTCCACTGGATCAGATTCCCTCGGGAAAGGGTTCTTCTAGATGGAAATTTGATGAGAAGGATAGAAGAATTGATGGAACAGGATGTCTTCGTTGATTCCATTAGAACTAGGAAAGTGTACCTAGGTAGGATACGTAAGGATTGGAAGGCGGCATTTTCTCTTGGTCCTTCCGCCGGAACGTATCTTAGTGGTCTTCTCCGATTGTGATTGTCTTTCCATATGTCTTTCCAGTGGTCTTTTCAGTGGTCTTTTCAGTGGTCTTTTCAGTGGTCTTTTCAGTGGTCTTTTCAGTGGTCTTTTCAGTGGTCTTTTCAGTGGTCTTTTCAGTGGTCTTTTCAGTGGTCTTTTCAGTGGTCTTTTCAGTGGTCTTTTCAGTGGTCTTTTCAGTGGTCTTTTCAGTGGTCTTTTTTAGCAGTCTCCTTAAGAAATGGGGACTCTATAGCATTGCAGATATGATTTGTTTTAATAGAAGACTGCACTATATTCCGCGAACGGAACAACATTTAAAATTCCTACTTAACGACAGAGGCATAAACAGCGCCCAACTCAGTTGAGCAACGCAAAGCCAACAAATAATACAGAAATACATGAGACAACATGAGCAGACACACTAAACCAAAGCCCATGTGTTTCGGCACTAGAAGTTGAATTGGGGAACATCTTTCAAGAAGTCCGCCGGCATCCCCAATTTCCGCGAAAGTCGCGACTGTTCTCGCTGCCGGAACACCTGCCGAGAGTTTGCAGTCTTGTAATAGTCGATGGTCTTCATTAAGTCCATTTTGGTAAAAGACTCTTCGTAATCATCGATATCTTCCGGCGACGATTTGACGACAGCTACATCACCCTTGACGGTCCGTCCCAGGCAATGACTAGCAAGCTGGTTCATGGGGAGATTCGGAGCGGAGGATTGATACATATAGTAGTACCAAGTATCGATGTCCTTTTGGGTGTAGAATTTTCTAGCCTCATCAGCTTGGGGCCAGCCAAGCCTTTCCTTGAGCTCCTTCATTTCGAGGCCCCAGTTTCCATACGACTTGAGGTGGAATGGCTCAATGTAAGCTGCATCAGATTGGCCATCAGAAGCAGGTGTAGCCCGGATCAAGAAGCAGTTGTATGGAATTGTAGGCGCACAGCGGGGCTTGTGGGCTTTGTAGTCGGCCTTCTGGCAGTCTCTGCTGCAGTACCAGGCTTTGGCCTGGGGAGGTTCACATCCTGAGCAGGCCGAAAGGCCAGGTTTGGCACAGCCTGGTGCGACGCAAGATCGAGCAGTTGAAGCCTTTCAATATTGAAACTTTGGAAAGTAATAAGGTAACCTTGGAATAGTTTACATGGGATCTAAACGTTATGGAGCTATGGCTCCCAAGGTCCTGAGCTCCGCAGATTTTAAAATGTGTTCAATGTTTACAACACACCATCGACTCAACGGTTCCTTTGGTACTCTATACTATTAAGTCAATCATATTAACAGAAAGTAATAATACATGTAAAAATGAATAAAGCAAAATCCAGATCTGCCAAACGTGCATGGGCTGACCGCCATTCTGCCCCGCGGAGTCTGCCCCTCATGATGTGCAGCACGGTCCAACAGAGGGCTCGTGGCATGATGTATAGGGCCACGGGTTACTCTATAAAACTACATGTACAATGGCAACGGCAATTGGAATACAATGCTCACTTCTCTATGAGAATTCAATCACAAAATGCAGAACCGAAATACGTCACCGAAATTCGTATCCGGAATGGAGTTTCTCGGGTCGCCAGGCACCAGGGAAACCCGTGGAAGCCGGAAGCGGAGCCCCAGACGGTAGTGGAAAAAAACTGGAGATTCAGGAATAAAATGGGCCAAGTTGCTGATCACAATGCATTACGGTAGCTACCTAGCTATATGTACCTGGAGTTAGTACAAGGGGAACAAAAAGACTGGAGTATGCTATACTCCAAATGCAGGAACGAAAAAGAGTGACTACAACATACTGCGGTATCGGCTAGACCATGGACAACCCTAGAATAGACGGTGAGATATTACAACCAATAATAAGATGAAAGCCAATTTAATAGCTCGAAGCGAAGGGGAAAAACAGAAGAAAGAAAAAAAAAAAGTCGAAAAAGGGGGAAGCCGGGGGACAAGGGACCGGTGGACCAGGCCCCCGGAGACAGGCGGAGACACATAAAGTCGCCCACCTGCCACTTCCTCCTCCTCTCTTTCCTCTTCCTCTCTTATCCTCAATCCTCAATCTTCTTGCTCCGTTTATTTTAGGTTCGTATAAACCTTGTCAGCAGGTCAGATCACTTCTCTTCGAGACAGTGGTCACATACAACCGCCAAAATTTTCGCGACAAGTCTTAACTCGTGAGTTCCCCTTTAGAGCTCTTAGAGCCATGATCATATAGTAGTCCAATTGCTAACTCCTCCTTAGGCGGCACCACCCGTTCAACGGCCGACGCTCATCCAACCGTGGAGGAGCATCGGACTGCGCACCCTACATCCGTTAGAGCTACGCTATCTCACACACTTCTATCAATTCGCCTATTCATCCCGCTGTGAACGCAATGGCTCCTCACGCTAGCTCGGATGCTGCCAATGGCGCGCTGAACGGGTCGGTTCGCCAAGAATCTTCCCTGTTTACTGTCCAGTCCCCCAATGTCGTCTATACCGATGACGAGATCAAGTCGAAGTACGCCTATCAGACTACTGAGATCACCCGCACCGCGGACAACAAGTTGGTTGCCACTCCCAAGGCTACCAACTACAACTTCAAGGTCAACCGCAAGGTTGGCAAGGTCGGTATGATGCTGGTCGGTTGGGGTGGAAACAACGGTTCCACCGTGACTGCTGGTATCTTGGCCAACCGTCGTAACCTCTCCTGGGAGACCCGCGATGGCAAGCAGACCTCCAACTACTACGGTTCTATCGTCATGGGCTCCACTGTCAAGTTGGGCTCGGATGCTAAGACCGGCGAGGAGATCAACATCCCCTTCCACGACCTGCTCCCCATGGCCCACCCTAACGATCTGGCCATTGGCGGTTGGGATATCAGCAGCATGAACCTCGCCGAGTCCATGGACCGTGCTCAGGTGCTGGAGCCCACTCTCAAGAACCAGGTCCGCAAGGAGATGGCCGAGATGAAGCCGCTGCCTAGTATTTACTACCCCGACTTCATCGCTGCCAACCAGGAGGACCGTGCCGACAATGTCATCGAGGGTGACAAGGCTTGCTGGGCTCACGTTGAGCAGATCCAGAAGGATATTCGCGATTTCAAGGCCCAGAACGGCTTGGATAAGGTGATTGTCATGTGGACTGCCAACACCGAGCGGTACGCCGACATCGTCCCCGGTGTCAACGACACTGCCGACAACCTGATCAACTCGATCAAGGCCGGTCACCTCGAGGTTGCTCCTTCCACCGTGTTCGCTGTGGCTTCGATCCTTGAGGACACTCCGTTCATCAACGGCTCGCCCCAGAACACCTTTGTCCCTGGTGCCCTTCAGTTGGCCGAGCAGCGTCGTGCTTTCATTGGCGGTGACGACTTCAAGTCTGGCCAGACGAAGATGAAGTCTGCCCTCGTTGACTTCCTGATCAACGCTGGTATCAAGCTCACCTCCATTGCCAGTTACAACCACTTGGGCAACAATGACGGCAAGAACCTGAGCTCCCAGAAGCAGTTCCGCTCCAAGGAGATCTCCAAGTCCAACGTTGTGGACGACATGGTCGCGGCCAACCACATCCTCTACGAGAAGGATGAGCACCCTGACCACACTGTCGTCATCAAGTACATGCCTGCTGTCGGTGACAACAAGCGTGCTCTGGATGAGTACTATGCCGAGATCTTCATGGGTGGCCACCAGACCATCAGCTTGTTCAACATCTGTGAGGACTCGCTTCTGGCCTCGCCCCTGATTATCGACCTGGTTCTGCTTGCCGAGATGATGACCCGTATCAGCTGGAAGTCTGACAGCGAGGGTGACGACTACAAGGGCTTCCACAGCGTTCTGAGCATTCTCAGCTACATGCTCAAGGCTCCCCTCACCCCTCCCGGTACCCCCGTCGTCAATGCCCTGGGTAAGCAGCGCTCCGCTCTTATCAACATCTTCCGTGCCTGTGTTGGTCTCCAGCCAGAGTCCGAGATGACCCTTGAGCACAAGCTGTTCTAGAGGACGTTGTCCCTGCTTCCCTAGTTTGATCATTTTACGCGCCAACTACAGTCACTCGTTTAATAATACAAGCTTACAAGCCTAAGCATACTACAACCATACTTCCTATTGATAAATTCGTAGTTGTCATGTAAAGCGTATTCTCATTCTCTAACCAGATTCATATGTCTATTCATTGATCCGACCAAGCTCGGAGTAAGCATTCAAGGCCAACTGCCCACCGAGGTGCGCATACAAGATATTTCCACCCTTGATCTCCCCACGACGAATCATATCCATCATGCCGGCAAAGCTCTTCCCTTCATAGACAGGGTCAGTAATAAAGGCCTCCATCTTCGCCGCGTATTCAATCGCATCCCAAGTCTGACGATCAGGAACACCATAGATACCAGCATGATACCGATCATCAAGAATAACATCATCCTCCGTAATATCATCCTCACTAAGCCCAATCTTAGCAGCAGTATTCTTCGCAATCCTCAAAACCTGCGCCCGAGTCGCCTCAACCGTCGCCGAAGCATCAATCCCAATAACTCTCCTCTTCGCATCCGCAGGATACAACCGCTCAAGCAACTTAAACCCAGCAATCATCCCGGCAAAAGTCGACCCGGTAACAGCACAAACAAGCACCGTATCAAAGAAAACCCCCATCTCCCCCTCCTGCTCCCGAACCTCAAACGCCCACCGCGCAAACCCAAGTCCACCAAGCGGATGGTCCGACGCCCCAGCAGGAATATAATAAGGCTTCTCACCATCCGCCCTCGCCTCCTCCACAACCCTCTGCACGGTATTCTTATGCTCGATCCCGAACCCGGACGGGTCGAGTCGCACATCCGCGCCCATCAGTCGCGACAGCTGGATGTTGCCCGTGCTCTCGTAGCCAGGGTCTGTCCAGTCAACCCAGTGCTCCTGCACGAGACGGGCTTTTAGGCCCGAGCGCGCGGCGACGGCGGCGACCTGGCGCGTGTGGTTGCTTTGCACGCCGCCGATGGAGACGAGGGTCGTGCAGCCTTGGGCTTGCGCGTCCGCGAGTAGATACTCTAGCTTGCGGGTTTTGTTGCCGCCGTAGGCGTAGGCGGAGTTTAGGTCGTCGCGTTTGGCGTAGATTGTTACCAACGGGTGGGGGTTGTTTTTGGCGAGATCGGCTGTTATGCGGGGGAGGGGGTGGATTGGTGAGGGGCCTAGGAGGAGGGGGGTTCGGGGGGATTGTGGAGAAGGGGGTTGGGAGGGTGACTGGGTTTGGGTCTGTCATTTTGGGGATTGTAGGTGTATTGTGTTGTAGTGGTTGTGGTTGTGGTGGAGAGACTTGTGCTGGGGTACAAGACAAGTAAAGCAGAAGTGATAGACAATGTAGAGAAGATTGGGAACAAGTTGATTCTGTACACCATGATATCCAGGACTATATACCCCCCCAGATATCACCGCGGGCATCGCCGCGGCGAGCGGAGTTGGGAATGGAGTCTGATAACGCAAAGCAGCCCCTCCTAGACCCATCAGCGCATGAATCACGCTATTTGCAGGCAATTTACCACCTATCACAGACCGCCAGCGACGTTATTCCGAAGTAGAACCGAGACTGTGTCTGTATCTGTTGCTCGTTGGTGCGGACACGGTGGGGATTTCGGACCCTCTCCGGCAGGAGTATAAACTGCGCGGTATGTTTGACTTTGTTCCGCGGCTATTGATCTGATTGAAGCACGCTTCGTGTTTGGAAGGCTTGGACTACCCAAAAGGAGAGGAAGAGAGAACCTTGGAAGGACATATCACACGTTAACGGCCTCTAACTTAAGCCCCAAGACTTTTAATGCCATGGTTATGTGGTTTGGATTACCTATTGATCTACAACGGTGCTAACACCTATATTCCTGCAATTTGCATCCAACTGACGGCTCTAGGGATATCATTGCCTTTGGCAACCCATTGAGCTGATGTCAGTGTTTACACATCCGAGGTCACCCTCAAGGTGCCGCGGGGTTGAGGACCTTGAAGACAACCTCAGACCTACAAAAGTCCATACAACCCCATCATTGTACTGTTATATAGAAAAGTTTTGAATCCAAGAAATAATTAAAGTCATATTTCACATCAGGTATTTTATATCGACTGCCAAAATATTGCGCCTATTGCATGTCGACGACGCAACGAACACAGTCACCCTCCTTCATCTGATCGAAAGCGGTGTTGATACCGTCCAGCGACTGACGGTGAGTGATGAACTCGTCCACCTTGAGCTCGCCGTTGAGGTAGTCGTCGACCAGACCGGGCAGTTGTGTGCGACCCTTGATGCCACCGAAAGCACATCCCTTCCAGACACGACCGGTGACCAGTTGGAATGCTGCGACATGTGTTAGACGAAACGAATATACATTGGGAAGTGAAGAACAGCGGGGTTAACTTACGGCGAGTGGCGATCTCCTGACCAGCAGCAGCCACACCGATGACGATGCTCTCACCCCAGCCCTTGTGGCAGGCCTCGAGGGCAGCGCGCATGACACCGACGTTACCAGTGCAGTCGAAGGTGTAGTCACAGCCACCATCAGTCATCTCAATCAAGTGCTCCTGGATGGTCTTGCCGGCGAGCTTGGTGGGGTTAACGAAGTGGGTAGCACCGAACTTGCGAGCCCAGGCCTCTTTGCCGTCGTTGACGTCGACAGCAATGATCATACCGGCCTTGTTCTTGACCGCACCCTGCACAACCGACAGACCGACACAGCCGACACCGAAGACAGCGACGTTGGAGCCCTCCTCGACCTTGGCAGTCACGACAGCAGCACCGTAACCGGTGGTGATACCGCAGCCGAGCAGACAGGACCGATCGGTGGGAATCTTAGGAGTGACAGCGACGACCGAGATATCGGCAACGACGGTGTACTGCGAGAAGGTGGAGGTACCCATGAAGTGCAGGAGGTCCTTGCCGCGGGCCTTGAAGCGGGAAGTGCCATCGGGCATAACACCCTTACCCTGGGTAGCACGGATCTTACCACAGAGGTTAGTCTTGCCAGACTTGCAGAACTTGCATTCACGGCATTCGGGAGTGCTACAATTGTCAGTGGACTGTCATGCCGAGATCGGAGCCGAGAACATACTAGAGAGCAACGACGTAGTCGCCCACGTTGACGGAGGTCACGCCCTCGCCGATGGACTCGACAATACCGGCACCCTCGTGACCGAGGACAACGGGGAAAGCACCCTCGGGATCCTTGCCGGAGAGAGTGTAGGCATCTGTGGGATGTCAATAATTGCTATGCTGATAGGGTCGGGGTGTGTTTCGGGGTTTGTTTTATTTTCCGTGCAGAAGGCGGGGCTGATGGCGGGGCTTACCGGTATGGCAGACACCAGTGTGGTGGATTTTAATGCGCACCTCACCAGCCTTGGGGGGAGCGACCTCAACGTCCTCAATAGATAGAGGCGCACCGGCCTCCCAGGCGATAGCAGCCTATCAATTGCTCAGCACTCACGATTCACAGATATGAGGTGTGTTGGGCGACGTCATATGTGCGGGGCGGTCGGATCGAGCTTACCTTGCAAGTGATTGTCTGCAGATTTTCGAGTTAGCAAGGGTATTCAGTTAGGAAAAAATAAAGAAGGCCGAGTAATTTACCTGTCCTACTGTGCTGGCCATTGTGTATGATTCCTGAACTAGAAGATTGTTAACAAAGTCCGGAAATGCCAAGAAAAAAAAAATAAGACTCACATCAAGAATACGATGGTTGAGGAAGAAGAGAAGAGGAAATGACGGGCTTTTGAAGGACAGGGGGTGGAGCCGGGAATGAGGGGAAAGATAAAGCACCTTTTGGGAAGTTGGAGATCCGAGTACATATGTAGTTTTACAAGTCCCCTCATATTATTCTCCCCACTTGGGGAAATCCAGTAAGATGAAGGCCATTTTTCGTATAGAAAATATACGTGATCGGGAGTGCTCCCGAGCTCCGCGGGGAAATGCCGTACAGGGTATACATACCCTATCTGGTGTGCTACATTTGTATTCAATATGAGCAACTATATTCTATATTTAGGCACATTCAATGTTGACTAGGTGGATTACTTACACTACGTTCGTTATTCTCTTCCATTTTCTTCTCAGAAGACCAGTGTTTAACAAAAGCAGCATGTCGGGTACCTCGGAAGGCATCAATCGCGGAATAGTCGATATATCCACCCTCCGGCAACCCGAAACACCAATAATGAAAGATATAGCATTGGATTCGGAAACAAGGTGATGGGAGCGATAGTGACAGGAAATATCCGACAAGCCTCAACCTCGAGTTCGTATACCAAATAAACAAAAAAAAAAGGAACAAGGAACACGCGCCCTCGGTCTTCACGACCGCTAAATTGCGTTACTTGATAGCAGCAAAGGATATATCTCGAGTATGAGAAGAGAAAGACAACTCTAGCTAGGCACTACTTTGCGAACCCGTCCAACGAACATGGCCTCATCTCATTTCGTTATAAGTCTTTTGTATTTTGAGCCCCGGGAGAGGAGAGGTAGATATCTCCCGTGCTAGTCACTATGGTACACGGAAAGGAGCCGATCCTGTCTGCTTCCTTGCCAATAGGTCATCGACCACGCTGTCTTCCCTCTAAACATCCAGATAAAGCCACTGCCGGGCCGGAGACAACCGGGTCGATCGAGCCGCCTTGCCAATCACCCAATTCACCCAATGCATGTTGTCAAAATGGAAAATAGTCTTCGACAATATGTTTATTATTATCAAAATAGACCCTTAGTTGCCTCCCATGGAACCGCTCTGCATCATGGCGGCATTCTGCTCCTGGAAGCGCTCGTTCAGCCGGGCGGAGCTCTTGAGGTTCTTGTCGACACAGCGCATGATGCAAGTCTCCTCGCGGTTGATGAGGGACTTGGTGGTGAAGTCATTGACACAGTCATCGAAGCAGCGCTGGACCATCTTGGAGTACATCTGAAAGAAGGGACGTTAGATCTTGAACATGGGAGAAGACAGGTGGTTGATGGCAGGGAGACGGGACCACGGGCAGGGGGGATAAGCGCCGAGTCGAGTCTTTAGCAAGGAAGGAGGTACATACAGTCATAAACTCCTTCATCTGCTTCCGCTCCATGCGGGAAGCGAACTCGCGCTGTTCCGATGCATTAAGTCTGTGATTTGGGTATTAGCGGTTTGTTCAGAGAATGCTCCGGAGGATCAATGGCAGAGAAAAACATGGCAGGGAAGTAAAGCGTGTTCAAAAGGAGGTACTTACCCGTCCATTGTGATAGATGAATAAAATCAAGATGTTTTGATGGTAAGATGCTTTCCACAAGTCTCCTGCCAGCTGCCAGCTCCGCTGGTTCTGAGCTTCTCGGGTACCGGAGAAATATTAGCCCACGCGACGCATATCTTTGTGCCTTAGCTACCAGGCCACCACAATTAACATCCATGGATGTCAGCTTTGTTAGTTGTCTAGCCCATAGGGCCTTCACTCCAACTATTTCCAGTCTACATAAGATTCAAGTCTATAAGAAGTCCACATTTATAACAATGGCGTCAGATAGACAGGTACTCTAGGACCAGTGCTCGCAAAGAGGGTTTATCCGACCGGAGAGAATATTCCCAAACTGGAATCGCATTCCACGTGACATCTCAACGTCACTAATATTTCTTCAACCTCACTTCATGACGCTATGAACAGCTAATGCCACCTTAATGAAGTTTTACGTGTAGTCAAAGGGTTTTGTGCCCATGGATAGAAAGTTACATCCCAGGCTGAAACGAACCTTCTCTTTTAGTTATGTTATTTAGAGTTTTCACCGGTATAGGTGACATATATGATGTCAAAACCTCCATGTTGAACATGCATCATAAGAAGATATCTAAAAAGACCGGAAAAAGGACTTGTTGACAAATATGATGTCTTATGTCTTTCTAGAGACTACCCTGTACCCAAGATACACTTTCCCACAATGGGCCAAGTGACAACTGATATGCTCTAATAAAGCAGATGGTCCGTATACTTCAACTTCATTGGCCACAGTGTTAACCCAAAAGCCAAGCGAGTTGAAAAAACCAGGGTAAATGAAAATCGGTACCTGGTCCGGAAGATATGAAACCCGATATAAGCGACTGATCTTCAAATAAAAAAGTGCCCCTAAAAGGCCCCTAAAATGGTCCAATACGTTCCAGACAATCCAAGACCCGGTTGGTTCCAGACTACGTTGTAGTGGCGGGGGTGCTATTCTTCATAGTAATTTATGCTCATATTCTAGAAATTCCAGAAATTCTACTAGTGGAAGATCTATATTGCAACTCCATATAAGTATTTATATGTAGCAAATGAGATATCCCAATTCGAAATTTCCCCCCTGTAGCCATCGTGTACCCTGTACTCCGTGCATTGATCCAATTTAATCTATATGACAGGCGACCCTGACCCATCTTTAACATGTCCTGGGAACCTTGGGTCTTTAAATTGTTCTATTCATAGCCTATTCTCAAAAAGAAGAAAATCCCCCCTGAACAATACCAAGGTAAAGGGAATCATCTCTGTCATATGTGTTCGGCTCTTGGCTCGTGCCCCCGACTCATTGACCCTTTCGAAACCCTGACCTTTTCAGCCCTTTCGCATCCCTTCATCCATCACACTCTCACACATACGTCCTCTTCTCATTTTCTTCTCAACGACTTTGTTCTCAGCTTTCTTATTCTCGAATCCCATCTCGGCTCTTCTTCCCTCGGAAACGTGTCTGTGCTATTTTAGGCCCAGCCCCAGGATTTCCCACACGAGGGCGGTGACGCAGGGCCCTTTCAACTTTCCCGAATCCCCTCGATCGACACGCCCACTTCTCCGCGCTTGTCCGATTCCCAGTATCTTCGATTCCATCTCGAGTCGCCTTCCGGACTCGCCATGGTGACGGTCGGCAAGTCGCACCCGGGGGCTGACCCTGTCCACCCTCTTCCCACCTCACCCGATCCGGTCGGCGCCAACTCCCCGCCATCAAAGCGAGATTTAGCTTCGTGGTGGAAGCAGTTCAAACGAAGCACAAGAAAAGATGAATTGAAAGGTAAGCCATTTTGGGTGAATGCGATGTTAGAACACAGGCGACCGCGTAGATGTGTCCTGGGGCGCTCCGGCTCGCGGCGGTTCGCGACAACCTCCCTGATGCCTCGGGGTATACACCCCTCGTCGCACAGGGCATGGTTGCTGCAGTTCACCAGGTCGGAGCTGAGGACTTTGGTCGCTCTTCAATTGATTTGTTTGGATTTTTCATCGTTGCGAACTAGTATGCTGACCCGTTTATCGCAGAAGAGGCACCCTGCGGCATCTTCGGGATTGCGCTCAATGTCAGCATCAAGTACGCCAATGTGGCAATCTCCTTGACCAACGACCATGGCGAGAGCTTCATTTATGGATATGTGCCCATCGTGGTCGCAAAGTGCGGAGTTTTCCTAAAAGAAAAAGGTTAGCATTCACCTTGCTGTGCTCGATGGGTTATCGCTGACCTTATTTTAGCAACGGATGTGGAGGGCATCTTTCGTCTAAACGGATCAGCTAAGCGTATTAAGGACCTTCAAGAGGTTTTCGATTCCCCCGAGCGATATGGCAAAGGACTCGACTGGTCCGGATACACCGTCCATGATGCAGCAAACGTCCTTCGCCGATACTTGAACCAGTTGCCCGAACCCATCGTGCCATTGGAGTTTTACGAGCGCTTCCGTGAACCCCTGCGTATCTATCAGCGACAGGTCCTAGAAGGCAAGGATACAGCCGATGCCGATAAGTTCGATCACGCAAAGGCGGTCGAGACATACCAGAACCTCATCATCGAGTTGCCCCCATTGAACAAGCAACTGCTCCTCTATATCCTCGATCTTCTCGCGGTTTTCGCCTCAAAGTCCGATCAGAACCGCATGCCGTCGGCTAATCTGTCCGCGATCTTCCAACCAGGCATGCTGTCCCACCCCAGCATGATATGTCGCCGGAGGAGTACAAGTTGAGTCAGGATGTCTTGATCTTCTTGATTGAGAACCAAGATCACTTTCTGTTCGGAATGAGTGGCACGGCTGCCGATGAGCAGACCATGAAAGAGGTCGAGGCAGGGATTTCACGCCCCGCATCTCACCCGACTGTCCGACGATCAGTATCCAACGCCAGTGCGAACACAGAAAGTCATCGCAAGTTGGACAGCATCCGACGCAATGTCTCCGTTTCCTCGCGCAACTCCCGTCACTCCAACAACGCTCAAAGTCCAGTAACTCCCACCTCGATCACCAGCGGCGGCGGCGGTGGTGTCCACCGAAGCAACACTTTGCCCTCAAAGATGGGCCCCGTCTTGACCTCCGCTCGTTATGCACGAGCCAACGATACTGGCTCCAACAACCCTTCCGGCCTCGCTGTTTCTCATCAGAGTTCACGATCCACTAGTCGAACACCATCAGTGCGCGAAGAGCCGGAGCAGGCTCAACCGATTCCTGAGTCGATCCCTCAGGCCGCTCCTCAGCCAGTCCCTGAACAGACTCCCGAGCAGCGTTCTGAGCAGCAGACCCCTAGTCGGTCGGCTACTTCATTGACTCCAGGAAATGCTTATGTGCACACGTCAACCCATGGCCCATTGCCTCCGGCAGCTGCTGAACGTCTTAGCCTTAGCGAAACTGCCAGGCCGCATGAGAATCTCAACACAGCAGTCGCATCACCCCCAGTCGCTCCACCCCCACAGGTTGTCACACCGAGCCGTGAGCGTAAACTCTCAAATTTCTTCACGAAGTCACCTCCACATGATAGTGAAGTGAAGGAACCTCGGCAGCCGAACCGCCTGAAGAAGAAGCGCATTCCCGGCAGTGCAAGCGTGAGCGCACAAAGCTCGGCTAACTCCCTCCACGCCTCGAGTGTAGATCCTAGTGCGGACATCGAACCTAAGCAGGAAAACCGGGCCGGGGAATCTGCTGTTGGCGACACCACTCCAAGACCGCCAAATACTGCGACACTCGGCAACCGAGAGAACTCTCTCGAGTCAAACCCGGCTCTGGCAGAGGGTACAACGCAACCTCACACTGACCACTCTTTGCGACCTAACAAGTCGCGCACGCCCTCCATGAACTCGCGTTCATCGTTCACTGATCAGTCTGACATGGACCAGCCTGACGATGTCTCTCGCCATGAGAATCGTCGTAGTTGGCGGTTCCATCGGTCTCCGAAGCGCACCACAGAGCAACTTGGATTGGGTTTCGCATCTCCACCCCTGGGGGCGACAAATCCTCGAGCTGAGCAAAGCACCAGTTCGATCGGCAGCGGTCACTATCAAAATACGGACCTCTCCAGCCACCCACTCAGCCTGGATGCTGGCGTTCAAGGCACTTCCTCCATAGGATCAGAACCCGAGAAGAAGAGTTTATTCGGAAAGTTCAAGGCGAAGGTCGCTCAGGTTCGGGATGGTGTTAGGGATGATCGTGAGCGCACAAAGAGCCCCACCCGGTCGGAGAACGACCCTGTACTCGCCAACCAGCCTCTTTCTCCTATTGCTACAGAGTTGACAAATGGAAACTCTGCCTCAGTCGACGTCTCACGTGAACAACCCAAGGAAGAGCATATGCGCTCGCCTGTGTCTCCCTTGCCTGGCGCTGGTCTTCCCCCATCTATCCCTGAAGAGCCGCATAGCCCTGAGGCGTCGGCGGCCGTGCCTGTCGTCAACCAGAAGGAGCCCGTCGAACTGCCTGCTACCGAGTCAGTCTCGGCACCAGAGCCACCAGTGTCCGATGAAATCCTGAGAGAGACCGCAGGACCGTCCACCTCGGCTGCTTGATCTCCTTCAAAATGTTCTCACAAATTGTTTCCATTCACCCACTCCTATTATTATCACGATTGCTCTTCCGTCTGTTGCACCTCTATCTTTTATCCAGTTGTGCAGGATTTGTTTGACCATTTAAAAGGGTATGGCTTATTCACGGAGCATTGGCGTCGCTTGAGGCGTTGGATGCTGTTGTTTTTCTCGTCTTTTTTTTTTCGTTCGTGATGAATGGGCTTTGCCTCGTTTTCGTGACCCTTTTGCACTTTCATCCTTTTGCTGTCGATTGGCGTGGTGCCTTCCAAGTTCCCTTTGAATGACCCCCATGTATTCTTTATCGCGTTGCTCCCACCCTGTCTCCTTGCAATGGTCCGAAGCTTTCTTCGTATTATTAGCCCGTTTCCGGATTTCAGTTGATCACGTTGCCATGTGGAATGAATGTACGCCTGTCTCTGCGATTGCAGCCGGTCTGTCTTGATCTTTTTTTCGTGCTTTTCCCCCTGATCTTGTCCTATTCTTAAGTTCAGCTGCAGTATCGGTTTGATGTTATTGTTATAAACCCCGGTGGCAAGAATAGGGATGTTCTTTTCAAGATTCCTTTTGCGCTTCTTCTGCATAGCTGTAGGGTGTGTCCGTGACCTGAGTGTCGCGCCAGGGAAATCCTGGAGAATTCGTCAGTTCACATCGTACCAATGGTATTCATCAGCTCAGAATCCGCTGAGAAAGAAGCAATTACTTTCCTGTGCGTATTTGATGGTGAAGGTGATGATGTCGCCTGGAAGACTAAGAGGTGGCGTGGAGTTTCCCAGGGCCAACCTTTGAAGTTCACCGACGAGTCAGCGAAGCACCATCTGCCCAGGTGGGCTATTCCTACGACTAAGCAGCAATATCACAACCTTGAAATGGCCTGGATGCACTGATATTGATAATTATATTCTATCTACACAACACTGAATGTGCTTGCTGTGATGGTATAAAAGATGGTCGAGTCCATTTAGGCACTCTGTCACCTGCATATGCATAGACGTGCATAATGCATCCAGGTAAACAAAGGAATAGCCTTTAAGGGGGTTTCGAATAGCCTTTCCTAGTGGAAGACATGAGGGAAATATATGGTGCGTACCTACATACATACGTTGGACCACATCTTGCTACCTAGGTAGCAATTGTCGTCCTGATTAGAAGTCGTCTCTCATTTATCTAACATCCGGATAGCGCGAATATGTTTACTGAATACGAATTGTAGGTTGAAGATCTGTGGCTTCTCTTCCTCCGTCATGTCAGGACTGCGCGGCTGCCCCGAGACATATGGCACTCTTATACTAGTCCACGAGTGTTCTAAGCACTTAATCCATCACACACACCATACCCCTTTACCCACTTCTGTATCGGAAGTTCGGCTGCTCCCAATCTGACAAATCCATCAAGTGAGCCCTCTAAGATGTGATGTTGGTTACCCTCCTCTACGATAACCGTGCTTCGCTGCATTTATCACGTCGATTCTCAATTATGTATGTATTCATGTAGAACTATTGACATGTAACCAAGTACAAATCCATTTAGTTATGACGTAGAAAATGATGTTGTTGCCTGAAAAGGTAGGCCATGAATATTTAATGCCTGATATATCAGGGGACGCGGCAACAAGGCCACGTCCAATCACCGTCGAGCTGTCATCCCCATTGAGGACCCTCCATTTCCACCCCGAATCAGCCGGGAGCTGCGCAAGGTTTGTTTTCCGCAGAAAACTGCCAGTTGAACGCTGCAATGCCCCAAGACACCTCTTCCATACCAGGGGCTTCCTCCTCGACACCCCAGGCGCCCGTCGAGAAACCGTCCGCCCCTCCGGTCAACATCCTCCCCTCGCCGATAGCCCGGATCTACTCGATTGCGCACCCAGCACTCCTTTTGGGATTGGGCGCTACTCGCTTCGAAGCATTGGTGGCTGATCCCACCAAGGAGCTTCTTTCAACCCTACCATGGCTCACCCTTGTACAAATTTTCTACGTGATTGTTTGTCTTCCGCCCGCTGGGTCAACACCATCAACGGAGACAAGCACGTCCGCCCCGGCTGATGGCAAGTCAAGTCCACGGTCATCTGGGCCGGGTGGCGCTGCGCGTCATGGAAAACATGGAAAGCGGAAGCAACACGCCAACAGCTGGGCGTGTATTTGGTCCCGGTCACTGGTACGCGATATTTCTCCAATTGAGTGGAAACTGCGAGCCATTGGCACTGACTTGATTTTCTAGCCGGCCTTCCTCTCGCTCTCTCTGACCTTCGCCTTGGCCACCCCAGTGCTGACAATCCTTCTGGTTCTATTCGGCGCTCCGCTCACAACACACAATTCCGAAACCGTCTTGTGTGCGGCTCACATGGCCGTTCTATCCGCGACGGCCCTGATCTACGCCCATGGGGTGGATCGTGCCGTGTGGAACGAGGTTTGGGGCATTGCCCGTCCCGCTGATGCGGTCTGGGGAAGTGCGCTCGGCACAGGGTTGGGGGCGTGGTTCGGCGCTATTCCTATTCCTCTTGACTGGTAAGTTATACGTCCTGTACATCAAATGCCAAATACCCGGCTAACTCGATATATGAAGGGACCGACCTTGGCAGGCATTCCCAATCACGATTCTCGTTGGAGCCTACATCGGATATGCCGTTGGCTCTTTGATTTCTCGTACTCCGTTGGTTTACGGCAAGCGTGTCAAATTTACATCGGAGGACTTGAGCGATACCGAAAAGAAGACTAACTAGGGGATTTGTCGTGGAGTCCCTTTATATTCACGCAATACGGCATATTCCTGAAGATACATGTCTGGCTTGTATTAGCATAAAAAGCCCTCACACAACTGCCGCCACCAGTTATAATTGGTTTTAGATATCCAAAGAATTAATTTGTTAATATAAACTTCCCCAATGGGAGCATCTCGCTCTTTATAGCTTGCTGTGATCCTTGAAGGTGCCATGCCGCCCTGAGCCTTTGCTGAACTTTGCTGCACCTGCGATGGCTTCCTTCGAGATCACCTTGCTCCCGGCGTTAAACTCCTGGGACATCGCATCATGGAACGAGGATGCCTCATACGCACTGTAGTAGCATGACTGGCGATCTGTGTTGAGACACAGCTCAGGGAACGTGATGAGCTGTTTTGCTATCCCAATAGCTTCCTTTAATGATTCTCCTTTAGGAACCACCCGGCTGGCTAGTCCCATAGTCAACGCTTCCTGGGCGCTCACAGGCCGACCGGTCAATATCATATCCAACGCACGGCCAAGGCCGACAATGGCTTGCAGCCGGACAGTTCCTCCGTCAATCAAAGGCACACCCCAGCGTCGACAAAAAACACCGAAGACTGCGTCTTCTTCAACCACGCGCATATCCGCAAGTAGGCTCAGTTCTAAACCTCCTGCGACGGCGTATCCGGAGATAGCACATATGACTGGCTTTTTAATAGTGAGTCTGGATGGACCCATCGGCCCCAGGTTGCGACCGTTAACAGGCTGGAGGTTGTCGCTGGGTGTGTCATTGCTTGCCTGTGCAACGCTATGGAGGTCGGCTCCTGCGCAAAAGCTACTACCGACACCTGTCAGGACACACACTTTCTGTTTCGGGTCATCCTCAAAGACAAGAATGGCTTCGTAGAGCGCCTTTGCAGTCAAGGGATCGACGGCATTCTTCCTGTCAGGGCGATTAATTGCAATCACCGAGATGCCGGAATATGAGGAAGTATCTATTGTCACTCTGTCGTGTTCCGCCATATTCAAAAACAAGGGAACTATGAAAAGGATGAAATGTTGCTGCTTGGGCGTTTTATAGACCATGCCTCGGCTAAACCCCACTTCTCTCGACCTCCAACCATCACTGTCACTCGGGGACCTACCCTGTCGGGCATAGCGCCATGTCTTCAGCATGTATAATCTGTCATAAAAGAAAGGTGTCGCGTTTATCATCCATTGGCGTGTTTCCCAGTAATTGCTAATAGTTATAGGTGAGGTGCGACTTTGCGACGCAAGACCCTTGCAGCAACTGCAAAAAGTCGGATGTTGAGTGCAGGTAAGTACCTAGGTAGGCCCGCCCAAGAGAAGTCGAATGATTGAAAATAATTGACTCCATTTAGACCATATACGAGGAAGCGTAAGAGGTTCACCAACAGCCTATCACCAGGGCGGAACGTGTCAATCTCTGCTCCGTTGAGTCAGACACCGCGGAGCTCACAGGTTCCTCCCGGGTCAGCAGAGCCGCAAGTGACTTCACAGCGGAATTCTTTGAGCGGGTCTCATGGGGTAATTCCAGCTGAAAGCAATACAGCCGCGGCCGCCAATAATGGCGAACCGTTCATTAAAGAAGAGAGCTATCGCGGCCGCAGTGAATATCTCGGCGGCAGCGTCCCGTTTGATGAAAATATGGTCAAACCTGGTCGTGAAACTACATACACCAACCCCAAAGCATCGGCAACTGATTTGCAAATGCTTCGCGATCAGGGTGCCTTTGAGCTACCTCCAATATCAGTCCAAACAGAGCTAATGGCCAGTTTTGACACGCACTGTGCCCCCTGGACGCCGGTTGTGGACCCGAAATGGCTTGATGAGAGCGCGCCGCGATCAATGCTGCTCCTCCAGGCTGTCTTTCTCGCTGGAAGCAGAGTCTCCAAAGCTCATCTGGACTATGGGTCCAGTGAAGTGTTCTATCGAAGAGCAAAATTACTTTTCTTTTTTGGTGGTTGTGACGACCCTTTGATTTCTATTGTGGCCGCCTGTCTGCTGCATTGGTATAATCCGGTTGGGCCCGAGGATGTCTCTACCGACACCAGTGGGTTTTGGATTCGAACAGCTGGGGCAATGGCTTTTCAGATTGGGCTGCACAAGGAACCCTCGCCGAATTCCCGAGACCGGGGGCTCCGGAGAAGGCTGTGGTGGTCTCTCGTGGTATGTATATCCTTGAACCTGCAGCTCACGAAGTACTCTGAGCTAAAATCCTTAGGTGCGGGACAATATAATTTCTGTTGGTGTCGGCCGACCACGAACTATCAATCTGCGGGATAGCGATGTGCTTCCACCATCACTTAATGACTTCCCCACGAACAACTTCAAATCCCAATTATTTTTAGCGTACTGTACCATATCCAAGCTTCTGGGAGACACGGTTGAATCCCATCTGCGACAAGAGATCTCTCGACAAAGGCGGGTCGATCTCGAGAACGCCGTCTACCGATGGGCAAAACAAGTCATTCCAAGATTGCGGTCATTAGTTGCAACTCAGGACGATGCGGCTATTTGCAACCTCGAAGTTCAACAGCTGCTGGTCATGTACTTCGTGGTGCTTACTATTCTCCATCGATCGCCTACCCCAGGTAGCGTACCACCCGCAGCATCGCTGGTCGCATCTTCGTTTATTGCTGGGATTTACGAGGAATTCCTGCTTCGCGATGAGCTTCGATACCTAGGCCCTGTCTTTGCATTCTACCCACTATGTGCTGGACTGTCACTCCTTTCTAGCTGTCGCTATACCCACCTGCAGGGTACCGCCGAACATGAATTAACAGTCATGAAGCTCTCCCTTCAAAAGCTATCCGAAAGGTGGCTCTCGGCAGTCGGACCGTTGCGGGCGCTGAACAAGTTGACCGAGAAAGTCCGAGAGCTGGGTCCCTTCGAGGGTCCATCGCCTACGCTCGATCCGGACGCAGCCTCTTTCTTTGAAGGGTTCGACACGAAACTTTGCAAACAATGGCAAGCCATTGGACACTCCTCGGAGCCCACCAGTGGGACCACGGGCATTGCGTCTACTTGCACTATGGCGGATATTCAGGACCCTAATGATGCCCTTCGGTCCCTTGACGGTCCACCGGGGCAACAGGCGGATACTTACGATTTTGCCTCTCTTGATGTGAGTTTGGATCCATTCAGTAATAATTGGGAAGGCGCCGGATTTGACTGGAGTGGTTCCTGGCTACTCAATGTATGAACACACAGAGCTGGAGAACTGGCGTTACACAATTCGGTCTTTGGTTCATGTCTTGTTTTCATTTCAATGTATAAAAGCTCCTTTCCTTCGAAATAGCACCACGATCTGTTTATATCGCCTTTAATTATGTCGTATATACTTGCCCCTATTGTACATTCGCAAGCCTTTGGGGTATAACTCCCCTTTGTTGAGCCCGACAACTTTCAATTTCCTCTGACTTCCCAACCTTGGAACCTGTCCGCATGTGACCTTAGAAGCACCAACGTTTGCTTGTTTGCTTTCACTTTCGACTTTTCATCCTCTTCCTAATTTTCATCATTCCAACTTTCTTTTCCTCTGCCAATCTTTTCTTCATTTTTAGCTACCTCTCATCGAATCAAACCAATCATGGATGATGTCCCGCGATCATGGTTCCCTGGTGAACTAGATGAAGGTGGCAAGGTCACCCTCGACAAGCCCAAGTCCTCGAAATGGGTGATCGGCAAACTAGTCAATACGCATAGCTACCAATCTGACGAGGCGGACGTTCCCTCTTACGCCTGTGCTCAGTTTGAATGCGTCGATGCTAGTAATCAGGAAGAGTGCTTTATGCGCATTTACGTCCAAGTTCCACTCACCGGTTATGAGCACGCAGACCGACATACACTTGCCCAACAAGCAGCCGAATTCACACCCCCGGAGCTGAACGCATACAAATTCCTCACCGACAATGGCTCGCGAAATACCCCTAAGTTACGAGCATATAAACAAGACACTCAAGACGCAAATGGACCAATTCCTGGAGGGCATATCACATGGATCGTATGGCAGAAGGTGCCCGGAACATGTCTAGGAGATATCAGAGATGCCTTTGTCTACTGGAGCATGAAAGCAACTGAACGAAAACGCGTCCGTGATGCGTTCCTTCAAGAGCTTCCGTGAGTTGACCACATTTCCACTACTACCGGGTACCCTTGAAACGGCTTCAGTCTAACAATATGATGATTAGTGAGATTATGAAAATGGGATATTTCCCCCGGCACCTTAGACCTCGCCACTTGATCTGGGATAGCACTCGCAATGCTCTGTATGCCGCTTATCATTCTTATACTCCCGGAAGTTGATGTTGACTAACGTATCGCTGCAGTTACTTTGTTGGTTTCCGGGATGCAGTGCCTTTCAAGGCCAAAGGAACCTTCGGTGAAGAGTGGTTGCCATATTTTGATCTTGCTAAGCCCCCTCAGAGAAATTACCGGAAGGCAACGGATTACAAGGGAGACACCTCGGGTTGGGTCCTTTGACTTTTTAATTCTCAGTCAATAGGTCGTGGTGGCTCTAAGCTCTAAACTATCTTAGCTCGGTGCTGCCAGAACTCTGAGAGAAGGGGGAAACGGGAGATGAAAGGAGTGAGCAGTACGACTTCATTTGCCGTCGAGAACTGGGGAAAGGAAGCACAAGGAGCAAACTATGTAGCTGCGTAATCTGCAGCGCATTGCTAGCAACCAATCCTAACAATTGCTCTATTCTTAGCCTTTTACTCCTGTCTACTCGATTAGTGTACACCCAGAGCTTCTCACATCCTTAGTCACTATCGTACAATTACCTCAATTCTTGTTCTTTACTCCTATCTGCTCAATCAGTTTACTTCGATGCCTTTAATTGCCCTAGTAGTCTTGTCTTCTTATATAGGTTTCCACGGTCGTGTTTCTGTATGTATTTTCAGGGGTCTTTCTAATAGTCTCATCAGGTAATCCTTTTAGATATCTAGCTATATAAATTCTTTCTCCCCTTTCTTAGTCTGTAGAAAAGATCGTATAAAAGGGTTAGAAAAGGCTTAGTCTGTGAAAGGGAACTTTTTTCATAACTTTAATATCTTAACGCCTGTCATATCAACTTCTATAGTGTCAATTTCTATAGTTAGTTAATAAATACTGAAATTTTCCACAAGCAATATACAATGTAGCACCCCGGCGACTAGTTATCTCTTTCTGTTTACTCGGTTTACAACCTTCAATTACCCTAGTCATAGCTCTCTACTAATCTACTTTATCAGCTTACACTTAGACAGCTTTTACCACCCTAGACTTAGCTCTTTACTTCTATTCACTTAAGTAGCTTACACTCAGATAACTTTAATAACCCTAGTTTCCCTAGTTTCAGCTCTTTACTTCTATTCACTTGAGTAGCTTACACTCAGATAGCTTTAACCACCCTAGACTTATCTCTTTACTTCTATCTACTTATTTTACACTCTAACACCTTCAATTGCCCTATCCCCGGCTCGTTACTTCTACTTCCGCATCATCGCTCACCTTGTCCTTCGCATCTTCAAACCCAGACTTGGCTCGTTACTTCTGCATCGCATACCTCCCTCGCACCTTCAATTAACCTAATACCGGTTCGTCACTTCCGCTTCCTACATTTCGAGATGCTTAGCGTCACGCGTTTGGCAGCACGAGACGTGCTGCTGCAGCCCCTCCCGCCCCTAATAGTTGGCCAGAATCACACGATTTCGAGTGCGATCCACCGAGTGGACTTTGTGGGAAAACTAGCGCCCTGGCCAAATTTTGAAGGCGAGGTTATTGCCGCCTTCAACTCCCGAACCGTCACCTGGAACGCCCAGACCCTGGACGTAATCATAAGTGGCATAGGTGCAGGTGACTCCGTCACCCAGGAGCAGTTAGTCCTGGGAGATGAGACCGGCCTGCAGGGGCGTCTAAATGAACGGCTTAGTCGCCCTGTCACTACATGCCTTCAAGTTCAAGGGCACCTGCTACGACTTGGCGATTTTAAGGCATCTAGCGAAGCAGCACGACCTGGGGTCCTTGACAACGGCGCCGCTACCAAAGTCGTCGGTTAAGTGAAGACACCATGGGCCCCGGAGCATGTCGACATGCTAAGGGACGGAGTGGAATTTTTTGAGACTGGCCAAGAGCACCAGCTTCGCCGCATTTTCGGTATGTATGATATGAACTATACTCGCGGTTTATTATACTAATATTTACACTATTATAGGGCAGGTTGCCCGATACATGAAACACCTGAACGTGCGACATGCGTTCCTGTCGACCTATGATGAGACAATGTTTCTTAGGAAGGTCGATACAACAACCGGCTGGGCTTTGCAATTCTCTCCGGTAATCACTCGTGATTCCCAGTACAGCATCCCAATGAAGACCATTACCACCCGGCAAGGGCTGTTTTATTTGGCCCTTCTCGGCCAAACTGCGCAGCCGTTTGCTACCAGGCCTTCGCGCAGTCAGTGGACCACCTAAACAACTGGCGAGAGAGTGGTGTGGGTTGTGGTGATGAGGGTAGCTCACTCCCTCTTAAACAACACGCCTCTCTTCCCTCGTGCTTTGACCTTCCTCTGGTGGGTTCGTGAATCCCACATCCATTCCAGAATACATAGTGAAGGTCAAGCAACACCTGGTTGTTAATATCTACAAATGAGATGAGATCATGAAAAGACTGCCCAATATGGTAATTGTAGTGACGATAGTTGTAGAGAACTATGTAAGAAGAGAAGAAATGGTAGACATCTATCTACTACATGGGGAAAAGCCATGTAACATCTGAGAGAATTCAACGGTCACCTATGTCTGACGGAGATTTACAAGGAAAAGACGGTTCTCTCGTCTGGAGTCTGACATTCGAAATCGGACATTCTAAGACTGGTCTTATTCTTCAACGGAATCGTACGATCTGCATTAGCACATAGTGCTATACGCCATATTGAGATCTTTCTTTCTTTTGTTTATTCGTTTGTTTCATTTCATATGATGGGTGCTACTTCGTTTCTTTCCCTATCTTTACTATTCTCTTGATTGCACTTTGTTTCTTTCAATTAAAAACCCATTGTAGTGGTTGATGCTTAAAAGTCCAAAAAAGTAAACATACCCAGGACTCTCGTAGCATGCTATCGTGGTGCGTTATATACATGTAGGTAGTGAATATACCGCTTGGTACGGCAGGCTATAATCGCGGGGGGGCACTATATCATATTTTGCTTGCGGACCAAAATATATACGCGAGCCTCACCCAACATGCCTTGTAGCTACAGACATATTGCCAAATTTTTCCCTGTCTACCGGTGGATCTCATTGATCAATTTCACTCATCTGCCATTCGATCTATTCACGAACTTTCTCCCACTGCGCCCGTTTATCCACTAAGAGCTGTGCCGGTGTCTTACCCGCCACATTTGGCTGGTCCATTGAGGCTCGGGCTTCTTGCAATATGGAAAATGATCTCATCGTGCGCCCGGATCTTCTCGGAAAGTGTCGGCCACTCAAGTGACCCGTCTTCTTTTTCCCTCCTGACAAGCCTTCCTGCCACCTCATGAACTGGCGTGTTTCCCTTTTTATTAATCACACTGGTATCTGCACCTCGACTAACCAGCAAGCAAGACGCTGTGAGTTGCCGCAAGTTTCTCTCCATGAAATGTAGCGCTGTCCAGCCGTTCATGTCGGCCTGGTCGATATTGGTAAATGGAAACTTCCCCCAAAGGGAGGGCCGCAGCTTAGGAGATATTCCGCCGTCTCGTCTCGAACCGGACATAGAGACACGCAATGTTCAGTAGTTCAATGTTCTTGCGTCTAAGTCGAGCCTCAAGTGGCTCCGTTTGACTGGGGTCGAACTGGTAAATCTCCGCAAGTACATGAAGCGCATCTACGCTGCCATTTTCTGCAGCCAGGTGGAAAGGGTCCCATTCATCATGGTTCCACTCGTGCACCTCAGCTCCAGGCCCGAAGAAACTCTTACCATAGACTTCGGTGTAGCGATGTAAGTTTGACACATCATTGGCTGCGATGATAGATTGCACAAGCCTACACCAGCCATCGTCGTACATGGGACTCCCGTCCGAGGCCGAAATCACAGGTGGGATATCTGGGGATCCTTCACAGGGCTCAGAAAAATTAGGGTATGACATTGCGAGGCCCTAGGAAGCTGTGAAGCAATTTCAGTTGAAAATGTTGGAAAGACTGATTTCCAAGGCCAAGTTTGAAGCGAGATAGTTCACAAATAGTGAGAGAACGGGACAGCGAAATAAGGGGGACCCTTGTGTTAGCGTCACCGCACTGCAGAGATTTAAGATGGAAGAATATTTTGGCTTGCGTATAAGTATCTGCGACATCTAATAGGGCAATACCCAGGTCTTGGATTCCTTTTTTTCGCCATCTTATACAGCTCAATGTTGGAATGCAAAGTGTTGGTTGGATGTTCACATATATACAGCTAAATGAAACGTCAAAAAAGCCAGTCAATCTTACATGATATATATGGCATAAATGTTCATCAGGACTTGCTCAAAGCTTCGAACCCGCCTTTTGCAAGGATCGGTGGCCAGACGCACGGTTCGCCGGCAAGTCAACTCCCCAGGCAATGCGGCAGTCCCATTGTAGATGTTCCTCACCTCCAGAGGTAGCGCTAGCAGTGCCACTGACTGTAACAATGTCATGGAACACCTGCTCTCCAACGCCACCCTCAGCACTCAAGACCCAGCGACGAGCGATCTCGGTCATCACAGGATCATTATCTCGTTCAGCATCAAGCGCCAGAAGGGCACCGGACAGAATCCAAGCCAGAGTAAACATAAAGCGACGGCCATCGGCGACAGTTGTAGAGGGATCCTGAGTCGTGAAACGAGCACCCAAAGCTGACCACGCAGCTGTCAGGGCACTTCGCAAATCCACGCTCTGAATTAGGGTCAAGGTACGGTCAAGCCATGTTCCGAATATCTTCAGGTTGTCTTTCTTGATAAGGAAGCGGACGAACTCGCTTGCTAGAACGTTGGTGGTACCCTCCCAAATAGAATTGACTGCGTTGTTACGCAGAATCCGAGAGATGTTAAACTCAGGCTCGTCAGCCTCATCCATATAGCCGACTCCACCCATAGATTCCTGGCATTCTTGAATCCCTGCAGTGGCCATCTTGCTGATGACAGCCTTGGCAGTGGCAGTCAAGGTACGGAAAACCACCTCGGCTTCCTTACCAGGCTGAGGTAGATGCGCGAGCTTATTAGACGACGGTGTTTGATCTTCAACAACCCCAAACAAAGCAACCGTGAACCATGCAAAGTTCATTGCGCCCCTGTGCTTTACTTCCATTTCTGCGAGAAGCCGCAAATGCATTGGGATCAACCAGAGCGGTTCGCCGACAGTAGTCCTCGCTTTCGCAAAGCTCTTCGTGATGCTGATGGCTCGGCGCCAACCAGCAAGCGAGCCAACGAAGGTATGGAGCCGGGTGACGTTGAGAAGAGGCGCAATAGTGACGATACCCTGGTCTAGTTCCCCGATGAGGTGCGCACGCATGTCCTTTAGTTCCAATTCGGCCGTCGGTAATTCTTTAGTACCGAGTTTGTTCTTCAGTCGGTGGATCCTAACGCCATTAGATACAACTCTGGAGACGCCATCGGCGCCGACCACGGTCCGTCGCAATGGCGCAAGGAACGTGCTTAGCTTCCCAGATGGCGTTTTCGCGAGCAAAAGAGCAAGGTTTGCATCCGTTGCCGAAGAGAAGAACTTGAATCCGCTGATGAGATAGTCGCCATCACCCAGTGGGTCGGAGCCCGAAGAGCTAGCTAGCGGCGAGTATGTAGCCCATGTTTCGGTGTTTTGGACGTCGCTGCCACCGGCTCTCTCAGTCATCCACTGGCCCGAGGTCCAGTGATCATCCTTTTCGGAGATCAACCCCTGAAACGCAGTATGAAATGGATGTGTAGATGGCAGCTTGTTGATTCTGGATGAGAGAATAAAAGCAGCACCATCGGTCATGCTAATCGGACAGGAGTAGAGTCCAGAAGAAGGCGAGTACAAATAATTCCTGGAATCATGACATGAGCGATAGCGTAGAAACATCGACGACAAGATACTCACAGTGCATACTGAACTGTTCTCCGATCGACTCCTAAGCTCTTATCATAGCCCGCCGAGACGATCCTAATCGGATCAAGTTAGATCATGCACGTCATCTCGAAGGCGCGATTTCCAAGGTTATAGAGGATACCTATTCCGAGCACCCCATTTTCCCAATTGCTTCCAGCCTTCTGTGGTCACCAATCGATCATAGTCATATCGCTTGCCCCAAACGTTGTGGCTCTTCACATATGGTACATTGCGCTCGGCATCGGCGCTCCATTCACGAACCTGCTCGGAGATAGCCTCGGCACCGAACTGGATGAGATGCGGTTGTACAGATTGTAATGTAGCGGATGGTAGATACCCTGGATAATGTTTAGAGATTATAATAAGTACAATAAGTACACATGAGTGAGGGACTCACATGCCAGTGCCCGTTGAAGGCTGAGATCCGACGTGTAGGTATTCTCCAACGGCCCGGGATCGGTGATGTAGCCGCTATCTGCTGTCGCGGGCTGCGAGGAGGACATGGTGTTATTCTTGGAAGTGAATTTAATTAGAAAGTGACAGGCGAAACGTTGGAATGGGTTTGATAAAGGAGTTGAAGATGCGGGGGAGATGGACCTCGGCCGTCGGTTGTCTCATGGAAGTATAAAGTCTCATATTTGCCCTCCGTAAAAGCGCCGAACTGCCTTTGGTGTCACCTTATTGACCCTGCTACAAGGTATCTATATTTTCCCGTTTCCACTACATAGTCTGGTCATAGCCTAGTGGCGAGCAAGAGATAATTGTATTGTTAAAATATCAAGACAGGCCTTGAGAGACCATTCTAGCTATAACAAGCCTTCAAGAGCATATCAGCGCTCCATGAACAGATCTGATTTTTTATTTATTGTTTTTACCTCAAACGGCCGAAGACGCTCACATATCGTGCAGTGTGTTGTATCCCGTCTCAACCAAGCTGCGCGGTCCTCGGGCGTCCGAGCAGACATGCCAGTAGAACAGGCCACCCAGTTTTGACGAGGTCACGAATTCCGCCTTCTGTTTTACTGTTTCGGGGGTATCATATGTGACGAACCCTCCATCAGCTCCAACACAGAATGATGCACCAATGTTCCGGTCATGGTACTCCTGTGTGCCCGGTCGCGGCAGATCGCGATAGTCAAAAACGCCATCCTCGCCACCGCTTCCAGTATACCGCTGACCAGGGCCATTGCTACCCAGGAAGGATCGTCCGTAAACCGGAACACCTAAAATGATCTTTCTAGGGGACACTCCTTGTCTCATGACGTAAGAAACTGCAGAATCACCAGATATGCCTGAGCCATAAAGCTGGGCCTGGTGGCCCGTCTCGGATTCCCATGGTCCAGCGAAATCATAGGTCATGAGATTGATCATGTCAAGATGCTTTTGTGCCGCAGCAAGGTCAATGTTCCGCAATGCCCACTGGCCAGCAGGGAGAGCGGTGGTAAGGACATATCGTGGAGCGGGTAACACTTCCCGCAGGCGTGCGAGGAGGCGAACATAGTCCTTCCCTTGCTTGGAATCAGAGGGGTGCTCCCAGTCGACTGCATAGCAGATATAGTGAGTCATGTGCTTCCAACTTGCATCACAATCAAAAAGATAACGCGGCCTTACTGTCAATCCCATCAATTCCAAATTGATCCACCAGTCCCCGCGCGGTGCGAACGAAAGTGTCCAACCGAGAGCGGCTGTTGGCTACAGCGGCGAAGTTCTCACTTCCTTTTCCACCGCCCCGACAGAGAGGATGACCCTCATCTTAGAATATTGTTGCTTCAATTGGACAAAAGCTCTAAGACAACCTTCTGCACCGTCAACGGGCATTTGAGTATCAGCCCATTCATCACTCAGCTATGACGCAGCGTCAATAAATATTCCTACATCGGAGCCGGTGCCTGCTTAAACCTAAACTTACATAGACAGTACCATCATCTTTCACCCTGCGAGAAACCAATTTGAGATTAGCGCGTCAGCCATCTACTCGAACTCGGGCCTTAGAACGGCGATGATTGGCTGCGTTTTACCAGGCAAATGCGTAGAACACGTGAGAGATAAATCCCAAGCGCAAAGATGAGGGAGGCTCCTTTCGATAGATTCTCCAATTCGGATAATAGGCCGCGTTTGTGTACAATGGCACTTCGTATGAGACGTGGAACTCGGCCGGGGTCACGTTCCGCGCCCCGTCGGCGGAAGAGCCTGGAAGCTGAGAACATTGTCAAGACGTCAAGGTTAGTGTGCAAGGTCGCGCATTGGATGGAACCACAGAAAGGACTGAAGCTGAAGGGAATTCCGAAAAAAGTGACAAAGGAAAGAAAGAAGAGAAAGAATTGGATTGAAAGTTGGAAATTGCCCAGAACATGCTGTGTGTTTCCTTTTTAGGAATATGTCACGTGGATCTTCGTCTTTTATTACAACATAGCCTCTCCTTTTGTACTTACACCAATTAGGTGGACTCTCCGTATGATCAGGCAGTTTGCAGATGCAAATCTGAGGTAACTTCACTAGGCTGCTTGGCGTTGTCAAATCAACAATTCGACACAGTAAGATGCGGGGAATGGGCTAAGCATATGCGCACCATTTTCTTCCAACAAAAGTACGGAGTACGCATTGGCTGATGTTTCGCGTCAGCGGGTTGCTTGCCAACTGGCAGCCAAGTGGCAACCTGCACTGTCTCAGAGTTCAGTTACGAGCTGTGTTAGATCCAAAACACACCGGATCTTCTCCGGTCATCTCCGTATGACCTACGGTTCGATCTAATCAGCGCTGATGGAGTAATAATAGGGAGAATTTCCACTAAGGCGCAAGTGTGGATCGACCTGCATGAGCGACGCACCCGTGTTCGAAAGATTTTGCAAAACGGCACCAGATCGCCGTAAAACAAAATTATTGTGGACGATCATGACTCGTGAAAATACGAATCCAGACTCAAGCTCGTGTTGGTGTCCCGGTGAGCAATTTATTCTGCGAAGCCAATGACCAAACAAGACACAGGTTTGACACCTTGCTAATGTTTGCTTTTTTTTTGGATGCGTGTACAGGGGGTACTCGATTCGCCGACAGTCTATAATATGAGGCTGGGGCCTGCACGACTAGAAGGCTCCATGAAAACCGAGCAAACTAGGCGTCCGTTGGCAATCTGTCAACCTCCCTCCTCCATCCTACAATTGCTTCACTACAGAGGGTCTAGTGCTGCCCTGGGTGTCTATCTCGTCTATCTCGGGCCAAGTTGATAGGCAAGGCTTGACAATAAGATTTGTTCCCCTCCTCCCGAGATATTCATGATGGCCCATAGCTCTCTTGCTGACTATGCGGATCAAACCCGGATGGTCAGCCCTTGGGAGGACAGTTGGCAGTATCCATGGATATTCCCCACTTCTGGTATCTTCGATAGCAGACCCGCAACCTTGTACTCCCCCTAGCCCTGCCCGGTATCGTGCCACAGATCAGCTACAATTGGATCAACTCCAATTTCTACCGTTTGCCGAATGGGAACAAGGTGGCGAATACGATGAGGAGCTTCCAAAATACGTCTGCTACACAATGGAATGGAAGCTTATACTCAACCGCAAGGCAGTAGGTAGAGTGACCGAAGAAGGTTTGGTTGTAGCCCCCTCCGATGTGGTGGTAAGTAAGCCAACAGCCTCCCCGGGCCAACACGTTACCTGAAAAATGTTGCCCACCGAGATCTCTGGGGCTCCGGCAATACTCGCATACACCAGGCCGACAGTCCACCCTCAAAGGCAAAGTCTTCCGTCCCCCACTTTTCTGAAAGCATATCCTTCCATTCTTCGATCCATATCGTCTGCCTCTTGCCATCAGAACTTTCAAGCGCCATCATCCCCGCCGGCACACGTTCAGAGGGCCGAAGCGGAGGGCCAGTATAATAAAACTCGTGCCGAGGATCGCAGATGCCCCTAAGATGGGATGCCGTGGACCGAATACCGTGGTAGCACCATCGACAGATGGCCGTCAATGGGCAAGAACGACAGAAGTACCAATGACATATCGAGTTCACCTCACGCTTACAGTTTGAACACTCGGCGAGTTGGTCGATTGAGAATGGAAAATCGTCATCGTCCGGTCTTTCAGTTCCGTCATCTGGAAGATGCCGCTTCGCCTGCCGCAGACAGTCCCTATGCCAGACCTTGAGCAAATACAATGCCCCGTTAAGATCTTCGTGGCTGTCCGCAGCCACCAGAAATGTCCTAAAGAGGATCATACATGCCTCGTCATCGTTGGAAGGACCATTGTCCGACAACAGCTGGATAGTTCTCTTCACACGACCGCGGAGAGCTTCTCTGGCATTTGTGATATCTCCATGGTCCCGCAGCCAACTCGAGATGACCAAGCAGATATCACTCGATTCAGTATTTTTCGTCCAATCTCAAAAGGGACTTTGTAGATAATGGAACCTCTGGATGGTAAAGACACACGGCTGCTAAGCGGCTCCTTGACCACGTCTGAGCGGCCTCGATGTTCCAGCTATCAGGATTGTCGAGGGAGACAACCTCGTACCAAGCTTGAATTCCTGCGCTGATCAGGCCGTGCTCGAACATCATTGACGCGAGCAGATATTTCGCCGCCGCCAGGTTATCAGTTTGAGTCTCCCTTGAGGCCGCAGCTCTGCCCGGAATCAATGCAACAAGATCAATATGCTTCCTATCACCACGCATCAGCGCATAGTGAAGGACCCGATACATTAGCCGGGGCGCCCAAATGATTGCCGAAGTGAGGAACTCGACCAAATCATCTTTCTCGGTCCAGCTAAGAGAAACGGCACAATCGAACACATCTTGAACACGATCTGTCTCGTGCAGCTGCAGAAAGAGCCAAAAGAACGAATGCAGCGTATCCCTGTCTCGGTAATCATCCTTTTGTCCCACAAATGTTTCCCAGGCCTCGTTTGCGGTGGCAACAGCCTTGTCGGTCATTTTCGCAAGGTGCTCCATTTGCGCAGTGTTCAGCAACTTGCCGATAGAATCCTGCCAGCCACGGTCCCAGGAGTCGTCGTACAGCGAGTCGGCCAGATCAGAGTGTTCTAATGCCTCCTTGTACCTTCCGACCTTGGTACATGCACGAGCCATATCTCTGTGAATCACAGAGAGCGCTTGTTTTCTTAAGAAAGGCTTCCTATGATGTTCATCGAGAGCGATCTGGAATTGTTCGATGGCTGCCGCATAGTTATGATTCAGAAGGATCGCCTGAGCGAGCCGGGCATGCCATATGGGCGTCTTCTCGAGATGCTGTATCTCCGCGGTATGCAGCATCTTCCGAGGCTCCAGACCGGGCATTAACACCTTAAGTTTCCCATCCGAGGTTGGCCCGGTGGCTGCCATTTGAGAGTACACAAATAACATGGAGGAGAGGACCCCTGGTAATCCATCCTCTTCTTTGATATCTTTCGGAGCCAGCCAAAGTCGGGAGAAAACTCTCTACCAAACGAGAAAAAAGCACCGTGAAAGGACCGCCGTCGCTTGCCACCGTCGAAGACCGAGCACAATCCTGCAAGAGCTGTTTCGCATCCGGGGAGAGCCAATTTAGTACCAACTCTGCCCTCTTGTTCGCCGTATCACGATCTCGAGCATCCCACCAGTAACGGGCGATCTCTGTTGGGTGGGATGACGGGTAAAAGAGGTATATAGAAAGGCGATTCACGCGGCAATTTTCAATGAGCCAGTGCTGGGGCTTGAATACCGGCTCCTCGGTGAAGAGAGCGGCAAGCAGAGTGGCTATTGCTTCTCTTCGATTTGCTGCTTTCGCTGGGTTTGCACGCGATAGGTGCAGCGGTAGGAATTTCTGAGCATATCTATTTACTGGCCCTAGCCACCTTTTTGATACGGGTGCGAAGTTTCTTTGGAGAGCGTAGAGCAAGACAAATACAACGGACGCCTCAGCTCGGTCGGGGTCGATCTGAATGGGTCTAGCCTCCACAGGCTTGCTGAAGAATTCGTAAAAAGAACTATGACGCAGAGTTACAATGACCGCGTCTTTGTTTTCTTCTCCTTCATCCCCAGCGGGCCGGAGCGAAAACAGGGACGAGTATACCGTGCGAAGGTCGTCCTCAAGATTCAGGACCTCCTCTCCAAGGATGACCTCCAAGATAAGGTCGAGCTGCTCCACAGTCAGCGGCTTCTGAGCCTTCGACACAAATGAAAGTAAGATTTCAAGCTGTTGAATCTGTGTCCCCGTTGCTTCCTCGGCTAATCTTTCCTCGTCGGAGAGCTCGTCGGGCAATTCATTCGTCATCGCATCCGAGGCCGACAATTCTCTAGCTAGGCGCTCTAACTCTGCATGGAGCATTGCGCTGATTCCTCGGGGCATCGTCCGGACTACCTTCCGAATCTGCTCCTTGGTCCGACAGCGCAGAACAGATTTGATGACAAGGTTGGCCCATTCCCAGAGGCCTTCTGCTTGCCTACCTATATCCCGGACGACCTCGGCTTGAAAGTCTGGAGAACCGCGAAACAACTTGGTCTTCTGCAGCTTCTGAGAGACATAGTTGGAAAGGTCGTCCTTGTTCTGATTACTAGAGATTTCGATTTCGGGAATCCACCCAAGGGAGTGTTCGTCGAGGATGCCGCGCACCGAATTTCTGCCCAAAAGTACGACTCGGATTGATGGGGTGCCCATCCGGTCCTCTGTCACGTACGTCCTCTCCAGTAGGCTGAAAAGGATCTCTTGTTCCTCGGGGTCGGCCTCATCGATACCGTCAATGATAAAGCAAATGCTGCTGTCCGGTGGAGACGCGACGAAGTAGTCGAGCAAGAGTTTCCTCCAGACAACGTGGCTGTTAGCTGGGTCTTCTTTCAGACAGAACTCCTCGACATGCGCCGCGAAGCCCAATCGCTGGACAACGGCTTGCCATGCCAGCGTCCGCAGCGCTCTGTTAAAGGAGCGCAGATCCAAATCGTTGCTCTTGAAGAAGAAAGAGGCGACAATGGGTGCAGATGGGGCAGCCGCTTCTGCCGTCGCGAGATCGCTGATGATTTTTGACGCCAGATAGGACTTGCCCACACCAGGGCCGCCGTGAATCCAGAGGAGAGGCTCGGGTCCATGCCACCAGGACCGGATCTTATCTTCGATCCAGCTGCCTGATCTAGGTATCCGATTCTCGTTGATCGCGGAGAAGACGCGACCGGATGCAGAGACGGGATCTAATGCCTTCTTCACTCTGTCAAGTCTCTCACGGTCATTTGTGTTGCCGTCTCGTTCGAGTAATTTTGCTGTATTTCTAAGCGCCTGATGAGTGAGATCGAGCCCGTGAGCGGAGACCATCTTGTGTTCCTGGCTCGTCAACTCCTCCAGCTCGCCCAGGAGCGAGCTAATCGACGTGTCCTCAACCAAGACGTTCTTTGTCCATTTTGTAAGTCTTGCTCTCAACGACTCACGACTAAGTAATTTCTGCGATACCGCACAGACGCGAAGGAAATTAACCAGAACATTAACAATGATTGTCTTCATCCCTTCGCTGAGAGGGACATCCTTATACGAGTTCAGACGGAGAGCAAAATGGCCAAGTTTATGAAACAAGTCCATAAGCATGTCGAAAGATTCACTGACCCTACGAGCACCTCGAATCAGAAGCATCATAGCGCCCATAATGGAACCGGCTGGTGGAAAAGCTGCGGCGGCTGTCCCCGCAATCAGATCGCCCCAGTTCTCAAAGGGCAACAGGACCATCTGCATAGCTTGGAAGAGCGGGCGTTTCTGCATCCGGAAGTCTTCAAAATGGTCCTTCTCCGCGTCTAACTGACGGGACAGATCTTCGGGGCCGCGGACCTTAGGGAAGTCGCAATCGGTAAGCGCAATTCCCGTTTCTTTAGCATAGTCGTCACAGGCAGAACGCCAGAGTGCGGACAGCTTGCTATCCGAAACGTCACTTGTTGTTCGAGTCATCGTGATTTGGCGCGCAGACAGGAGGGGCAGTGAGGTTGTATGTTCATGCTCTGACAGAGTCTGACATGATGCCCCTCATTTCATGCAGTAAAACTTCATTTTCAGGACTAGCTCGTGCCACGTCATTTTGGGCCTACAGCGTGCTTCAGCACGCGTCCCCCAGTTAACTTGATGTTGCTGTTAGCGAAATTATGTTGCTTCATTCGCCAGGTCTTTTCGATCCTACCTCTCATTCGCTGTTACTTCTCTCCATTGCCTGCGTGATTTCGCTAGGCATTTTCATGAAGTCATCTTCTGATGGGCTTGTCTAGTTTAGACTGCGCCAAAAGCCACTGGCTGGTGGGTCGGGTCGAGATCTCAGAACCCTAACCCAAAACCCACGATGGGGTTTGGACTAAAACCCATTAAACCCCATTTCGATCCATTCTCTGTATTATTTTCCGGATTAGGCAATGCGAAGCTACGTAGTTAAGCTTATATAGTATCGATAAATATTGAAACAGTTGTCTACTGTAATCATCTAGTAATACAACTGATATGTCTCTTTGGTAGAGAGTAATAACTATATGAATCTATATGCATGGTGAGTTTATCATCAGTTATACGATATTTGAATATCGTATTGATTTATTTCATAGCGATATAAAATACGTTATGGTGTAAAATTACTTAACATATTCAAATTTGAGAAAGTTGGAAGATTCCACTAACTTGTAGCATTTTCTGACCGCGGTCAGAAGGTCTAATTTCAATAGGTTTCAATAGGTTTTAATGGGTAGACTACGTTAATACCCGCCTATAGGCCAGCCCATTATGTATACAAGCTACCACCAAAAAAAAAACCACCTAGAACTGCGTAAACTATGTAGTCATGTGGAAGTCACGCTTTTACGATTTAATTTTCAATGGGTTAGGTTTTGTGGGTTTGGCTACGTACTTGGAGGCCTAATAAACACCACCATCTCAACCGTCCGAGCCTCTTGAGGTACTTGGCTGCTCAACTATTTTCGCGACAAAAGGAGTGTAATTGCGGACCATATCGCGAAGAAGATCAATGAACATAGGATCTTATGGTGTCTACTATGGTTAGTAGCATCGCCTGTGTTGACAAGCAAGACCTACAGCTATCAGAAGTGTTTACAACATGCAGTAAGCTTATAGGGATGTCCAAAACAGGCATAACGTAGCAGATTAGCTCGAAGTATGTAGCCACTGTACAATGCCCATTCTTAATTTGTGCCTTCGGTATCTCCATGCATCACTAGAACTCAACAGCCTTATTCAGTTCGGCCCACTGCTTCTCTCCCTCAGACCCAGGTTCCGGAGGCACCAAACCATTCATCTTCCACAAGTCTCTCGACGCTTCCGCGATGAAATACTCCCAATCCATTCCCTTGGGCCCAAATACTGGATTGAGGATCTCGTCAACGCCAGCCAAGAATCGCCGTTTGGCTTCATCGCTCTTGAAGGCACGGGCAACGTGATAAATTGTCACCGCTGCAAAGTTGGCGTGAGGTTCGCCGCCAACGAATGCAGTGCCGGGGATGTCCTCAGAGAAGTGGACTTGGACGTAGAATGCAGGTAGGCCACGTGAGACGTACAAGTTGGTGATTGACTTGGCGAGTTGTTCTTTTTCAGCAGCCGTAATGGTGTTTGGGCTGTGTTTGATGTCCCAGGTAGGCATTTTGAAGGCACGTTCTTTTGAGAACAATTTGTTGGAAATGATTTCGAAGTGAATAGTAGCTAGATATGTCTTAATCTACTTCAAATATTGGATTTCCATTCTTATACTGCGCTGAAGATCGTAAGGTCCAAGATACCTAGGTACCTAAGTAGACCTTGGAGATTAGCATATCAAAGTTCGTCGTGTGATCGCCCATATACATGAGCACTTTTTCTCGATCTCGCACAGCCTTGATGTATCGGGAAGATAGTGTAATAGAAAAACCTCGACTACAATAGCGGGTCCACTTGTGCCACTAAGCTTTTTGATCATTTCATCAGCCTCGGGCCCCGGTCTTGATTACTATATCGTACAACGCCCCGGTCTTCACAGTAGTAACACCAATGACTACTCGGGTTGTATATTAGATCACTCGGACTAATATTCAGAATATGATGGCATCGAGTATGTCGATGTGTCATGGAGATGAGGCTTTCTTTTCGAACCGGACTGGGGTATGACGTGGGTCCCGAGGCCCATCATTTTGATTACCCTAACCTATTGAGTACATCTAGTTAAAGACTTGGGCAGATTGGATTCGCTAGTAGATTACAAATTCAAATGACGAATATAAAAGACAGCTGACCGCAGTACAGAATGTTTTCTCCCCATTAGCACTCAAATAACCGACATGTCCAATGAATTGATCTTTATCACCGGAGCCACTGGCTTCATTGGGAGTGCCACTGCAGTGGAAGCTCTCAAGGCCGGATATCGATTGCGAGTTTGTCTTCGAAGGCCATCCGAGCAATTGCAAACTCTGCTGTCAGAGTATAGTGACCAGGTTGAATTTGTTATCGTTCCAGACCTCACTGATGAGGCGGCATTCGATGGCAAGTTGAACGGCGTGGACTATGTCCTTCATCTTGCATCCCCTCTTCCTCATGGGACCGACAAGCAATCATACTTTGGCCCGGCTCTGAAAGGGACCACTGCGATACTGAAAGCAGCAGCAAAGGTCCCGACCATTAAGAAAGTCGTGGTTACCTCCTCCATTGCGGCTTTGATCCCAATGTCTGGCATTCCTACTGGTGGTGTGGTGAAAGGTATTATATCCCTCTTTTTATCTTCGAGTAAGAATTATATTGACGCATCTCCTAGAGGAAAACGACTGGGACTTTTCGGTTGATGAAAATGGGAATTTCGAGGACCCTCAAAACCCGGCTGGAACACCGATGAAGCTGTATCAGGCCTCCAAACTTCTTGCAAACAACGCAACTTGGGAGTTTAGGGAGACGGCTAAGCCACAGTATGCATTGGTGACGCTGCACCCTGGGTTTGTGTACGGGCACAATCTGGTTCAGAGTTCTGCCGATCAAGTCAACGCCGGGTCCAACGGTGGTCTATGGAATATCATTATGAATGGTAGTCCCAGCGGGAATTTGGTAGGAGTGCATATTCAAGATGTGGCCGAAGCGCACATCAAAGCATTGGATCCGAAGATCGTGGATAGCTCGAAATACCTACTGGTTGGTCCGAAGACAACGGGAGCTGAGATTGCGCGTATTGTGCACAAACACTATCCAGATTCCGGAGCGTCTATCTCTGAGGATTTCCAGGGCATCTCTTTCCCCGTTGATACGATTAAGGCGGAGACAGAGCTTGGGATTCAATGGCGCTCATTCGAGGCGATGGTGCGGGATCTGATGGACCAGCAGCTCGGGTTCCTGTAAACATGTCTGTCAAAGCAGGTGTTCGTAACCGATAAATATAGTGCAATATGTCAGTAGTAACCTCAATATGAAATAAATAACAACCGGATTGGATGTTGAAGTTTAGTTCTCTGTGGTCCTGGTTGTTCTGGTTTTCCAGCTTTATGCGGTTTCCATCTCCCTCGTCTCCCTTTCGGCGTGTGGTCATATATTTTCCATGAGACTAATAGCATAAGATTCGAGTATTAATCAGAAGCTTGCATCCCATGTACCTAAGTTGTAAAAATTTAGTATGATTGTTCATAAGTTGAATTGGATATCAAAATGCAAACCAGCCAAACACTACTTTGCCACCTGATTTCTAAGGCGACAACCGGAGAACAACTTAGACAGCTCCGCAACCTTCAACAACCAAACTTATTCCTCAAATTCCTTTCTCCGTACCAATTTGACCTGAATACCCCCAGAGTCTACCATTGGCTCTCTTTTCAGACCTTGCATCTTCATCCACAAAGAGGTGTGCATAGTCAGCCACATACACGCATCTGACTCGGGACGACCACCGATCCTCTCTTTACCCTCCTAAGCTTCATCGAGCCATGGCTACCGACACTAAAAGCGCAGCTGCGCACATTATATCCGCTGAACCGACGCGCGATCCCAGCTACAACGAGTTTTCTTTCACACCATTTCTGCGCAAGAGCTTCGGCTTCGGACTTGCCAGCGATGTACCTGTCTGCAAAGCCTATAGTGAAGGACACTGCCCATTAGGACCGGCTTGCCCAGATCGTCATCCCACTCCGTCCCGTGTGACCACATCCACTACCACAGCATCCGGAATGGCGCCATCTACAACACACGGATCGCTGGTTTGCAAACATTTCCTCAAGGGACTATGCAAGAAAGGACTGAAATGCGAATACCTCCACGAATATAACCTCCGACGAATGCCAGAATGCCAGTCATTCTCGCGATCCGGATACTGCACCAATGGTGACGATTGCCTTTACCAGCACGTCCGCGAGGAGGCACGCTTACCGCCTTGCGAGCACTACGACCGTGGATATTGCGAATTGGGACCACTATGTGCAAAGCGACACGTCCGCCGGCGTCTATGTACCTTCTACCTGGCCGGATTCTGCCCTGATGGAAAAGCGTGTGCCAATGCCCACCCCCGCTGGCCGGAAAACCTACCGCGACCTACAATGCGCACTGAAAAGACGGAGGAAGAACTTGAGCGCGAACGAGTTCTCATCCGTGAAGAACAAGAGCGGGAAAAAGAACGGGAACGAGAATGGCGAAATGAACGTGGTCGGGGTGGTGGATTTGGGCGTGGCCGCTTCCGTGGACGTGGAAGGGGTTAGGTGGATTCTTATCGCAAGGGTTTTTTTATGGGCGACATTGCATGGCATGGAGTGAGGTGTGGCTTCGGCAAGGGGTCCACGGGCTTCTCGGTTTCTTTTCATTTATGGTTTTTGCGCTAGTCCCGCGATACCCCCATTAAATTTGACGCAAAAACATTCAAGAATTCTTTTCTCCTTTCACTTGGGCTCAATTGCATAGTTGGTGTTACAAGGGCGACATCCCTGTTCCACCCTTGCTGCATCATATCTGCCGTCTGCTACACCGGCTTCGCCTGGCAATAATATACCTGTAGTGCCGTGAAACCAAATGCTTTTTCGTGTTAATACTCAGCCACGGAACTAAGTGCGCCGATATCAGCTTATGCCGATCTAACCCATATGATGGACTGAGCGTTCTGTCGCAAACGTAGTGAAGAAATTAGGTATCATAAGCGAATACATGACGTCATGATAGGCACTCCATAGATGCCCAGGTGGTCTATATCCTTTTAATTCCGTTGTTTACTAAGAGCAATTCTCCTCTTGCTGTAGAATCTAGACAATTAACATTTTTACTAATGGTTTGGTAACTCGACTAGGCACATAGTAGGGCGACGCCCACCCTTGGCACGTAAGATTTTCATTTGTCAGTTCTCAGTAAGAATCACTCTATATCCGAGTGGAACCTCTTGGACCAATCACATTCTTGCTCTGTCATCGATGACTGATAGCTCTTGCGAAGCTCTGTTGCGCTCGCTAATCATAGAGGTACTTAAATCACATACTAATTAATATGGTGGAGGAGGTACCTAGGACAGTCCCCCGGCGGGGTGGTACCCTTTATAATTAGCTACCTCCCCGCTCTTTCTCTCTCAACTTTCCCTCTACATCGTTCACTCCACACTCCTCAAATCATCATAATGGCTCCCAAGATCGCAATTGTCTACGTACGTCTTCCAATGGCAACGCATTCCTCTCCCATCTCACTAACTGTCCGATTAGTACTCCATGTACGGCCACATCAAGGCCTTGGCCGAGGCCGAGAAGAAGGGCATTGAGTCCGCTGGTGGTCAAGCCGAGATCTTCCAGTCAGTCATTTCCATTGCCCTTCACGTCACTTGATTAACATTTGAGTCTCTAGGATCGCCGAGACCCTCAACGAGGAAGTCCTGGGCAAGATGCACGCTCCTGCCAAGGCTAGCTACCCCGTTATTGAGCCCGCCGACCTCCTCGCCTTCGACGCTGTTCTGTTCGGTATCCCCACCCGTTACGGTAACTTCCCTGCTCAGTGGAAGACCTTCTGGGACAAGACCGGTGGTATTTGGGCCACCGGTGGCTTCTGGGCAAGTACGCCGGTCTCTTCGTGTCGACCGGTACTCAGGGTGGTGGTCAGGAGTCGACTGCCCTTGCCTCGATGAGCACTCTCGCCCACCACGGCTTCATCTACGTTCCTCTGGGCTACAAGACCGTCTTCGCCCAGCTGAGCAACCTGAACGAGGTCCACGGTGGTAGCGCCTGGGGTGCTGGTACCTTCGCTGTAAGTTAAAACGACACACTCCGATACCTTTTCTCTTGCTGACCATTCCGTCTACAGGGTGCCGATGGTTCCCGTCAGCCCTCCGCTCTCGAGCTCGAGATTGCCACCGCTCAGGGCAAGGCCTTCTACGAGACTGTTTCCAAGGTCCAGTGACTGCATGATGGTACCGAGTCGAAGCCGGAGAGCTCGACCCCTGTTGCTGGGGCGGCCGCTCAAAAGACCGAGCAGCCTCCCAAGGAGCAGCAGGGTGCTCAGGAGCCAGCCAAGAAGGAAAAGAGCAGTGAGGGGCCATGTGGCTTGCCCAAGAAATGTACCATTCTTTGATTGGGCCCATGTCTCTTCTTGTGCTCTCCAATTTTCGGCTGTTCTCCCTGGGGCGTTCTCTTAGGCGTTTCGTATTCTTATGATTATACGGATATACCATATTCATTTTTCGACTCCAACTATATCTAGCCTAATGGAAGAAATTTTTGGAAGATTGTCAGTTACTTTTAACCTAGTAAAACGTAGATATTCAACTTTCGATATCCGCCTATGTTGCATGTGCATGGTTTGCCGTCCATGAGGACTAGTAGTATCTTGCTGGGCACATTTCTGCCTCATTTGCACACATTTTACCACAATTCATTTCCAATACCGGTGCTGAAATAGGAACTGCTTTGCTATCACTTCCTTTTGGAATTATTTATTCATATGTGCATGTTGTATACAGGCTCTGGCTCTCCATCTTAAAGCTCTGTATCTGTGGTAACAGCTTTACCGACGCCTCGCCCAAAACTCCACCCCGACCGCGGGGTGTTCCGTCAGGCAGATACCATACCGCCCGCCAGCTGTGACGTGACCAGGGAAGCTTCGAGTCGAGCTTCTCTTCTCACTTGCATGTGTCTTCTTTGTCTTCTTCTTCTTCCACTTGTTTTCCTCGGAAAGTGAAGCCACTACCTCTTCACCTTTTCTTCAACAGTGCTTTAGCCTTCCCAGGGCTAAGATGGCCTCCATTCTTCTGCGATTCGAGAGTCGAAACGGCCAATTTCGACAAACGGTCAGCCCGCAGGAACTCTTCCCATCACTTCAAGAAAAGGTATTTGTCGGCCCTTCCTCAGAAGGGAACGATAGCAGTTCGACAGCGAAAATCTAATCCGGTAACTGCCGTCAGATTTTAGGACACCTCCCGGCAAATGTCGAACCTTCGTCCATTGCCCTCTCAAATAAACCGATCGGCACAGGTGGTGAGGAGAGACTGTTAGAAAGCCTACAAGGAGTTTCCCTTCAACAGGTTGGCCTCAAGTAAGTGTCAAATACCATATTTGCCTTTACAGGTTGAATTACTCACGCGCCGCTGATTTGAAGGCATGGCGATAAGCTCTTTATTGGGTACCAGGAGCAGACACAACAGAATGTACCCTCGAACGGCGACACATCTACCACTGCAGAACACCGACTCAATGGAGCACCGATCCCCAAGCAGCAGACAGTCCCGATCCGTCCACAGCCAAGTTCCTCCGCTCCAATCAAGAACCCGTGGGAGCTGGTGCAGCAGTCACCGCTAGACAATCTACTGGACAAGAAAGATGGAAAGATCAAGCGCGGCATGGACCAGAAGATGTGCAGACATGGTCCGCGAGGGATGTGTGATTACTGCATGCCGCTCGAGCCTTACGATGCGAACAACATGGCAGAGAAGAAAATCAAGCACCTTTCTTTTCACTCATACCTGCGGAAAATCAATGCCGCAACCAACAAGCCTGAAATGGGAACCTCGTTTATGCCTCCTCTCAATGAACCATATTACCGAGTGCGAACCGACTGCCCATCGGGACATTCGCCTTGGCCGGAGGGCATTTGCACCAAATGTCAACCAAGTGCAATCAGTCTGCAACCCCAGGAATTCCGCATGGTAGACCATGTGGAGTTCTCATCCCCTGATTTAATCAATTCCCTCCTTAATTTCTGGCGAAAGTCTGGTGCTCAACGGCTGGGCTTCTTGTATGGGACATATGAGGAGTATACGGAAGTACCACTGGGTGTAAAGGCTGTCGTGGAAGCAATCTACGAGCCCCCGCAAACGGGCGAAATCGATGGCGTAACACTCCATGACTGGCACAATGAAAAGGAAGTGGACGAAGTAGCCCGTCTGTGCGGATTGCAGAAGGTTGGTGTCATATTTACTGACTTGATTGATGCCGGCCGTGGGGATGGTTCAGTGGTTTGCAAGCGACACATCGACTCATACTACCTGTCTTCACTCGAAATCGCCTTCGCTGCACGACTCCAGGCACAAAATCCCAAGTCAACGAAATGGAGCCGGACAGGACAGTTTGGCTCGGATTTCGTAACCTGTGTGCTCAGCGGAGACGAGACATGTGCGATTTCTGTCAGCTCGTACCAAGCATCCGTGTCTGCAGTTGAGATGGTTCGGGGAGATATCGTCGAACCCTCAGCTGACCCGACCGTGATGCTGGTGCAATCAGAGCATGACGAAGATCTCGGAAGCAGGACACGATACATCCCCGAAGTCTTCTACCGACGGATTAATGAGTACGGTGCAAGCGTACAGGAAAGCGCTGAGCCGAGTTTCCCAGTCGATTTCCTACTAGTCACCCTCACCCACGGATTCCCAACAGAGTCATCCCCGTTATTCACCGACAGCCGCTTCCCTATCGAGAACCGCGAAGTCATCGGCGAGAGCCAAGAGCTTCGACATGTTGCCCAAAAGCTCGTGTCCCACGGTGATCCCGATAAAGCTATCCAAGGCGTTTCCGACTTCCACATCCTGTGCTTCTTGCATGGAGTCGGTACATTTAGCAAGGTCGGTGTTTTGTGTGCATCTTTTAGTCTAGTGTACGTGACACTAACTGTCTTCTTCAACAGGACGAGGAATCGCTCCTCTGCCGCGTCGCCAGAACGAAGTCCGCCGTCGAGGGCATGCAGCTTGTGAATACCCCTGGATGGGCCACGTTGATGACAATTCTTCAAGAGAGTGGTGAGCGCCCCCCCTAAGCGCCCCTGGCCCACACCGGCCGAGTCTTCTCGCTCGGATTCCCAAACCCGGAAACGTCGCAACCCCCCCATCCTCCACCTTACCCCGGTCCATATCTCCCAGTCCCGAGAGTGACCAGCTTGCTAAGAGGTTTAAGGGAGCTAGTTTAGAGTAACGGGTTTCGTCTTTCGCCGTTCGGTTTTCATCGCACTCCCCCTACACCCTTCGGTTCAGCTTTCCCTACCGGTGTTGCCCTAAAAAGTTAGGTGGGAGGCACTAGTGATTGTTCGTTGCCTTCTTTCCGAGATATGGATGATTCCCGGACCCGAGATGGAGATTCGATGGTGAGAATGGAAGTTAGAAAGTCCTTTTCGTCGGCTGGTTATAGCAGTTTAAAGCTCTGCACGATATCACTGCATTTTCGACGAATACAGTCGAAATTTGGGTTGCGCCTTACGCGTCTCACGGCCCTTGACTGTGCTGTAATTAGATAATTCACTGGTGCTCTTCTCTCAGGGCTTGTCTAATCTGATCTGCTTTTTCGGGTAACTTGATATTAAGTAGAAGTTTTCGATATGAATGCGGCCAGATCGACGCTTGGGGTGGATGATACGAAGTGATCTATGGAAATGCACGTAGGTATGGGATGTGAGAATGTTTGGAATTCACGTCTCAGGCCAAAGCAGTTAAGGGGTATCCAAATGCATTTTTCTCAAGCAGCTTACGGAGTACCTAGGTAGCCCTGGAGGCCCATATCTTACTCCGTACAACAGACAGGGACTACGCATTAGTCTTAGCACCTCTGGAGACACATCACCCCCGCACACCGTCTCAAGGCTCGACCACTCAGTTTCAATTTCAGACGAATATCCGTTGTAATTCGCTTCGGCTGGAAGATTCGTAACACCTGAACACTTCACAAGAACCTCCCTTTCGGTCTTTCCAGAGCTCAGTCACTGGCTTGTAGTTTCAGCAAATGATATAGATATGGAAGCCCCTGTTCGACTGCTCAGAAGGATCAATAGTTAATTTCACAAGCCCTACAGAATAACGCAGCTATGAACCAAGACAACGCTCCAGAAGCAGACCATATCATCGCCGAAGATAATACTCAGCCAAGCGACAATGCAAGAGATCATACTGGAGCCCTGAATGTAATCAGGAGTCAGACGAAGGATGAAGCTGCACCTTCGACCCAGCCCCTTTCTAAAGACAAAGCTGCATTGAAAGCCGAACTTATGCACCGAATCTTGAATCACGATCAAATCAGAGCTGAAAAGGCAGAAGCCAGATCCAAGGTTAGAGATGATGAAGGAGAGGTACTCTATACCTTTCATCGCCGCAAGATTGTTCGAATCAGCGAATATCTCGTGGTGAAAAAAGCCGATGATATTCCAGCCCATGAAGCTCCAACCCTCCGGTTCATCGCTGAAAATACTACAATCCCAGTGCCAAAAGTTCACGATGTTCGTTTGGAGGATGATAAAGTGGTTGGCATTGTCATGGACTATATGCCTGGTACGCAACTAGACGAAATTTGGGACGCCTTGAGTCCTGACCAGAAACAATCAATTGCTGAGCAACTCCGTGGCTATATCTCCCAACTACGAAACCTCAAAGGCAATTATATCGGTGCCGTTGATCGCGGTACCGTCGCAATGGGCAATTGGGGGCCTATCTATGGAGGACCCTTTGACTCTGAGCAGGAATTCAATCGGTGGATTTTAAGCGACCTCAGTTCAACATTACAGGCTCCGCTCAGATACTATGCAGAACATGCACTGACGGATAGCCATGAAATTGTCTTCACTCATTCTGATTTCTCCTCTCGGAATATCCTTGTCGATGAAAATAGTTACCAGGTTACTGCTATCCTAGACTGGGAGTTTGCTGGCTGGTATCCAGAGTGGTGGGAATACTTCAGAGAATACAAGAGCTTCCAACGAGGCAAGGATTGGGGTGATTACCTGTGCCATATTCTGCCCCCTCGATATGAGCAAGAGTTCCTTGCTATGTCTTATGTATCTGGATACTGCAGTAGCTAGTCAATCGCTTCAGACGGACCGAGATTTGCCTATATCTGTTACAATCTTTGTCTTTACAGAATCCGATCCCTCTACTCCCTACACCTATAGACAAGGCTATACATGGTGTGAAAATGCGGGTGGGTAAATACTTAGTCCCATGGTCTGTAGTACACAATTATGACAAATTTCCTGACTTCTCCAGTATTGCACTGCCCATAAACGCCCGAATGAAGATGTCAAACTCCCAGGTAATACGAGTCACCAGTGATCACCCCCTTTTGACTCTTATGTCTGACTTTTTTGGACAAGCTGCTTCAAACGTCTCTCCAATATCTCTCGTCCCTGTCCGGTATTCCATACTTCATGAGGTGCATCGTCAGCAATATCCCAAGACAAAAGGTTGTCTGTAATATGAGACAGATCCTCCTGCCGCTCTGCCCACTGAGAATTCTTTCGAACTTCTTGCCCAGAGCTCACAACCACAACAGGAACATGACCCATCTCGATATGGCGAGAAGACTGTATCTCAGCAGCAGTCATCGTGACAGCCACGAGGCTTTCCTGTAGCTTTGCTTTGATGTATTTCCCAGACTGGTAAGCCGCACGTCCCATAACGCGGTCCTGGCGAGAACGGCCGCGCAAAAGGGCACCCGCAAGCCGATCCAATCCCAATGGAGAAACGATACCACGAAGCCAGAGCAAAAATCCACGACCAGGTCGCCCAATGTCCCCCAGGTAGGCCTCGTGGAGGGGATCGATCATGAAGATGCCGCGAACTTCGAGAAGATTGCGACTGGCAAACAGTCTCGAATGAAGACTGCCAACCCCAGCGGAAACAACTATCCACGGTCCGGTCTCGCCGGCAAGAGCTAGGGCCTCAGCTAGCACGTCTGCTGACATGCCCGCGGAATGCGGCGAGGGGCGTTGTCGGACCATCCGAAGCCCGGTCGGTCCCAGTAACAGTATCTGTCGATACCGCCACGGCCGTATACATCGTCGATGAAGGGTTGGAGTGTATGTTCGACGGGCCCATTGCCACCCTCCAGAAGGATCGTCGGTGCATTGTCGTCTGCAGTTTTGTTCCCCACACAAGCAAGATGAACTTGATAGGTATCCCCATGCACCGAGTATCGCTCGCCTGGAGGCTTGAGCCCGGCGTCGAAAGCACGCAAGATCAGAGTGGCCGTGAACATGACAGCCGCGATCGCCATGGCAGCCAGTAAAATCGTTTCAGCGAGAACAGCACTCCACTCCAACAGGGAGCGCCGAGTCTCTTCTCGACCGGTAAGACGCTCTTCCTCTTCCCGCTTACCCCAGGCAACTGCTCTGTTCTGCAGGGCCTGATAGATAGCGATCAGAGCTACCCAGACGACAGAAGCAATCCCCACCCAACCCTCTTCAAGACGGATCCGCGGCACAGTGAGGATAATAAACATATCCACCAAAAGCAGAGCGGCAAGTGTAATGGCCCATATTGTCATGGACTTTGATGGCACGGCAAAGAACAAGAGTCCAAAGATGAGGTATCCTGTCGCCAAGGTGGTATATGCAAAGGCGAAAAAGCCCGATCCCCGCGGGTGGATCATCGGTGGACTAACGAATATGGAGACCAGCAGGAATGTCCACCATATGAAGCTCAGTGCCAATGCGACGAGTGACACGCCGCGCACCGCGCGCACGCTCCATAGATTGTAGGGGGATACCTGGTTCTCATATTAGCTATAACTTGTCCTTGGTGTGTGATTTGTGGAGTGTTTTTGTTTATTGGACTCACTGCAGGATCATCCGGGCTCAGAAACCCCTCGTTCCTATCTGCAGGAAGCAGTCTTGAGCGCTCAGTAGGTTCTTCGGATCTTTGCTCTGGGACGTGTCGATCTTCTTCCCCATTTTGGGGGTCGGGTGGCCCCGTGGACTTGCGACCCCAGAGTGGCATGGTGAAGATTGGTGTTGATCTTTGATTTGGCAGATTTCACATAAGTTAATTAATTTGCGAGTGATGTAAGTGATGTATGTTTGAAAGAACTAAACCAACGCCACACTTGGTAGTATCTGAGCTGGTGGGTATGACATCATGCACTCTCACAGGCAGTTCCCGGTTAACGCAGATATAGATCTTGGACATTTAAGTAGCACAGTCATTTACTACTAGCTTGGCTTTTTTATTTATTTACTTACAAGAAGATACAAATTACATCAGAGGACTATCTTCAAAGACAGACTAGAAAAGAGACCAAAGTGAAATGCCGCTTTGGAGGTGGGTAGAGGTGGACATAACATCTTCTAATACTTTGCTGTCTTTGAAGGTTCCGGTAATCGCATATATTAGGCATTCTCTTATGCCAATGCCAATTCCTTCGAGGACTTGAGTAACGTAGCCCGGAGAAACTAGCAATAATCACCCCGTTCAACCATATCTAACATTGCCGGAGCCATGTCCAAACCAGTCATCCGCAGCCAAGGACTCATCAGGAGAAGCATAGTTTATAATCGTGCTTTTCGATGTTGTGTATGCATTGTAAGCCTCGATCCCGTTCTCGCTTCCAACTCCACTCGCAGACTTTGCACCTCCCCATGGACTGCTAGGGTCATTTCGATGATGGGTATTCACCCAAGTAATTCCTGCATCAATCTGCTCCGAGACTCGGAAAGCCTGGGAAAGATCGAGTGTCCATATGCCGGCTCCCAATCCAAACTCGGTGTCATTCGCCAACTTGATTGCTTCTTCCTCCGTATCGAAACCAGCAACGACAATAACAGGGCCGAAGGCCTCTTCGCGCCAGATAGATGTCTTCACAATACTGTTCTTTTCTTTGCTGGATGTAAGCAGCGTCGGTTCGTAGAAGTATCCCTTCTCGAAGTTGAATCCGTCAAGCGGGCTCTGAGAAGCCATCCGCTTTGCACCGATGATAGAGACCGCATTTCCTCCATCTAGAGCGCTGTTGACTAGACGTGCCACATTTCGCAGCTGCTTCTCGGAGATAAGTGGTCCCATGGTTGATTCAGGGTTGCTCGGGGCCCCGATTCGGCGTGTAATGCTCTCGATCTTGGCCTTGAGCTTGTACAGTAGCTCGTCCATAATTGAGTTTTGCACTATAATCCGGGTGCTGGCCACACACGTCTGTCCACTTGCAATGAAGCTTCCAAAGACGATTCCGTTGATCGCCGTATCGATGTTGGCTTTCTCAAATACGACCAAAGGCGCCTTTCCGCCCAACTCGGCTGTGTATTTCGCCAGATTCCCACCAACAATCCTCCCAATTGTCCTGCCGGCCTCGGTGCCACCGGTCACATCCACCTTTCTCACCAAGGGATGCTCAACCAGTGCTTTACCGGTGGTAGCTCCATAACCAGGTAAGACGCTCAACACGCCATCCGGAATTCCCGCCTCGCGGAGGATTTTGCCCAACAAAAGAGTCGTCAATGGAGTCAGCTCGCTAGGCTTAATTATGACACTGTTTCCAGCGGCAAGCGCTGGAGCAAGCTTCTTCACTGCGATCAGCAACGGGTGGTTGAATGGGGTGATCTGAACGACCACTCCGAGAGGCACTCGGTCGACAAAGTTATGCAGTTTACCTATCGTCGGGAGAACAGACCGTTCCTCGACTCGTAACAGGGAGGCATAGTATTTAAACCATCTTGTCAAAGATGGGACCTGGGCATTCATTTCCCGAATCACCCGACCCGTCTGCTTCGACTCTGTTGAGATGAGCTGCGGGAGGGTATCGGAGAGAAGCACTGCGCATTTGTCTAGCACATCGGCGCGATGGTGACGACTCGCGCTCGACCATACGCCGGACTCGTATGCTGCGTGGGCGGCAGAGATGGCGGCCTCGACATCTTCTGGCGAGGCTGCGTGACATCTGTCAATTGTTAGGCTGGGACCAAACACTTCTGCGACTTAGCTTACTGGGCGAAGATCTCCCCGGTTGCTGGATCTTCGATGGGAATGCTGGAGACTTGTCAGTGCTAATTCAAGTATCAAGATAGCCATTACCCACAGGTCTGCACTCCCATCTTGCTCTTTGCCCGCCAACCACAAGCGATATTCCATGATAGAAAATATTCAGGTAGACAAAAACATCAGAAAGTCCCTCGAAATCGGAGTGATGCCCAAGTGCTTTTTATAAACGCTTATCTGGCTTATCTCCCTGGAGAGGGGGAAATGCCCAGGTGAGGGGTCAAGCTTGGAGTAACATTCGATCTTCCGACTTTCCCTTTCTGGATGCGTCTTGTCCTGTCAAGGAAATAGATCAAATTGATCACGGTCGAAAGACTGATGTACTGGGGAGTGGGCCATGCCGATCCCTTCTGAATCAAATTGGAATGTCGTGACCTGCACTGTTTTCATCTTCAAAACCCCCCCACCATGTATACTGAGGATAATACATCGGTAAACAAAGCTGTCAAGGCACTCTCCCAGCCTGTCGGGATCAGACCAGAACATATCGCCGAGGAAGAAACTCTCCTCTACCTCAAACCTAAATACGACCACCGTTCGCCCAATGAATATACGATCAAGAGGTATTGGGATGACTCAACGGTTTTCACAGTCACTGGCCACAAATATGGTGACACTCCAGCTCGCGAATTTCGCGATTCATCAGGACTCCCAATGTTCCAGTCTCGCGAGGCGGTCTTAGCATGGAAAAGACCCCTGCGGGTACGACTACCCGGCAAGGAAGATGAGGAGCTTGTGGATTTCAGAGTCGACATGAAAAAGGTCTACCGACTCACATTTCGCAACTCAATGGAGCCGGACTCGAAAAGTGAGAGTGAAAGAATGGCGACGGTCGAAGTCCGAGAGTCGGGCACTTACGCGTGGCAAGGATTCTCAGCCAGTGTTGGCGGCCAGAAAGTGGTTGATGTTCGTGAGAGCATGACGATGAATAAGACGCTGCCCAAATGTACCTCTCAAGGAGACGTGTCTCTAATGCCACGACAAGTGCTTGAGATTCTTGTTGCTGAAGGGTTTGACTTGTCGCTAGTGGGTGTATCTCATTTTGGTTGGTAGACAGACACTAACTATTTTCAGGCTGCACTTATTGCCGTGTACATGGCAGATACGAGGTTCAGCACTGCACCTCCTCCTCGATGCTGATTTAATACTGGGAGATTTAGATATTACAGTTGAACTGGTCTGGAACACTTCTTTTATGCAATGTAAGGTACATTTACAATGTTGTGAAAGGCATGTCTGTTGTGTCTGCCTCTTTGTCAACTCCCAAAAGGCTACCTAGGTATACAGATAGCCCTTCTACCCACTTTTATCTGGTTACTGTTCTTCTCTCTCCGTCTTTATTTCTTCTATTTCCCTAGATTATCAAGTCGTCCTAAGACTATACATAACTGACTTCAAAAGCCTACAGGACACCTAGGCAGAGAATATTTCCACGGTCACCAACTGTCTAGGTATCATCGCAGTTCCTTAAAATACCATCTTGTATTAATTACCGTATCTCGCTACTACATACGTACATGTACAACTGACTCTTAGATATTGCACATCTGTTCAGGTGGTCATGCTCGCCATCGAGTCTCTTTCAATGTTCGAATTTGCCAATTGCTTCTCTAGATTCAGTCGTCTTAGATCCACGAATGCACAATGGCTAGGGTTATTGTTAAATGTTGTCGGTGTATAGATGTATATGGCGTTGTCTATAATGACTAGTTAAATAAGAACGTTGGCAACTTTGTCTACGGCTGTGATGCATGCTTTTGTGTACTGCGATGTTGGTTCCCTTAATTACATTCTTCTCTGGAAAACACTCCCTCGAAGACAGACCCTCAAAGACTCCTTAGTTTTTCTGCCATCTACCTTGTTCGACCAAACATCAACATCAATTCCAACCCTCATTATCAATACTAACCCTTACAACCAAACGCAACATGTCGTCCCACGGTCCTAAGATCCCCCCATCCGAGGATGAGCAACTATTCAACCAGCTCTTGGCCAAGGTACACACTGAAGAAGAATTAAAGAAGCATCATTTCACTATGGTTTTGACCTACGCTCTTGATCCCTGGGCTCGCCTCACCGGGGGAGTGATCGGACGTAACGAATTCGCTCAAAATCTAGAGCACACCGAAGACGCAGCAAAACGACAGGGCATCGTCCTCGATTGTGAAATGGTCACTGTTGAAGGTAACCGGAAAGAGCTGGCGTTTCTGGCAGTTGTGGACATGTTCACTGGAGAGACCCTCATCAACCACTTCGTCCATCTCACCAACATAGTTAGAAACTGGCGAACCAAATACAGCGGCATAATCTGCGCCGCCATGAAGGCCGCCGTGAAGGATAACATCGCCATTCGAGGGTGGGAAGCAGCGCGCACCATGATCTTTGACCATACGGACGGAAATACTATTATTGTCGGCCACGCCCTGAACAACGATCTGAACTCTCTGGGCATCATACACAGCACGATCATCGACACATCCATTCTCACTGCTGATGCAGTGTACAGGCCGCTTGGAAGGCCCTTTCGACGGACTTGGAGCTTGAAGACTTTGGCGAACGAGTTAATTGGTCAAAAGATCCAGGGAGGAAAACGTGGCCACAGTGCGCTGGAAGATACCATGGCCACTAGGGATGTGCTACTTCATTGTACCAGAAACCCTCTAGATTTGGAGGCTTGGGCCGAGAAAGTCCGAAGCGAGGAAGCAGTCAAGTATGAGCCGGAGACAATGAGCCTGAGACGCTAGAGGAATTGCTTGCAAGATGTTGAGTACATTTTGTCCGCGGGGTTTCTGTTTACGCCTTTTTTTTTTCCTGTTTTGTTCGTATCTTTCGAATTAAATGCAACATAATTTCGAGACTTAATTTTCAGATGTTTGGGATTATCTCAAGTAAACCTGAAACCGCGCTTCCTGTTCACGGGTGCCCAGATAGGATTCATGACTTCAATATCCCAAAGAGAAACTCCTACGCCAATGCAAAAGCTTGTTAATCACAGTCAGGGTTGCTGCTGAACAATATAGCTGGACGCTCTCTCGAGCTGGCAGATCGAGAAGGGACTCGGTACTCTGTCGCATACCACGAAAGATTCTCTTCAAGCAGCCTAATGTCCAAGAGAAGGGAGAGGTTATGGAGTCCAGTCAAGCTTTAGGTGCTCATTAACAACTTTGCACAGTCCGTCACTTATTTTTAATAACACCTACTTCGCATGGAGTGTGATAAATCCAGACAAGATGGTATGAATTAACTATCTCTTTAGTTACTTCAGCAAATTATAACCCTTAATTGGGCATAGAACACCTGAGCTATATATCACCTCATAGCTTTGTTTTTTTTTTTTTAGTGTCCCGAGGTTGGGTCCATGTGAGCTGTAAGCCCTTTGAACTGCGTGGCCAATGGCTGGAGTAGGTCACTGGTAGAGTGCTATCCTTCCACATTTAGATCCTTTCCATTGCCTAGGCCGTTATGTTTTTGCGATTATCACCCTTTCCAGGAACTAAAGATTATATAGGACTTGTGCGACTTTTTGCAGATAGGGTTGAAGCCAAGAATGAAATTCACAATATCAACGTATTTTCCTTCCTGGGCTAAACCCTACGGGTATGATACTAGACAGGCCCAGTATATTAGCCACAATAGTGTCTGCTCTTGCGTAGATAGTATTCCTCCATACATGGATGCATTGTTTGCTAGGCAGCATGAGTGTTTGCTTGTCTGCATGTTTGAGTCCCTAGATTTGATGGCAGCAGGTAGATATCATCATCGGTATCTCCATTCATCACTCAAACTGTTGATTGACTATCTCTTCTTCATCGATCTATCTCTCAGAATCTATCACTACTGCAATCAACGGAATGTCGAAGCCACCAGGCCCACCCCAACCCCCTCTGAAGCCGGTCCAGACGGAGGAGGTCTACGATCTGGGACCTGTTGCGGACAATGCCCTGATCGTAGACGAGATCCTGCAATACATTGTCCGTAAGGATCTAGAAGACATTGGCGAAGAAGAGATGTACTCCCGAAGGAACTCCCGGGAAAAAAAGAAGACCGAGGAACAGAGAGATATGCTCGAACAGATTACCCAAGGTATTTGGGGATTAGTTCAAAAAATTTGCTCGGCAGAAGACTTTGGTTCTCTAGAGCTTCCCTGCATCGACAGCCACCTCAAACAGGACGCTTTCAGGACATCCATCGCGGAGGGTAAGGTGAACGAGGGATTCTTGCGGAAATTCATCATACACACCTGGGAGTCAATCAACGATGACCGGAAAAAGGCCAAGAAGGGTCAGAAGGGTAAGAAGCGTCAACGATCATCCCCGGACCAGAAAGGCAACAAAATCGACCTAGAGGACCGGAAGTGGAGACCAGAGACTCAAACCAGTCTAGAGGGCACAATTATAGACAATGATGTGAGTGTCTCCCATTGAAACCCATTAGAAAGATACGCCTGTTAACGATTCGGGAAAAAAATATAGCACCAACCCCACGAAGTTACCTTCGCTTCTCTCACAACCATCACCGACGACCTGATTGAAAAGCTTGCCAGACCTGATTTCCATGTGCATAAATTCAAGTCTTATCCTACTGAGATTCAATGTTTTGGATCTCTACAGCTCCTCAAGGACAGGATCCACGGATGCATACGGCCCGAAATACGGCAGTTGGAAGGGCAGAAAGTGACCAGGAAAATGTAAGTCTACACCACCAGAGATATGCGGAACTTCTATTTACTCTAATATGTATTAGGCTAGACGACTTCCACAGAGTCCAAGATCCTCTCTCTGAATGGCCCGCTATCGGTGGATACCTGCTGTACATCACTTCTAGTGAGGCCGAAGAGTATTGGAGACCATACGCTGGCCAGGCAACCTTGTTAGTACGCCGCATACCCCAACACATCACGGAACTTATACATGGTCGTATCAACACACTGTGCTACTGGGTCGCCTCGAAACCGGGACGACAACTGAATTTCATAAGGCTCTGGGAGATAACGCCAGAGGAGGAAGACACGCACCAATCCATTGAACTCCTTAACACCCTCCTCGAGATGATATTTTGTCTCGGTTTCCAAACGTTGCCACAGCAAACACTTACTCGCTTTCTTGGCGATCAAGAATTTTCGCTCCGTGGGCTCAATGTTGTCTCTCCACTCTTACAAAACATCACATTATCCCCAAGCGAAAGAGCAGAGTCCCGTAAGTGGCTGCTATCGTCACCTAGTCCCGAGACACGACAGTTCGCCGAGGCCAGGTCAAAGGAGCTACAGCAAAAACAGAGATCGTCGCTTCGGCCATCCTCTCAAAGGTCCAGCTACACAGAGATCGAGGGCGCATTTTGCGAGCAGATAAAACCTTATCTTTGTGCCTTCGTTAGGGTTGAAGCAACAGATGGACCACCAAGCAATCTACTGTCTCCCATCGGTAACGCAGAGATTGGCAAGGACGTGGCTGCTTATTTGGAGCAGCAAGGTGTTGAGGGGCATCTATGGGCATTTCCAACTGGTTCAACTGAGGCTCGCATTGGATTTGTCCTAGACTTCGATATTCCCTCTCTCGAATGTGATGAAGAGAGTACTTCCCAAACACACTTTCCTTCGGCCTTGAGATCTGTTGGTTTCCACAAGGAAAACTGCCTTACTTGGCCATTCAATTTCCAGGCTCCGTTTGTCCCCAGAAAACTCAAGCTGGCCGGACCTGGCCACACACGTCTGAGGGACATCAATCGTCAGATCATCGATAATTCTAACCTGCAGGTGATCATCTTATGCGGGGTCAATGCCTTGAGGATGTCTGTTCTACCTTCGCCTTCGTTTGAGAAAAGAACACTCACTTTTGGACAAGCCTCGTTGGAGGCATTCCTACAGATCGAACAGTCTGTGGTCACCCGAGTTTATTTGAACCCTTTGGCACCTTTATCGGCACTTTACTCAGATGACTGGAGGAGTGGTACAATGGTTTCCCTCGCAATAAAAGTCGCAGCTTGCCTCACGCAAACGCGAGGGATCCAACCGTTCTATTTCAGGTCACGGGTAGCATTATCCGAGTTGGTGCGCATAAGGTTGCGCGAGGAAGACGGCGAACCCAAGTTGACTTCTGACTCAATCACTGACAGTATCTGGTCCTGGCTGTACATGCGAGGCTTCAAACCCTCTGATATACCCCGCCTAGAGACTATTGGTGGGTCCGTCAGTAGGGGGGGCATCTTACTTGCCATGATAACTAGCCCTAGTCGCCCCAAGGAACCAAATCAAACGCCTGAACCAAGAATAATTCCGCGGGACAATCCTTCTCTTTTCTCTCGCAAATTCACCGAGTTTCAACTCCAAGAGATGAGGAAACTCCACACTCAAAAGCAGGCCGAGTGGGACTTGGAGCACGCGAACTCTACCAAGAAGCTTTCCGAGGGGGAAGACGGTGACTTGCTGCGAGAGGATGAGGTCTCCGAAGGCCAGGAAGGTGTCAACCTAAATGAACACGTCCTTGGGTTGATTACGGACTCTACGCCGCCGCGTACAAAGACGGCCAAAGACAGCCGCAAAGCAGAGCCCCCAACGACGACTAAAGACAGCCGTAAAGCAGGGTCCCCCATGGCCGCTTTCCAACCAGCAAAGAAAAGAACCAACGACACAGTTCCTCCCGACAGAAGGGGAAAGGATCGAAATTGTTGTTGGTGTAAAAAGCCCACTTATGGAAAGAACACATATCCATGCTGGTGTGAAGCTTTGCAGGGGTCACTTTGTCAGCAGTGCTCGATAATTCTCAGCCATAATGACTATCTACCGATTTTCAAACATCACATCTTGCACTTGGATGTCTTCTGCGGCTTCTGCGGTTCTCTATTTGGTCCTGGTTGGAAATGGGAACCTGGCTCTGGCTTACCAGCTTGCAGTGCTGAATGCCATGCTGGTCTCAAGCAAAAATCCAAAAGACCCGAGGCCGGACAGCAGACACAGCAAGGCTTCAGATACCAGGATACAATTTCCGAAAAACTACCAATGACGGCGAAGCTCAGGCAATATTTCAAGAACAAATTTGGCATTGACACCAGCAGAGAAGGCCTCAAGGCTACGACGAAGAAAAATTCGCTGGTGGCCGAGTTATAGTCCTCGAATCTTCCCATTTTGTTTGGTGGCCTGAGGGACCAGAGCCCACCGAGACAGCACCCGCCAGCAGCTCTCAGCAGCTCTTTTGGGGTCTCTTTCTCTCTTTCTCTTCCATGTCCATCCAATCCTCCATATAAATTGACGTACGCGTTATTTCTCCATCCGAATCTTCATTGTGTAGCGATCCCTAGACATATCCAGACAGCTTACAAAACGCCTGTGTCTAGGTAGGTAGTTCTTCACTCATCACTATGTTCAATGATGGGCCTATTGGGTTTCCGACCCTTAGGTTTAGACCCACTACTAAACAAAAGGCTAGCATCCATCAATTCAAAGTCCGAGCCATCGTCATCAAAGTCACCATCCATGAAGGCAAAGGGATCATTCTTGGGTTCACGATCTGGAGATAAAACAGAAACAACCTCCCCGCCAGCGGGGTTTGCAGTGGTCTTGCTGGAAGCTTGTCGAGCAGCGCTTTTAGATGGTGTTTTCAAGAGCTTTGAGTTGCGCCGAGGCTTCCTCGTTGGATTCTTCCGGGACGTCTGACTGGACTCATCTGACGAGAGTGGTTCACGGGCCAAAATATCTTTAAATCGCTGATCGCAGTCAGGGCCGGCCTCGTGCATCTTCTGTAAGGCTTTTACCAAGCGCCGGGTGAGAGACCCATGCTTGACGTTCTTTGTGGGTCGTTCAATGAGTTGCAAACGTGGAAAGGCGTCATTGCGAGGGAATCGGATGAACTGCGGAGAAGTGGTACCGATGTTCTGATAATGATGTTCAAGATCATTTTGCTCACTCGTGCTAAGAACAACGTCCTCCAGCGACGGAACATCCACAGGCTCGGGTGTCGGGGTCCGAGGTCTCTTTATGGGGTTGGCTGCCTTTTTGGATGCGGTGGCCTTCTTCTGGGGTTTATCGCCACCCAAATTCGAGGCCCGAGTAAACCCTGTTTCAACATCGTCGGGCATGTGGAACACCTTCGCAGGTCGCTTCGGTGCCCGCCCTTTGCGTTTCGGCTCTGGCAGTTCTTGCTGCGAGTTTTCCGGGGTATGTCGACATGTCGTTTATCGGGCACTGGGCGAACGCCCGGGGGCAAGATGCGTGCGGAACGATCGTCGTGAAACGTGAATCGGGAGCCACTGGCAATCATTTGCTGCATTTTTTCATAGTTATCTTTCGCCTTGATGTAGGAGTCTTCTTCTTTGCCTTTCATCAATAGCAGAGTGATGTTACCAGCCCGCTTACGGCCAGTTCGTCCCATGCGCTGCAGCATGCGGATGGGCGATGCCGACGAGTCATAGCACACGATCAGATCGACTTCTCCAATATCCAATCCTTCCTCGCCGATGGATGTAGCAACGATCGTGTTGTATGTGCCTTTCTTGAAATCCTCAATGATTTTGAGTTGCGTCTTCTGGTCCATGCCTTCAGAGCCTTTCGCGCTTGATTGGCCCACAAAAACATGAGGCCGAATCATGGGCTCATATCTTTTGAGCACTCTCGTGACCTCTTCAGCACTGTCACGGAAATGCACAAAGATCATGACACGGGTCGCAGGTTGACTAGTGCCGTTCGGCAACTCTTTCCCTTCACCCCTATCCATAAAGTGATTCAGAATCACTGACTTGAGATATTCCAATTTCGGATGACCGATGAACTCTGGATTCTTACTCCATGGTTCAAGATGGCTGAGTAGCTTTTTGAAACTATCATCCTGTACAACTTGCTTTTGGTATTTGCCACCTCCGCCTTTCTGTCCCTCAGAGCTTGATTTGAAATGAATGATATGGCGATAGAATGGCACGATACCATGATACTTGAGGAGATCAATAGCGTGGGCCAAGCTAGCAAGAACGGTGAAAATGGAGTTGACTTTGCCTTTCAAGCCGAAACTGGCATTCCGGCCAGCATCGGATTGCATCCATTGTTGCCTCGCCACTGTGAGGCCGTACGCAGTCAACCCCATAGGGTCACGTCCCCAGTAGGCGTTGATGGTTCGGAGTTGATCAAGCAAGGGCTGCAAGGCTGCAGACATAAGGTCCATACAGAAAATCATTTCATCTGAATTCTCAAATATTTCGATTTCGATATTGCGAGCGTGAACGTAGTCGCGAATGTCGATCGAGTTCTCCGTACGGATCTCAACACGTGCTATGTCCAACCCATCAATAACCGCCTGTACCGATTCGACTGTTGAACCCGGCGTTGCTGTGAGTGCGAGCACGCGGAAACTGTTGTTGAAGCGTCGAAGGAATTTGACTACCTCCACATATGCATACGCACCCGTCGCGCGATGGGCTTCATCAACGACCAACAACACGATTCGCTTAGGATCAGCGATTCCGGTCTTCAGGTCATTGATCAGTGTTTGGGGTGTCATGAAAAATACCCGCTTTGATTTCCACTCTTCGGCGCGAATACCCGGTGATGCTCCTCCCGTGAGCATTGTCGACTCCGAGCGTGGGATTCCGGCAATATCCAAACAGGCCGATACCTGCTGTGAAACCAGGGGTTTCGTCGGTGCTACAAAAACGATTTGAGAATCTTTTGTCCAGCGAAACCAATTTAGCATAATCGTAGCCGCTATGAATGTCTTTCCCAGACCCGTTGGCAAGGCCACGAGTAGATTGTGAAACAGGCCTGCTTGGGTGATATTGAACTGGTAATCTCTGGTTTTGCCCAAATTCGTGGGGTAGACCCATGTATCCAAAGCATCTTTGACAAGTTTGTGTTGGGTTGGTGGCTCAGTCTTTTCTGGCGGGCCCCAGTCTGGTTGGCGCGGAACCAAGACCTCGGGGTTTGGAGCAACCATGCCGAATAACGTGCTCTGTCTGAGATGGGGCTGTCGGAATGAGCCTCGGGATTGACTAAATTGCGGAACTGCAGGCTGGACTGGTCGTGCTACTGGGGACAATGATGGCGAAGAATCAAATGCGCCTTCAGGTATGTCCTCCAGCTCAAACGGGACATCCGCAGAGACATGCGTGTTTGTCTTTTCCGGCGAGGCAAGCTTTTTCGGAGCAGTATTGTTTGATAAACTCGGGGGTTGCAATACCGCTCTGTTTGTTTTCTCCTCTTCAAATGAATCTAAGGAAGCCGCGATAGCGGCCATCAATTCCTCCTCATCATCATGGGAATAATTCCTCTCCTGCTCATCAGCACCATCTTGTCCTCCAGCTTCAAATCTTGGCGGAGGCGGTTTCGCAACGGGCTTCTGCCATCGTGCACCCCGTATTCGTTCTGGACTTGAGGAAGGTTGCGTGAGTTGTGTGACGAACATGTCATTTTGGACGCTGGCTTGCTTCAGTACACAGCTCTTATTTTTGGAGCGATTCTGGTATTCTTCGAGATCGCGACGCGATTCTCGGCCCCGGGAGGGTAATCCGTCATCCTCCATATCAGAGAACGATTCGATCGAAGAAGCGTCATCTTGACCTTCGCGCTCTTGCCCGCGATTTCGAATGCGGCGGCGTTTTGTGGGACGGGAGGGCCTGTCGGGGGTTCCAGGGACTACAAAGTCGTCATCATCGAAGTAATCCGACTCGGAATCTGTCGACATCGCGCGAATGATTCAAAGGCATTGCCGTTGTACTCCGTATGTGCAATCTCGCGACGCGTCGCGTAGTCAGGTGATATGGTGTTTGTATAGTTTGCACTATCCCCTTGCCAACCTTGCCAAGTATTCTGATTCAACTCTCAATAGCCGAGCCTAGACGATTTGCGGGGTATACAGTGCCTACGTTGTACATACATACATGGAGGAATCCAAACTTATTTATCATATTGAACAAGTGCCTTATTCTACCCCTTATGGAACCTTTCTATTTTGATATTCCACCTGACAAACAGTACATGATTGCACTTCGTACTACAGAGTATGGAGCAGAGTATGGAGTACAAAGTACATCCATCCTTAAGGTTGTCTTCTGTGCTTCTTTTCTCCTGCCGAGCTTGAGAGCCAATAGGAATGGCAATCTACCCTAGCAGAAAATAGATTGGTCCCTTACTCACACGCTAATGCAGCCCCGGAGTCAATCAATATTGTCCAATTTGGGTTTACCGTTCCCCAGGGTCTCACTTTGCTCTAAAATACAACATACAGAGTAGAAAATCCCTTCCTAAGGGGGAGATTGTCCTGCACAATATACTAGTCTAGGGGAGTAAGATTATTGCCATGCATCCGCTGGATGAACTTGGTCATAACTAAAGCGCCAAAATTCAATGACTTTGACATCCTCGGATGAAAATCTGAGACATCACGAATGAAATGGCGGGTGTGCCAAGGGCGTCCGTTTGCTTTGTGCTTGTTATCAAATAATATTTAATACTTGGCTGTCTGCCCTTTTCCCACCCCAACTCTATCACTCTTTACTACAAATACTGTCACTACTTAGCACTTTTTCCCTTCGCTAACTTGATCTTTTTTTGCTACTTTATTATTCGACATGAAGTTCAGCGTCCTTGCTCTCTCGGCCTTGCTGGCTGTCGCCGCTGCCGCAGACACTACCACAGCAAACCCTTCAATCATTACCAGTACTCCCGAGGTCGAGTGCGCAAAGAGCTGTAAGCTACCCGTTCGGACAGTCATGCATCTTTAGCTTAATATTAATTCAGCCCAACTCTAGGCGAAGCCAAGGATATCTGCTGCACAGCCAGCTGCTACCACGTGCCCTGTCCCAGCGATGAGCAGGCAAATGACACCAATAAGTGTGTTGCTGCCTGCCCTCAGGGCACTGGCTCCCCCCGCCGACACTCAAAAGTACGCCGAGTGTGAGCGGTCTTGCTACAGCTCGCACTTTTGGGGCGGCAACGGCAGTGGTGCAACTGCAACCCACTCTTCCACCACCTCCACTGGTACCGGCAGCACTGCCACCCATACCAGCTCTGACTCGTCGAGTACCGGTTCCAAGTGTATGTCCACGTTCATTTTGTCGATGGAAACTCCGCTAACGTCAGCCTTTAGCTTCGGGTGACAATGACAGCAATGACAACAACGACAACGATGACTCCTCTTCCTCGGGCACTGCTACCAGCTCCTCTGGCTCCTCGCAGGAGACCACCAACGCCGCTGCCGATGTCAGGCTCGGTGCCTCCGCTGCTGGCCTCTTCGGCCTGGTTGTTGCTGCTTTTGCTCTGTGAGAAGATTGGATCGGGTCTTCGGTCTACTACCTTGTAATTCGGCATGGTCTTACAGGACTATCTCCGATCTGGATCTATGGGGTAGCCCTGTTGGCCTTGTAACATAATTTTACTTTCTTCCGTGTGATAGTATCTTGAATATCATCTCGGAGCCTTATTTAATGGAATTATCACAATCTGCAGCCAGCGGAATCGGACCTATTCACATTCAATGAAGCTTGTAGTAATTTCTCAACTTGGATTGTTCCTAACCACAATGCCTTCCTTGCAGATCAGTCCCCGCAAAGTTAGCACCCCACATGTACAATGTACGGGCTTGTCTATATCTTCAATAAATATGAAGCAGTTTCCACGGCGTAAAACTGTGACACGCGTGCCGGAGCTATCTCTGCAGCTCTAAGTTGACGCGAAAAAAGAGTCGAGTGCCATTCACCGCCAAAATGGGTTGTTTACTGCGGGGGAAATTCGGTAATTTCTTCAAAATATATTGCTGTTGCCCAGGAACGAAAAATCCAATAGTCGCCTCGGTATACAAATCAAACTTACGTCGTTGACATAGGTCTTGGGTTTCAGTCCGTATCATCGAAGCAACCCCAAAAAAACCTCCCCAACAACCGGATCAAAAGCCCCACAATGGATGATACCAGCGAAGAATTCCAAGCGCTCTTCAAGGACATGTCCGCTTTCGTGACAGACTGCATGTCAGGCCATGACCCATCGCATAACCCAGCACACGTCCACAGAGTTGGAGCGCTCGCCAACAAGATCCTGGAAGCGGAGCGGGCACTGCACCCGACAACGCAATACAACGGGGCAGTTGTGAAACTCGCAGCTTTGTTGCACGACATCGGTGACAGAAAATACCTCTCCAAGATCGATGCAGCTCCTGGAAGCCAAGAACTTGACCCAACGACGATGGTGCAGCATGCGCTCCTTGCGCGGGGTGCGACGCCAGAACTCGCATCCCGGGTGCAGACGATCGTGTCGCATGTTTCTTACACGACTGAATGCAAGGATCCGGGGTTGATCCGGAGGATGATTGATGAGGACGGGTTTGTCGAACTTGGTGTTGTCCAGGATGCTGATCGACTTGATGCCATCGGGGCTGTTGGAATTGGCAGATGTTTTACCTTCCTTGGAGCTGTAGGGAAAAAGTATTGCGTTGATGGGAAATGGGAGATGGACAATTCTATTGAGCATTTTGGGGACAAGTTGGTCAAGCTGGAGGGGATGATGAAGACTACCACGGGGAGAGAGATGGCTAGGGTACGGACGGAGAGGTTGAATATCTTTGCTGGGTGGTGGCAGGAGGAGATGAGTCTCGTTTCTGGTTTTACTTAAGAGAGGTCTCTATGCACATGTCAACTCTGTATTTAGTTCTTTTTACATTCTCCGAGACAGTTGTGATATGTGCATCCTGAATACTCCTGTCGAAGATATTTGAGACATCTTAGACTCATAGGCCTTGCTCGAATGCTGGGCTTATTCTAGTCACACCCTTCAGAAAAGTCCGTACATATACCTGAGGAGAATGATTCTCTCCATTTCTTGTGAGATCTGAGGATCCAATAATCCGACAATCGCCTGTCCTCTCTCTACTAAGATCTTGCAGCCAGTGGGGGTATTTCATATGCTAAATTCAAAACCAATATATCATCAAATAAAACAGATTTTAAATAGGAAGGAACAACGGTAGTTATATATTCATGTAGTCTTTTCCGGTCTTTTTATGGATGCTGATGCTATCGAAGTTGAACTATCCGATTGATATAGATATCATGTACTGCCACGCAAGCAGCCCGAAACATACACGCACCTCATCCGCCCAAGATCAACACCGCCATTCGTCAAGCAACCGATATACAACCAACCTTCGCAACCATGGCTGACGCACAATTTGACAGCGCGCTGTGAGTAACTTGTCTCACAACCAACATGACCCATGACCCTACAGACCCCTTATCCCCCAACCATGATACTCGCCATGACAATCCATGATCCCGACGCAACCCCGCCCCATGCAGTCGGAGACAAGTGAGCTGACCACCCCTTCTGCAGCGACCTCCTTCGGCGTCTGAACCCACGGGATACCAAGACCAATCTGCAAGCCATCACCACAATTGTCCCAGACCTCACCGAAGACCTCCTCTCCTCCGTTGACCAGCCCCTGGAGATTCGGCGCTGCCCGCAGACCAACCGCGACTACCTGCTCTGCGACTACAACCGCGACGGCGATAGCTACCGGTCACCATGGAGCAATGAGTTTGATCCTCCGCTTGAGGATGGTACCGTGCCCAGTGAGCGAGTGCGCAAGCTCGAGGTTGCCGCCAATGAGTCGTTCGATGTTTACCGAGAACTGTACTATGAGGGAGGCGTGGGGAGTGTGTATTTCTGGGATCTGGACGATGGTTTTGCCGGCGTGATTCTATTGAAGAAGGGTGCGTTATGGACTGGCCGCAGCCTACTTCCTATACTTTAAATTGCGACTGACTGTTTCCTTTGTTAGGTGTCACCCCAGGTTCCCAGAGCTCCGGCGAATGGGACAGCATTCACGTTTTCGAGGCCACTGATCGCGCTCGCATGTCCCACTACAAACTCACTAGCACCGTTATCCTTCACCTAGCCAACAAAACCGAGGCTCTTGGTGATATGGACCTCAGCGGGAACATGACTCGCCAGGTGGAAGTTGATCTGCCTGTGGAGTCGGATGCTAGCCATGTTGCCAACGTCGGCAGGCTGGTGGAGGATATGGAGTTGAAGATGCGAAATTTGCTGCGTATGTTACATTCGCCCGTCGCCATTTAACGGCTTGAGTATTTTATGCTGACCTAGGCTTTCGCATCACAGAGGAGGTTTACTTCGGCAAGGCGAAGGATGTCGTTGGCGAGCTTCGAAGTAAGTGGAGGCACATAAATCCATTGCAATATGCTAACAAGAACCTAGGCTTGGGCCCATTGTCTGATGCGAACAGAGACCGGGAGACCCAGCGGGAAATGATCATGTCCATGCAGAAGTAGTCCTTTTACTGTTCCGACAAATATCCTGCTCGGCTAGGCCGATAAACTATACCTGTCATGCTTTTCGTTTGTATAGCGGAGTTCTGTGCACATGATCGAACACTGATCCATACACGCTTTGCGCCCAGCGTTCGTTACATACGTACTTGGCACTGTGTAAATGTATGTACCATCTTCCAATGGGACTCATTGTATTCGTAATTTCAATGCCAGTGGCAGCAGATAGTCCGGGGTATCATAAACGCATGAAGGAAACTCAACCAATCGCAAAGAATGAACCGATAGCTCGTTGCTCAATCCACCTGCATGTCCTCTGGTTCATTCGCAGGCCTAGAATCCTTGCTTGCCTCGGAAGCGTTCTGCAACTGTTCAACGAATTCACGAGCAGCCGCCCACAATTCAGCCTCCTTATCTTTTCCAACTGTATCCTTCCTGCTATTGAGCCGACTTATATCCAGTGAGTTTGGCGCTCGCGATTTAGCTCCCGCGACTCCTTCGTTTCTGGCCCCGACTTTTGTGTCCCCTGCGCGTGAGCCCTTCTCAGGTCCGACGAGAGATGATTCCTCTAGGGAGTAGACCTGGCGGCGGAGGGTGACGTCGGCTGAGGAAAGAAGCGCGAAGTATTTCGCACTTGCTTCTTTAAACCGCATTTTGTGCGAGTCGAGTGATCCATCTGATGCAACGGGAGAGGGGTCCGGTTTGGCGTTGGTCAAGGCTTGGATCGCGAGACCAGCAGAATGAAGCAGATTGGTAACATCCTTATGAAGAAGAATCAGCAAATAGTTCCCGCATAAATTATATGCTCATAGTACCTTGTCCATCTCATTCAGCTGTCGAATGCGATCGGCAGAGGTAAAGCTAGGTAGCTCTTGCGGGGGTGCGTCTTCGCCCATATTGATTGGTTGGGGCTGTATGAAGAGATAGGATGGAGAGCTGCGTCAGTATGGATCAATTCCACCAGATTTTCACGTGTAGAACGAGAGATCGAGATCACAATGGAAATTAGAGAGCTTATTAGTTGGAATCACGTGCTGGAAGTTGGGGAGGCCTTAATAAGCGGTGAGGCAGCGGGGGATATCAAATTCAAGGTATCAGATCCATTATCCTATCGTTGAACGCGCGAAGTCCCATATACCTTTGGGCGCTATATACATTAGACAAAACACTGATAGCTGACACAACCTAAGTCTATCATATAAATCGCCGGCGATTGTACGCAACCCTGCTCAGTTGCTATCCTCCGCCGCAATTTGAGGATCTGTCTCGAAGTTGTCGTTGTCGATTATGTCGGCACCAGGCGGAGCCCCAAGCCCTGGACCGCGCAGTGGCAGTATGGGACCAGGTGTAAACGGTAATGGGATGGCGATGCCTTCCCAGCAACCATTACCTGGAACCCCCGTTCATTCTGCACCGACTCCAGGGCCCAGTGCACCACCAAGCGGTGCTATGTCACAGCAAAATTTGAACCAAATAGTAGGTACCCTTGTCCTCGATTTGTGTCTTCTTTAAGATGTCTTGTTTTCCTCATGTCTCCTTGCCCCTTTGCGATCATTGTTCCTCGCGCATTGTGTCCATCCTGTGTGTTTCGGGATCAGCCGAGTTTGAGAAGCTTGACATGGGGCGATGTTTCCGCTGGATCCTCCCAGAACATGATGACAGAGATCCAAGACGGGGGACTCTAGGGCGTTTTGCCTCAACACCGTCGACATTGAAAACCCCACAAACCCTCGAGCACTCTACCCTGTTCATTAGCCATTGCAGCCCTTGGATGATGATCGAGCTTCATGATTCAAAGCCAAAGGCAGCACACCACATTGTCGGTGGTTTGGTTGACGCAACAAGGCTGCGAGTTTATTATTCATTGGTGACTGCCTGTGGATGGTGACGGAAGCCCATTACAGAGGACCGCACGGGTTTCTTTTCAACGCCGACCAATATTGTTCGTTTCACAGACCTCGAAAGAGCATTACTAGCTCGCTGTTA